AGGTATTCCGCTCAAGAATCGAAAAACTATTGGCAAAGATATGGCTTTCGGCGTGGGCGATTTTGTCCTCTCACGCATTTCCCCCATTTTCGAAGGGGTCTACCCAGAAAAATTGACAAAAAACCTCAAAAATATTTTGTTGCTGGATTTTGATGCAGATTTGTGAAGAATCGATCCACAAATCGTTTAAGGTATTCCGCTCAAGAATCGAAAAACTATTGGCAAAGATATGGCTTACGGCGTGGGCGATTTCGTCCTCTCATGCATTTCCCCCATTTTCGAAGGGGTCTACCCAGAAAAATTGACAAAAAACCTCAAAAATATTTTGTTGCTGGATTTTGATGCAGATTTGTGAAGAATCGATCCACAAATCGTTTAAGGTATTCCTCTCAAGAATCGAAAAACTATTGGCAAAGATATGGCTTTTCGGCGTGGGCGATTTTGTCCTCTCATGCATTCCCCCCATTTTCAAAGGGGTCTACCCAGAAAAATTGACAAAAAACCTCAAAAATATTTTGTTGATGGATTTTGATGCAGATTTGTGAAGAATCGATCCACAAATCGTTTAAGGTATTCCTCTCAAGAATCGAAAAACTATTGGCAAAGATATGGCTTTCGGCGTGGGCGATTTTGTCCTCTCACGCATTTCCCCCATTTTCGAAGGGGTCTACCCAGAAAAATTGACAAAAAACCTCAAAAATATTTTGTTGCTGGAGTTTGATGCAGATTTGTAAAGAATCGATCCACAAATCGTTTAAGGTATTCCGCTCAAGAATCGAAAAACTATTGGCAAAGATATGGCTTACGGCGTGGGCGATTTCGTCCTCTCATGCATTTCCCCCATTTTCGAAGGGGTCTACCCAGAAAAATTGACAAAAAACCTCAAAAATATTTTGTTGCTGGAGTTTGATGCAGATTTGTAAAGAATCGATCCACAAATCGTTTAAGGTATTCCGCTCAAGAATCGAAAAACTATTGGCAAAGATATGGCTTTCGGCGTGGGCGATTTTGTCCTCTCACGCATTTCCCCCATTTTCGAAGGGGTCTACCCAGAAAAATTGACAAAAAACCTCAAAAATATTTTGTTGCTGGATTTTGATGCAGATTTGTGAAGAATCGATCCACAAATCGTTTAAGGTATTCCGCTCAAGAATCGAAAAACTATTGGCAAAGATATGGCTTTCGGCGTGGGCGATTTTGTACTCTCACGCATTTCCCCCATTTTCGAAGGGGTCTACCCAGAAAAATTGACAAAAACCTCAAAAATATTTTGTTGCTGGATTTTGATGCAGATTTGTGAAGAATCGATCCACAAATCGTTTAAGGTATTCCGCTCAAGAATCGAAAAACTATTGGCAAAGATATGGCTTTCGGCGTGGGCGATTTTGTCCTCTCACGCATTTCCCCCATTTTCGAAGGGGTCTACCCAGAAAAATTGACAAAAAACCTCAAAAATATTTTGTTGCTGGATTTTGATGCAGATTTGTGAAGAATCGATCCACAAATCATTTAAGGTAGTCCGCTCAAGAACCAGATGACTATTGGCAAAGATATGGCTTTCGGTGTGGCCCATATTGACCTCCGTATTCGTATGACCTCCGAGCCTCCATATTGGGAGCCACCAATACCCCCAAATCAAGAATAAACGACATCGCCAATTCCAATTAGCTCTTCCAGTCCAAGTGCCGTTTCCAGACCCTCAAGGAGACCTGCGAACACGAGACGACACAGTTCCGCGAACTGAACGAACTGGGCGGAGAGTTGCTACTCCAGATGGACGAGATGCAGGACAAAACCAAGCACTCCGAGTGCGGATCCCTGACCAAGCAGTTCGCCCGCCTGAATGCCCGTTGAACGGAGGTCACAGAGAGAGTCTACGACAAGAAAGCCCTGCTGGAGCACATTTCCATCCAGTTGGGTGAGTTCAAGAAGTTCGTGGTAAGCGAGGCGGGCTACTTGGATAAGCTGGAGAACAAGAATGCGGCCGACGCCGAAGAGATCATGGAGGAACTTGATGTGAGTGGAGAGAACATTTTTCAAAATTTTGAAAACCAAGCAGAGAGTATTATCTTTTGGTCAGTGTTCAAAGCAATGAAGGAGTCGGCCCCAACCATTTAAAGTATATACATACATGATTCTTGATAGGGATCATCTCCTGAGTCGATATAATCATGTCCGTCTACCTGTTCCTACCTAACCTACTCTTTCAGTTTTAAAAGTATAGAGTGTACAAATTTGAACACATCCTTCTGTCTTTTGGGCTCAGTGTATAAGTCGGAACGACCGGGATCAGTCGACTATATCCTATAGCTGCCATATAACTGATTGATCGGATATACGATAACTTTCTTTAAGTATGTTTATAAATTATAAATCTTAAAATGTAAACACACATATTTCCATTGCCTAATTATTTGGGCACCTAGAAGACAAACAGTAATGAAGGACCAAATTGTATCCTTTATTTTGAGTATGATAACATTTAAGAAGATGCTTTAATTTAAAAATTATTCAATTAAGTTTTTAAAAATAATTAATTAAAAGAAGTGCCCTCCTCCTCGATTCTCATAGGTTGCACTTAAGCTGGCTCCAAAAATCGGGAAAATAATTATTTATTTTTTTTTTTCTTTTTTAATTTTTTTTTTAAATTAATTAAATAAAATCTAGTGCCCTCCTCCTCGATTCTCATAGGTTGCACTTAAGCAAGTCCGAAAAATCGGAAAAATTATTTTTTTTTTTTATTTTTATTTTTTTTAATAATTAAAATTTAGTGCCCTCCTCCTCGATTCTCATAGGATGCACTTAAGCTGACCCGAAAAATCTTAAAAATGATTATTTATTATTTTTTGTTTTGTTTTTGTAAATGATTATGATGTATGTTGTAGTTTTGGTAGAAGTTTAAAGTCAGAAGTAAGCTTTCCTTTCTTATTTTTTTTTTCAAACATTTTCCGTTTTTGAAAGGATCTGGAAAACGTTTTGCGCTTGCACTCTGAGGAATGGCTGGACAAAATTCAGGAAATTGGCAACGAGCTTATTGACAACGAATTCATGGCCGACTCCATGAGGCGCGACATTGACGACATTGTCCAAAGATGGACTCAGCTCCAGCAACAGGCCAAAATCGCACCGAACTCCTGGAACCGAAGGCCACCGAGGCGGAACAGTCCGAGAAGTGCATTGTTCAGTTCGAGGCCTGGCTGACCCGAGTGGACGAGGTACTCAGCGAGTATCTGGAACACGATGTGACCATTGAGGATCTGCCAGAGGACTTTCAAGTATGTAAAAAATGTATATATTATAGTATTTCTTATAAATGATGATTTTTTTACAGCGCTTGGCTTGGGAGTTCGTGGTTAATGAGAAGATCTTTAAAGAGATCGCGGAGATTATAGCAAAGCATACGAGAAGGGAAGGTAGGAGCCACCAATCGCTTACAGGAACAACGCAACCTAATGGAAAATGAGATTCAAGGTCTGCCAGGCCAAACCTAGCAAGTGTACAGCTCCACAGCCCGCCTATGAGTCGCGCTTGAATCGGGCCTCCTGCGACCTCCGGAATGTGGAACGGAGACAGTGGTGATCGGTGGTGTCCATATTGACGTCTTTCGAAAGGGTCTACCCAGAAAATATGACAAAAAATCTAAAAAATATTTTGTCCCTGGATTTTGATGCAGATTGATTGATTGCCAACAACTATTGGCAAAGATATGGCTTTCGGCGTGCCATTTTCTCAGGGGTCTACCCAGAAAAACTGGCTAAAAATATAACAAATATTTTGTTTATGGATTTTGATGCTGATTTGTGAAGCATCGATCCACAAATCGTTTAAGGTATTCCGCTCAAGAATCGGACAACTATTGGCAAAGATATGGCTTTCGGCGTGGGCGATTTTGTCCTCTCATGCATCTCCCCCATTTTCAAAGGGGTCTACCCAGAAAAATTTACAACAAATTTCAAAAATATTTTGTTGCTGGATTTCGATGCAGATTTGTGAAGAATCGATTTACAAATCGTTTAAGATATTCCGCTTAAGAATCGGACAACTATTGGCCAAAATGTGGCTTTCGGCGTGGGCGATTTTGTCCTCTCATGCGTTTCCCCCATTTTCAAAGGGGTCGACCCAGAAAAATTGACAAAAAACCTCAAAAATATTTTGTTGCTGGATTTTGATGCAGATTTGTGAAGAATCGATCCACAAATCGTTTAAGGTATTCCGCTCAAGAATCGAAAAACTATTGGCAAAGATATGGCTTTCGGCGTGGGCGATTTTGTCCTCTCATGCATCTCCCCCATTTTCAAAGGGGTCTACCCAGAAAAATTTACAACAAATTTCAAAAATATTTTGTTGCTGGATTTCGATGCAGATTTGTGAAGAATCGATTTACAAATCGTTTAAGATATTCCGCTTAAGAATCGGACAACTATTGGCCAAAATGTGGCTTTCGGCGTGGGCGATTTTGTCCTCTCATGCGTTTCCCCCATTTTCAAAGGGGTCGACCCAGAAAAATTGACAAAAAACCTCAAAAATATTTTGTTGCTGGATTTTGATGCAGATTTGTGAAGAATCGATCCACAAATCGTTTAAGGTATTCCGCTCAAGAATCGAAAAACTATTGGCAAAGATATGGCTTACGGCGTGGGCGATTTCGTCCTCTCATGCATTTCCCCCATTTTCGAAGGGGTCTACCCAGAAAAATTTACAACAAATTTCAAAAATATTTTGTTGCTGGATTTCGATGCAGATTTGTGAAGAATCGATCCACAAATCGTTTAAGGTATTTCACTCAAGAATCGGATGACTATAGGCAAAGATGTAGCCTACGCTGTGGGTCACACTGTCTTCTTTTTATGCTGTCCAAAAAATATTAAAAATATTTTCCCCTGTGCATTCGTGAAAAGCGTTAACAAAAGGGTTCTCAAAGCAAAAATCCTTTTGAATTAGATTATTAATATCAGACACTTTATAATAATAGTAAGAGAAAAGAAAAGTTTCTTTGAAGCTGGAGTTTTAAGACTCATTATATTTATGCAACTCGAATAAGCATTTAATAATAGATAAGCGAAGATAAGCGTAGTTAATCCCCATCGCTATCGGTGGCCAAGGTATACAGAACCTCTTCATCCTCTTCTGAGCGAGTGGCTTCGCCGGGACTGAAATCGTTCTCCGAAACTGAAATAAAGTCAGAGTTATCCGGCGAACCGATCGAGGATAAGCCCGACGAAGTTAAAGAGGCGACCGAAGATTCCGAAGCTGTTAAAGCCAACGTGGAAAGCGGTGACGGGCAAAGCGAGCCCGAAGATGCCGAAGCCGTTGAAGCCAACGAGGAACGCGGTGACGGGCAAAGCGAGCCCCCGGAATCTGAGTCGGCCTTGTAGCCATCCTCCTCCTCGTCATCCTCCACAAGCGAGGAATTCTCCATTTCATAGGATAATGCTGGTACGATGGATAAGTCAGCCATCGAAGCAGCACGACTCTCTTTGCGTAGCTCCACCACCTCATTAAGGATCTGGTGCTGCTTGCTTGCAATAGTGGCCACCAGCTTCTCCAGATTTTTGATGGTGACCTCGTACTCGATTAGCTTCTTCTTCAGCTGCCAGTTCTCAGCACGGCACCTGGCTAACTCCAGGGAAACACACATGGCAATCTTGTTGTCGTCAGTCTCCGCGGACTTGGTACTAACATAGACGATATCCAAATTGAATCCAAAAAAGAAGACCCTTTTTGTTTGCATGTATAACTTACATGGAAATTAAATCAGAGTCCCTGGCATGGGACTGGCCAGTGATCGACATTTTGAGACTTTAAATTTACCCACAATTCAATTCAACAGCTGTCTACCGACCAACTGACTTGACCTAGAGATGTATATTAAATAATGTCCCGAGACAGCCTGACACTGTTAAACTGATAGCTATAATCTCTGAATATGAATAGAGACGTATGGATGTGCCATATGGTTGGACAGATGTTTCCAGCCTACTGGATTTCTGTATTTCACAAAGTCTACTATTTTTAAAATGCCCTTTTTTAACTACAGAGTTTACTGTAAAATTGATATAATCAATTCTAAAAGGCCATCCTAAGTTCCTTCATTTGTAAACGCTTTTCTGCAGCGATTCCAAATTATTGTCATAATTAATCAATTAAATTATAGCGATTTCTTTAAAATAATGTGGTTTTTTTCGTCAAAGCAGTGAAATACTTTTTCAAAAGACAGTAGTTGTAAGAATAAAATAAAAACTCACCATTACCCCTTGCTTTTGTACGAAACTGGAACGACTCTTGCACAATCCTTTTGATATAAGGTAGCTATTATATTGTTTTTTCTTCATTAAAGATTTAGTGACTTACGTTTTTTTACAGGCCTTTTTAAAATACATGGCCTTGAGCATTTTGGGAAAGTTCCCCTGGGCTTCGGCTTTTTGCATTTTGGTTTAAAGCATCTATTATTCACCTGAGCTTCAATGGATGATTGTACCGATTTTAAATATTGCCTTTTTTGTTTCTTGTGCTTATGGTTATGACGGGCATTGGGAGATAGGCGTTTAATTTTTCTCCTTGGTGTCGTCTTAGGCATTATGGTTTTAAACATAATTTAAATTAACTTAGATCCTATATTTCTATTTATTCCCTTACCTTTATTCGGTAGGTTCTTCGATGAATATCACTCATCCTATTCCAATTCAAAGTTCCCTGACGCATTGCATCTTCCTCGGTGATCCCGGGACATAGTCGTTCATGATCGTATAAATAACTTATAAAGCCATTCACTATAGGGGCCATAGTGTGGGCTTAAAATTTTCGGAATTTTTACATATAATTTTTCACTTATTTTGCCTTTTTATAAATTTTACCATATATTTGACACGGAATAATTCGTTGTTAAAAGTGGAATGATATCTGACAATAAACTGACAATAAAACTATTGTGAGAATGAAAAAATGGATTCAAATGTCAACACACAATTTTCTGGATTTGATACAACTCTCCGTTGGCCTTAGTTTATTATAAGGTATTTTACAATTTGGTTAAAATCTGATCAACAATCAGTTAAACTCGAAACCTTAAGCTAGTTTGTCTTTGGGTTTTAGCCACATTAGATAAGCTGGAGGTCCTCGGGAGGCTCTGCTTCGATTATTGCTTTATATCTTATATATCAGCTTAGAACTACTTAATTCATTTTCACGTTGCTTATGGCCCATGCTTATGGCTAGGACCATGCCACTGGCTTGGCTAATACTGGGCTTCTCCAGTCCACCAAGGTAAAGGCATCTGATTCCCCCAAACCCGCGGGTTCTTTTCCCATCTTCTTTTTATTATTATCCTTTTAAACGTTACTCCTTTAAAAGTATTTAGCAATTTAGGTTGGCCCTTAATAGTAGGCCTGCTTAATGGCCGCACTAGTGATCAGGAAAGCGGAGCCAATCAGCACAAAGGTGATGATTTTTAAAGCACTGGGTCTGCCGGAAGAATCTGTGGATGATTTTAATAAATATTAGTTTTACATTATTATTGTATAAAAAGAACTTACTTTTCTTATTGGAGATCACCCTAATACACTGCTTTTGGTCAGAGTTCGTTGTATATCCGAATTTGCACTGACAGACGGAGTTACGGCACTCCACGTTCTCGGGATCCTTTTCGACGAAGCACTCTGTAGCCTTTGTGCACGATTCACCAAGTTCTGAAAAAAATCGGACAAATATTTATAAAGGAAGCCTGGGGCTGGTGAAGAACAACGTACCTCGTTTTACTTCGCAGATGCCGTTCTTCTCGTGCTGTTCGTCGGTGCAGCCACACTTGCCCTCCGAGTTGCAACTGGCCAGGAGTGGTTTGCACTGCTCATCCTCGACGCACTCGTCTTCCAGTTCCTCAGCTAAAAAGTGAAATTATAGAGTTTCTCTCAGATTCTGCATAGACTTCTCACCCACCTTCCTTCAGGCATTGATCCTTGAAATGCACATATCCCTTGCGGCACTGGCAAGTGCGTCCTTGCTCCTCATCGGTGCTCTTGGTCAGACACGCGGTGTTGTCGGCTATGCACTCATCATCCTCGGAACACTCGGCACCGATGCCTCTTACACAGGTCTCGTCCCTTTCGAAGAAGTTCTCCGAGCAGACACACAGACGATTGGAGCAAACAGAGTTATCCACTGGACAGCCATCATTGGACTCGCACTCGGCGCCCAGACCCTGTTTGTATTCACAAAGCTGCTTGATGGCATCGTACAGGGCATACTCCTCGCAAGTACACCGTCTGGGAATCTCCGGGTGGCAATAAGAAGCTCCAAAGGGACTGCACTGGCTATTCGATGTGCAGGACAAATGATACTGAATGGCTATAAAAGGATACAAATTATTTAAAACTTCTGGGTAGAAATCAACTATAAACCTACGTTTTCTACAGTTTCGGAGATCCCGCTCGTAGAAATAATTCTTTTGGCAATTACAGGTCTTCGTCAAGTCATCAAACTCGTACTCGCACTCATCCGTGCTCTCGGCAATTTCCCCGAGTTCTAAGAAAGTTTATTTGATTTTTTTTTATATTAATTAAACAGATTGGAAATCTTTATGACTTGCCTGCAAAGCACTTGCCGTTGCGTGCATAGTAGCCCTGCCGGCACAGGCAAATCTTATTGGAGCAAATAGAATGGGGCAATCCCGTGCAGGTCTTGCCATTATCCGTACAGCTGCTGCCATCTAGACATAAAAAGAAATATGTTTAATCCTTTAATGTTATTGAATATTTCGGTATGAGTCACTCACACTTTTTGTCATCGGCGTCATCATCCTCGCGACTGGATCCCAGTGTGGAGTAGGTCTTGATGTCCTCGTCATCGAACCGGAAGAGGGCGGGCAGGCGGCGGCGGTGGCTTCGGCTGATGCTGTGATTCCGGCTGGAGTTGCGGCGGCTGCTGGTGCTGGTCGAGGCGGTGTGGGCGCCTCCTCCCCCCATGGTGGTAGTGGCTACGTTCCTGACACTGCGCCCCACTTCCTTAAGCTCATACTTCTCTATGCTAGTCTGTACGGCGATCTCGTGGGATCGTGGAGAGATGAGGGGCTCTGTGTCGCCGTTGATGAGCGGAGAGAGGGGGGCAAAGGAGACCTGGGCGGCGGCATCGCTATGAGTGGGCGGGGGGCTATGCACGAAGGCCTTGGTTAGCTGCCTGCGGCCAAAGAGCGTGGTAGCCGTTTCAGTCGGCTGATCGGTCGTCTCGGTGACTGCCTCCGCCGTGGTGGAGTCATCATCCCAGCCTGTTGTGTCCGTGGCCGGGACCTCGGTTGTGGCAGGAATCTCATCGACATAGGTGCATACTAATCCCACGCACTCGGCTGCGGCGTCAAGTGCATCACAATCCTCATTAACGACGCAGGCATCGTTTTCTTCTGCATTAAATGAATTTTTTAATTTTTTAAAAATAAAACAAAATATTGAATGTACTCACCCATTGATTTGCGACGACAGATGTTTCCATATCTATTATAATAGCCATTGGCACAGCCGCAAACGTTTTCCTGACAGCTAACAGATGCACGATCGTAGCCAAAGTAGCAGTCCAAGTCCTTTAAAAATATGGTTCGGTATAAGATCATATAAATCGAGAAAAGCATGTCCTACCGTATCGCAAGACTCGCCGAGTCCGTTCAGTGGGCGACACTTGCCCCGCAGATAGGTTTGGCCATCGGCGCAATCGCAGACCCCGGCTTTACAACTGGCTCCCGTTGGCATAAGATTGCACTGGACGCTATCGTCGCACCGTTCACCAATGAGCGACGTCGCCAGGCATTGCGTGAAGTTCTCCGCGAGCACTGAGTCAAATGTGGAGCACCCGCACTGCCCGTTGGCTAAGTCACAGCTCGAGCCGTCAGCTGTGCAGTCTGCCTCGCTTTCACATGGCCAAAAAACGGCCAACGCGCCGCCGTCGCCTGCAAAATATCAACAATAAAAACAAAGCAATACAGAACAAAATTGGTAGTAAGAAAGTTTCTAAGCCGTAGTAATACCAGCTATAGTATGTCCAGGCAAAACTGAAACCACAAGTTGGCTAATTAAAAATTTACGCCTAATACAAGGAGGAAGTACAAAGGCAGTGCCTGTGTCCACACTCGGATGTGTCGACCCAGTTACGGCACTGGCTTTTGGGGAAGGCCCTTTTGGGCTGGCTTAATTATTCAATACCGGCTCCAGTTCCCACAGTTAAGAAACCTACTTGTTAGTACCTTCTAGACATTTGCAATAAATAAAAAAAATTTCATTAAAAGTGCTTAAGTTATACTTGAATTAAAAAATTTAAGAAAATCTTAAATCATTTAAAAATGTGTCACATTTACTTGTTTGAATTTATTTTCTATAAAAATCGCTATATCTTATTTCGCAATAAATTCCAAATCGATAGTCCAGCCTCGACAATCTTGGCCAAACCCCACCCATTTATCTACCTGTCCAGCTGATAATTAACCTTATATAAAAACTATCCTGTGGTAGGAAATTCCTCGCATCCTAACTGAAAAACTTCATTCGGCACGCAACGTGTCGGGGCCGCAATTTATTACGTATACGCCAACGACTTCCGGATGAGGTTGCGGCAAACGAAAAAATTTCCATATAACCAGTATAAACGCAGTCACAACAACAACGGAAAATATGAAATGGAAAACAAGAACCAGGATCTGGAGCCGGAGAGGATTAGGGGGCAGTAGCTGAGGTATTAGCAATAACAATATCAACGCTCAAATTTTCGCTCGACGCTTGCCACTTTAATTTGCATTTTCCGTGGCCGGCAAAACAATTTCTCAAAGGAGCCAAAGGACCTTGGGCCCAGGATATCGTGTGAGAGCCTTAGACGGGTCGGGTGCCGGGTCAATAGGGCAAAGTACTTGACCTTGATTGCGTTTGCATTAATTACTCCGGTTCTTTAATGTTATGACTGCTGATATTTGTTCACCAATTTGGGCTGCCCTTTGGATGTCCTCACACCCGATTAAACGCGACTTTAATTCAATTACCGAAAATTGCTCGCAACATTTCGGGAATGCTATTTAGCCACATGCTTTTTTGGTTTTATTTTTTTTTTGTTTTTTTATTTCTCTTATTTCTTTGCCATTTACCTTGAGGATTGAGGAGCGCGACACACAGGACACTGAGGGTCAGAAAAATGTGGAAGTTTGACATTTCCGGTGGCAGAGCTAACTTTTCCGAACTACTAACAAGTGTGGCCGAAAGGCAACTGGCCATTTAGTGTGGGGATTCAACTATATCGAGTGGCCGATTCCGGTTAATCTTATCTTCAGCTTGCCCATAAAAATATACAGTCAAAAATCGATGATTAACCAGTAGCGATTGGAAAGTGCTTAGCTTATTTGTTTTTCTTCGAGTCTGGTTTTTCCTTGTAATCCCAAATTAGTAAAAATTACATTAGAATATTAAATGCAGTTGTCAGATTCCTACAGAATGGCAGTAGGTTGCCAAGGGTACAGTGATTACCCACATTGTTGGCCTATCTTTTCGGCAGCCCAGTATTAGTATCAGTAAGAGGTGTACTTATCAACATCCAACACCTGGCTGTGCACACCTGTTTTAGGTCTAATGGCTGTAGTAAAATGCTAGCCCCTTTGGACGAGTTTCGGAAAGACTTAAGCTGATAACACTAAGACGGCAGCTGTTTCATATCGCCGGAAAAGTATCAATCCATGAATCACTCAGCTATAAGATTATATATATCTTTGGTAATTAGAGAGTAGTCAGATAAATAGCTAATTTTCTGCGGCTATAAATTATCTTTAAATAAAAAGCTGATAGATATTTGGCTGAGTTTGCATACAATGTTCCAGTTCCAGTACAATATTATAACATTATGATGGTAATCATGAGAATGGATTATTCCTAAAATTAAAATTGATGGTATAATAAAAATCCCATTTCTCTGTTAATTTGTTTTTAATTCCAGGCATTGGTTAGCTTTGTAGAAAATGTATAAAGAAGGGTATGAAAGTTGATGTTTTGTTCCTTAGATTCTGAAGGGTGAATCCTTGGGTCATTAAATCGTATAACCGTAGCATTATGTTCTGTCTCTTGTCTGATATAGCCATCGATATTGCAGTGACCCAAAAACGAAAGTTTTTGAAACTCTCTAAGGGGCGTTTTCCAAAGCAAACCACTCTGCGTGTTTCTATTTCTTCACATGTACTTGTACATATAAAAATATATATTTTTGTCCTGCGCCTAAGGTCCTACGATTCTCATCGCGAGTGTCGTCGCGAGTACGTGGAGTTTGTAAATTACTAATCGCATTGTATTTATAATTCAATATGAAATTATGTGTTAAAAATAGCGTAACAACGTCGGCGCCGAGTGTCGCAGGAGATGACCTTGAAATTTATCGAATAAGTGAAAAACCAATCGAGCTAAAAGGGGTTAATTGGAGTAAGTGGAATCCCCCAAGGAATTAAAACTGCCCTCCCAGACTATCTAATCCCTTAATCTGTGCACAGTGCATTCGGTCATTAACTCTATTGTTGAGACTCGAGTGGAATATAATCCCTAATGAAGCCCGCGTCTAGGACTCCAACAATGCGTAAGCCTTAATTTGTCTCTGGATTGTGTTTCAATTTTCGCGCTCGCTCGGCCAATGTTGTTGCGACTGTTTTGGTTTTCCCTTTGAGTTTAGAGACATAACGTAAAAGGACATTTTGTGGCTATAAAAATACTATGCCACGCACGCGATGAAATGAAAAGAGCAGCGACAGGTGCAAGAGAAATTATAGACCTTCCGGCCCGCCTTCCAACCCAACAACGAAAACACATTATATACAACTTTTTATAAACACCCAGATATGGATACACATATGTACACACTCATATATGCCCAAAGTTATTTAGCACAAGTGCAAGGACGCTCTCTAGAATTATCGACTTGGAATGTCCCATTAAATTTCAGATTTTTTTTTATACTTACATGTTTCTTGATGTTCAGCTTAAAGTTGGCAAGTAGAAACTCCTTTAGTGGGTTGATTCATGAGAGGATAGGTCTCAATTATTATTCACAAATCACTTTTTTTTTTGGAAAGATATTTTCCCAAGCATTTATCACTCTGTGGTAGGGGTTTCCACTTTAAAAACTTTCAAGTTTAATTCACACTAAACACCAAGCTGCAAAGCTGTTTAGAATCTGGAATCCATCTTTAATCAACTAATGCATTCAACAATGAAATCAACGAATAATACCAATAATAAACTAAATTAGTGGATTTCAAGAACACATGCGATTGGGCTCGTTAGTTACCTGGGAATGGATACCAGGCACAGGAATGGGACTGGTTGTGGGAATCGAGGAAACTAGGGAAATAGGGAATGAGTTCCACATTCGATATGTAATAAATGACGCCCTATTAATGTTTGTGTTTGCGAGCCCTCGCCCGTGTCGATGGCGGTGGGGTAGGTGAGTATGCTGGTGATTTTGGTGTGGTTATGCATATAATGGATTGAAATACGTTAAGCGTTGGCCCCCGAATGTGATGACCTCCATGACCCGTCCTTTGTGGTCAAGACGTTTCCATATTCTTCTGGCCAATCGATACTCATTCAAGTTTTTGAACCAAACACAAAATTAATGCGACAAATTATGTAATAACGTGATGATTAATTTCACATATTTTAGGCTTTATTACATTTCTTTTTCGTATAAAATCCAGGTATTTTTTAATTCTGGTTTTAGTTAATTAATTTTTTGTTGTATTAGTTCGAAGATGTTAATTAATCGTCAAGGATTCACTGCATAATTTTGCGCGCACGCCGTCTAACCGCGAAGCTGCTTTTACGCCACGAATGGTTCGAACGAGCCACGTTTTAAGGCCCGATCCTTACGTAGCAAGCTTCAAGCCGCTACTGTGGGCTTTTCCCTCCGATTCGTGGGTTTACGACTGCCTGAGAGACTCCACGAACACTATTGGCAGAGCGAAAGTGAAAGCGGGAGAGCGTTTAAGCCAAAACATTACCAAGACGGCCAACAGGAGAGAGTGCACTCAAAAAAAAGAATATATTTTAGTAAAAAAGATACACAAATATTTTTAATAAAGATTTAGATTTTAATAAGATTAAGATTTGAAAGATTTAATTTGAAAGTAAACACCAATAATATAAACTTTTTATACAATTTTAAAGCAAGCATCGATTCTCTAAGGAAAGATGTACTGTTAAGGGAAAACTAAACTTAAAATAAAGATATTTATTTTATATCCCAATCTAAATTAGAAAAAGTAAACCTCCAAGTGTATTTAAAGCGTGAGAATGACTATGCTAAGTGAGGGAGAGTCCATCAGTTGGCCAAATTCGACTCATGTCTTCGGGTTCTAAAGGTAAATGTGATTGTAACTATATTTCAACCCACTAGCGGAGCAACAATTTTCCGCCCTGCAACCGTCGTTAGTTCTTGATAGTAAGAATATACATACGAACATGTCCTTTATATACATACATTCGGGTGAGTGTCCAGGTGAATAAGTGTGTCATAGGACTGCCATGGACTATTTAATGGCTTATAAAGTTCTCTCAGGTTGAAAAACTACTGAAAAACCAACTGACTAGCGAGGTCTGCAAAAACTGAATTATATAAAATTACTTTTAAGCACTTTGCCCAGGTATGGCTTACAAAATTGTTTCCTCACTGCAACTAGGGTATTTTTACATAGACCACAATAAATCTCTGTCAGAAATTGAGGGAAGAAAATAAAAAAAATTGGGTCAAGTGGCCACATTGGAATTGAACCAACTACCGTGCACGACAGGACCTGAAAGGATTCGACAGCAAAGCTTTCTGAATATCCTAAAAAAAACTGTGGTAAGGAAAATAAACTAAAAAGAGAACAGGGTCATGAAAGAGATACCAATAAAGGTACTATCTACCAGACAGGATAGTATCCGCTGGGCAATCTATCACCTGACATAGGTTGGCTGTCAGGATATCGAGCCCAGCTTCTAACGACTAATATAGTTGGTTTTGAGTTTTTAAAGCTTTAAAAACGACTAAGATATACATATATCCTTGTATGACAATTGTTACCAATGTTGGTGTAATGAGTCAATACCGTGTATGTGATGACGTAGTGGTCGGTCGTGGCCAACACACCGACAGATGGCGAATGGGGCCATCACCGCGTAATGACTTAAACAGTGTTGAACCACAGTCTTGAGCTGAGAATGGCATATGGGCCGCCTCTAATTGCCACTTGGAGGCTATTTTGCAACCCTTTTTATTATTCAAGGGCTCTAATTATATGTTTTGCCTTTGAATGTTTAATCTCATGGATTAAAGATGTTCTAGACGAAACCAATAATATCTAGGTATTTCCAACATACTCTATTTATTCACTATTTATACGGTGGTTTACACACGTGTCGAAGGCTACTTTTCTTGTCTAGTGTTAAATTTTGTCATTTTTAGCTTTAGAAAAAAACATTCATGTACTCACACAACATTTGCTTTTACGGGAATACGCGGTGGGGGCCGCGAAGGCGAGTGCCAGTGCGAGCGTGGAAATTTGTTGGATTTGCTCCGCCCCACTGGCTCAGCTCCCCAGCGGCTGTCGGTGCTATTTTTAGCCCCCATAACAAAGTGTTTTGCTGGCCAGGACACGCGACCAGGACAAGGTAACGCTACGGCTAGTCGTATGTAGTGGGTTGTAGTATGGTAACATGTTGGCTATGCAAATGCAAACAATGCATTCATTGCCCTCGAGAGTCGATGGCGACATATGCGCTCAAAGGACTCACATGACAAGCCAAAAACAAAAAACAGCAAAACGACAAATTTAAGAATTCAAAATGAGGAATGTATGGGGAATGTGGATGGAGCAGTTTAGTCAACCGAATGTAGGCGACATGTGTGCCATATGAATAAAAAATCAATCAAAAAGTCTGTAAATATATAAAACGTTCAAGTCCCAGGACGCTTACATCCAGGAGCTTCCCCACTACCATACCATGCTATATTCATGCCAAATGAGCTAACAACGAACATCGGAAAACGGTGAAAGCAATACCAACCTACCTGTGTGACTCATAAAAAATGCAAAATTTTAATCGAAACATAGTGCAAGTCAGGCAAAAATAGAACACGGTGCATTGAGAATAAGCGATGCGTCCATTTAGATAAGCAGAAATGCATTTGTCTACAAATGCATGGTGTGCATGTAAAAAAAAATAGTTATCCAAATATATCGCATTCAGTTACAGAACACTTTATCTTAGATACAATTCTTCGATATAATTACAAGTTATTAAACCATCGATCATTAAACTGAAATTTTAAAATAGAAGGATATTTTTTTATAATAATAGCATATCATAAAAATAATGAATACTAGGATAAAATCTATTATATTATACAATTTATAACATTTACTTATTGGACCCTTTTAAAAAAGAGTACGTAAGAGGGATTCGTAATTTAAATGTGAAGTTTTTCAAATATATTTCTTAGTTTTCTATTTCTTCTTGTATATTATAAGTTTTATTTATTATTTGTATGTCAGTTACATTTTTCAAGGAAACATGTCCCGTTTTGGTTATATATTTTCTTAATTCTTATGTTATTATTAAAATATTTAATAATTTACACGTTAACCCGCCTTTTATTTCCCCTAGTGTAGACCTATACCATGTGAACTCTGGCTGAGGACATGCAAAAGCCAATTGCCTGTCAGGACGGTTAAAGCGTGCACTTTGACTGGACTGCACTCTATATCCTTGCACCTTTCCACTCCGCCCTGCAACTGCCAATGCTGATAGCAGAAATCCGAACGTGGAAAACGTTTTCCGGCGTGCCGGGTATTACACACCATCACACTGTTTACATTTTTCTTTTTTTTAACCACTGGCATTGCTTTCACTCTGTTTGCTTTTTCACCTGCTTTTTCCATTTTCTTTTATTACGTGTGTTAACTGGCCAAACACCAATCCGTGGGGGAATCCGTTCCGGCTTAAAATGAGTCGGCGAAATAATTGCCGGGATTAGTAAATGTCTAAAGGTTAACGGGCTTGTCGCTCCTTCTCCTTGTCCAAATACCCAGCTCGACTTAATTAAATTATGGCACAGGGAATTTTTCATACTCCTTACGACTAGGACGATTTAAAATGGAAATTATATCCAACGAATTTCTGCTCCAAATTTTTTTAAACATCAGAAAGTATCTCTGTCTAAGATGGGTGCTAAAATACAATACTCATAGTTATAGTAGTTTTTCCAATCTTATTTTCCAATACTTTTCACCAAGTTCATAAATCAACAGAAATTATTTATTAAATATTGTAGTATTGATATTCCCTTTCATATCATTTCATTCAAGCAGTTTGAAGCTTTTATGGCGCTTATTACAAACATTCTATTTTTAAGACTCTTTAAGTCAAATAAAATTTAATTTTTAAGTAAAAAGACAAAATTGGAAAATAATTTACAATTTTTAACGCTTTAACGATAAATATCAATTAAGATAAATATCAATATTAGTTACAATATATTTGACTTTATTGGGGTATAAGTTCTCTAAGCAAAGATAATGGACAATCAATCAAATCTTTAGTACTCAATAAGACTTTTTGCAAGCGTAGACCCGCTAAAAGCTGAGTCTCTATGCTTGGGCTTAGATTTCGAGGCGCTTTCTTATCGGGTTTTTGGAATGAGCATGTGTTCGCTGTCTAGTTTACAGTTGCCAGATAAATTCTCCATATTTTGGGGTAGAGAACAACGATAAACTAGTCGACAGATCGTGACAAATTGCAAATAATTCCGCGTTTTTACATCCCCACCCGATCGGCTAGCATTTGCAGCGATGTCGAAGTCAGTCGCTCTTTAGCTCGGGTCACCTGCGGTTTTGGGACCGTCCCCCCATTTTTCGATAAGTGTTTTGTGTCTGTATTGAAAATAAATTTTTTAATTATTACCTACAATATGTCATGCAAATCGTGGACTCTGCCGCGTTTGTCGCAATCAGGTCCATCCAGCCACAGTCTCCTGAATTCAGTGCGTCTCACTTATGCTTTATGTGCTTTTTTGAATTGTTTTCTTCACGCCGCCATGCGCAACATGCTCGGCATGATAATACTGAAAATGGTCATGCCGCACCCAGAGGATCACCTGGAGACTGCATCCCAGGTGGCTGAACAGCTGGGGGGACACAATGTCAGCACTGCGGGCCGATGCGGTGACTATCGAGGCATGCCCAACCCAATCATACAAGTGGCAAAGGCAAGTTCATTAAGCTTGTGTTTTTTTCTCCATAACAAAGCAAATTAGGAATAAAATATATTAAAGAAGAGAATATTTAATTTATGAACATTTTTAGACAGGCGATTTAAGTTGGACCCGTAACCAGGAGCTAACATTTCCCGGAATTTATTATTATGGCTATGTCGTTTCCATTTTTCTTTCCGGCTATTTAGCTGATCGATGCAGCAGCAAGAGGATTTTTATCCTCTCGATTATCCTGACAGCTCTGGTCTATATCCTGCTACCATTTACGGCTCATTATAGCTTCGAAGCAGCAGCAGTGAACCTAGTGATCTGCGGATTTCTGGCGGTAGATCGGAAAATTTTGCTAATAACTTTTCAAAATTAAATGAAATTTTATGCAGGGCGGCGGAAATCCAGCTTTGTATAAACTGTTCGTTATCTGGGCGCACCCCACGGAGAGAACGTCTTTGATTGCATTTGCCTACAGCGGGATTCTTATAGGATCTCTGACGGTGTATCCCCTGGCCGGTTTTTTAAGCGAATTTTCCTGGGAGCTCCCTTTCTATGTGATAGGCTGCGCATCTTTGGTTTTTGGAATTCTCTGCATTTGGCTTATATATGACAATTTGGATCAACATCCGCGTATAACTAAAAAGGAATTGGAATACTTGCAACAAGGAGTTTTAGTACAAAATACACAGGTTAGCATTATGTCTAATTCCCTTCTATAATGTCACAAACGGTTTATATTTCAGACGGTTAAGGTTCCTTGGAAGAAGTTGCTAAGCTCCCTTCCGGTATACTCCTTCATAATGACCCATGTGTTTCATAATTACACCTTTTTGGTGCTTGCAATTTCAATGCCACGATTAATGCGGGAGGCAATGGAATTTGATTTAAGGCATGTGGGAGTTTTCTCATCTATTCCCTTCTTGGGCGCATGCTGCTCGAAGGCCGTGTGCATCCTTGGTGGAAGCTATCTAGAGCGCCGCATGGGATCTTATCAAAACTGGATGCGTCGCCTTTTTTATGTCATCTGTAATGACGAATAACTAAAATTAAAATTAATATTTTATCAAATTTATGATTTATTACAGGTTGCATAGTGGCAATATGCTGCACAATCGGTATTATCATGTCTGATTGTGGGTACAAAATGTTGGTCCTGTTTATGTTAACCCTACTCATGTGCTTCTCGGATTTGGGATTCAGCATCTACTGGCCCACCTTGCTTTACTTTGGACCCTCCTTTGCCGGCTTAATTTCGGGAATGGCCAATGGACTAGCACATCTATCCGGGTTTTTGGCGCCACTTCTTGTGGCTTCTCTCGTGCATACTGTAAGGACTACGAAGATTAACAAAACATAACTCATTTTATAACTTACAGGGTAATAAATCCGAATGGAATATGGTTCTGTTGACTGTGATAGCGTTCAATATCATGGCCTTGCTGGTATTTGGACTTTGCAGCAGTACGAAATTACAACCTTGGGATCCAAGGAGCAACAAGGCGCCAACTGAGAACAGAGAATCCAAAGAAAATAATAGTTAACTTTAAATTGGCTTTCGTTGTTATACATTATTAATATAAGTACTGAATAATAAGTACTTTTTATTTAAAATATTTACTTCTGGAAGGTGTATTAAAAGCTCTTTTAAATGCGAGTAGCTACGCAAAATTTTCCTGTTCACTTTGCAGATTCCACTTTAGAAAAAACTGAAATGCCGGTTTTAAAATTTTTGTTTTCCTAATCTAATATATTTTCCATTTTAAATTCAACATATATTTTGAAATATTTATTGGCGGCAGCTCTAAAACAATCGATATCTTTTTATTTTAACGTACTTTTTGGATCATGGTTATCGTTTGGAACGCGATGCTGCCAGATTTTCATAAATAGCTAAATCTAGCAATAAAAAAGCTACAATGCAACCCTGCTTTTTAAATCATTGCCCCTTGACGTTCAATTCAATTTCAAAATTCAAGCTAAACTTAAATAAATATTACGCTGTATGTAAATATATCGTATATATATATAAAAATATATTAAAATATGTATATTTATATATATACATAATATGTATTTCATGTAGATATAAAAATATATCGTATGTTTTGACAACCCTGTTTTGGCACCTCCACTTGCTTTTTTAATCATAAAAGTTAAAATTCAATTCAATTCGTTTGCTTGACGTTCACGGACGTGTATCCGCACACAGCACTTACTCGAATATTTTTCGCAATACATATATCAAAATTCTCCGTGTGGATTCGATGCTAATCTGGATGCAACACTAAATTGCCTGTGTTACTAATCATTCCTTTGCGACGCAAAATTCTCAGTGAAATAAAAAAAAAACGCACCTAAAACAACAGAAGCAACAGCAGCAACGAATCGTTGAGGCAGTGATTCCAAAAATATTAATATATTTTCGTTGGCAAAATTGGACAAGCTTCTCGACGGAATTGAATGTGAGTAGAGAGTACCAGAAGTGCATTGAAATAAAAGAAATAATAACATATTGCATATGTACATACATGCTATGGCAACAAACCGGGAGATCGTTCGCAGAGAAGCGATCACACTAGTAGCCAGATAGAAGATGGACGGCAAAGAGGGTGGCGGGAAGGAAAGGCGGAAGTCAGAAGTCGAACGAAGCTTCCTGATTGCATTTGCCTTTTAACTTCCGCCACAGCACTTGGCTGGTTCACTTAAACCAGCTTCTTGACAAATCAATAAATGCCAAGTATCGTACAACAGCAGCGGTCAGAGCAGTAGCACTTAGCACTAGTCTTCCTTAGCCTAAAGCTCTACACTAGAATTAAAAATCCTCAACAAACTGTAAATATAACCGTTAAGAGGAACAATAACTTACATAGAATATTAACTTTATATTAACGCCTCATGTTCTAAGTAATATGTATATTAATGAAGTTAGGAGTTTCTTTTTAAAAGCTAAATATTGTCGATTTGTCAATCAACTTCAGAAACTCAAGCAAAAGTTCAACTTCCACTATTCATTTGACCTCCAACATATTTTGTTTGCCCGGTGAGCTAGGCTAGATTCTAAGTACACTAACCTGAGGAATATTAATGCCCCGTCGAATGTTTAAACACTTGTTACCTTGAGCCAGACGTGTTGTATTATTATCAATGTTATTATAATTTTTTTGTTTTTTGGGTTGAGGGAGGTTCATTCAATCAGTCGCACCAACACTGGCCTACGTGCGTGTGTAAATGTACTATATATACAACAAAATATTTAATATGTACATATGCACATATATTAGTACGATTGTTTACCTCCTTTGTACTTTTTGCATATTCGCTTAATGCATGCATGAAATTCGTTAAGTCTACCGAGTAAATAAATTTTAATTTTTCGCAATTTCATTTAAAATATGGCAACTGAATTCTGTTTCAGTTTGTATTTAGCCTCTTGTTTGTGTTGGCACGTACACACATCAGCATCGCCAGTCAGAGTTGCCAAGTCTTTTAGTTCTTTTTGTTTGGCTGATAAAAAGCAGCTGATTTCTATTAATAAATTGGTAAACAAATCAGAAAAATATTCCACTACTTGATAGTGTTCATTTATGAGATTATGAGACTATAAATTAGCTAGATTTGTATAGGAAGTAGACAACATCAAAACAACTCATATTCGGGAAGATAAGACTGTAAACAAACTCGGAGTATATACAAAAATTACTGTTTTGAAACAATTACACAATCTGAAACATTACACTATAAATAACAAAGTAAATAGCACGTATACGCACCATATACGCCAACACACTTTCGGTCAAGTTAGTAGCTACGCCCATGAACCGATCTGGCTTATTGCGTTTCTGCATAAATTGTTGTATTTCTCACGTTTGCTTGTTTGTTATTTTTTAGCGTTGATAACGACAGGGGTGTATATGCCATAAAGTGTTTAATGAGTGCCTTTGATACGAGCAAGAATCCAATATTCTTCCAATCGAAAATAAACGTACATATAGTAGGTGTATGTATTAAGTATATGCGACAAGTATGTCCACTTATGTGGGTCTCCTCTTTAGACTTTGAGCTGAGTCATTTTGTTTTCAAATTTTTGTGTGCCGCGGCCACAACGCAAAAAATAGACATCGCTGGTATAAACCGAAAAAAACGAAAAAAACGTTGCGCAAAAAGAAAAGAGAAAATGTTTAGTTAGTTTATTTATATAAACAAATAGGTATGTGTGTGATTAGCTCACCTGTATGCGTGCGGTTTTTGTTTTGTTTATAACATGCAATTGTCGAGAGAACCGGTTTTTTAGAACGACGCAACTGGTCGGCTTTTTGCCGGTAGAATAAATAAGCAATAATTTACATACAGTCTCACCTGGCTATTCTATTCTTACCTTCGTATGAACATGTAACTTATCTTCAAACATTTTCATTTAATTTCATTCCAGAAGCAATAATCATGTTGTTAAAAGTGCCATCTGTGGACTGGACGGATCAAATTATTTACGTGGTGGACGACGATGAGTCGCTGTCAGACATCGACGATGAGCCAGATTTCTCCGAATACATGTGGATGGAGAACGAGGAAGAGTTTGACAAGAACGTAAGAATATCATTCTCCTTGATATCAATTCAATTAAATTAATTTATTTTCATTAGGAACTTCAACGCCTTGAGGAGGAGGAAATGATGCAGGAGTGCTTCGAAGCCATGATCGAAGACGAGCTGGAAGAGCAGATTAACGAGTGGGAAAAGGCCAAGTGAGTGGACAAAATAGTACATTTTACCAGAGTATTAATAATTATGTGACCAATGTCCTTTGCAGAACGGAAGAACAGAACACGGCGCTTTCCGCACTGCCAAAGAGCCAGTGTAACGTGGAAAAGTCTATTCTGAACCCCATGGCCGATGAGTTTGTTCCCCGTAGTCATATAATGGATTTTCCCGCATCATAAAGCCAGCTAATGCTTGCCCGTCCCCACAAGTTCGCAAACCCCCCGCCCCATGACAAGTGGACCTCATTTGCGCAAATCCTAAGAAATCATAAAAGATCCTTTTTGCAAAAGGCTCGCCATACGATTTCGCCAATGAGATTGAGATCGATATTCTGACCAAGTTGAGCAGCTAGAGCATTCGGAGGAACCATCTACCAATGAACATCTACCTACTAGATACCAAAAAAAAATATAATCAAAAACTCAGTTGGTTCCTGACTCCAATGCTAGCGACCGAAATGCAAACGAATCATATTTTTAAAATTCATTATAAAAAAAAGTACAATATCATTGAAAAAAAATATAAAAAGTTTAAAACGGAAAAGCAACTAAACACAACAACAAAAAAACACTATAAACTGAAAACAGACAAATAACAAAGAAAAAGAACAATTAACAACTATGCCACGTACATAAAAGTACATTGTAATTAGAGTTAAAATAAAAACGAATTGTTTTGCCGAGGAAAGCGGAGCCGGAGCCCCGAATTCCCGAAAATGAAAATGTTACCGAAAATCGCAGACGCAGGCGCTTGCTGAAGCTAGTGAAACTTTGGTATTATCGTACAAAACGAAAACAAATGACTTTTTACACGCGACAAATTGTAAGTTGCGATTTCTATCGTCCTATAGAAGCCAACAAAAATCAACTTATATGTACTACAACTTAAATACGCCAATTTCCAGCTAGAGCAACTGTAAGCAACAAGAAGACTTGATTGTGTTAGATAAAAAACAATGTAACTAAAGTTAATCCAAGAAACGAACAGAATTTGTAGCCGTCATGTTTAATTGAAATTCTATTCAAAGACTTTAATCGTAGTTTAAATTGTATTTAACTTAGCGTCCTGCCCACTGTCCCTAAACTTGTTTTAAGTTAGTCGCTTTTGTGGAATATGTTTACATGTTTACTAGTTTTTTTTTTAATTTTATACCATTGTTAACTCGTTGTACGTTCTACACCTACGTCACAAGGAGCGCTTGTAACTTCCCTTCTGACTCTCGCAATACTTGTAATTGAAAAAGAAATACTTTAGTCTACTAAAACAGTAGGGATACTAACGTCTAACGCCTCACTATACAAGAAACCTGCATAATTATTTAAACATAGAATTAATGGCAAAGAAAAACGGTAACAAAAAAAAACAAAACCTTTATAATTTAAGCAGACAATTTCTTTGAATCGTTTGCCCTAAGCAAATGCACAAAAAAATTAAACCCTTTTGTTCAAACCGTTTAAATCATTTTCGGCATGTAGATAAAACTAAATTAATATTTTTTCAATCAGCTTAGATTTAGTGACTTAAGACAGCATTAAAAGATCTAATAAATTACTTACGTTATGTGTGATATAAAGATAAAAAAAACCAACAAAAAAATATCAAAAAATGATTTTAAAAATCTCAATAAAAAGAAGTATTATAGCATAAAATTATCGTGTACTTATTCATTTATAAAGGATTATATATTAAAGGACTTCCATATGGGAGTTAAGAATGAACAGATTAACTAATATTTCTTATTGAAATGGTCTATATTAATTATATTAGGATTGAATATTTCTTAATTTAAAATGAAGCTAATTAGACTTGTTTTTATTATCTTAAATTACTTAATTTGAAAGATTGATTTATATTTTTTATACAAAACTAATACAATTTCTTTACCGTAATTGAGTAATTGTAAGGTTGAGTAATTTACTTAACTTTAAAAAACTTTATTTTGTTTGTATTTTTTAAACACTAAAAAATAAGATTAAAATGTTGGAAAATTATAAGAAACTAAAAATATTTAAAGACAAGATGTTAATAAAAATATGATTTTAAATTTCATAAATAAAATTCCTTATATCTTCAATATATCGTTATGGAATCATCGCTGCAATCGATAGCATATCCAATTACCGATACCAAACATGGCGTCGTAGCTTATCATTTCGTTGTTTTTTAGTTGCGTTGCCGTATGAAGCATATTTCGCCAAGAAAAAGCGTATGAAATGTGAGATCGACAAACCCAGTGGCCAAGGCATGCAAAAAAGACTATCCGGAGGCATTAATCCACACTGAGGGGAAAGGGGATATGGCTGCGGCGGCAGCTGCACCTGCGACATCCAATGGGAATACACCTGCACTGGGGATTGCCCCCGCTGCTGCTGCTCCTGCAGGAGGGAGTGGTGGAGTGGGTGGTGGATCAGGTGCACAGTTCCGGGAAATTCACAAGAACACATGGCTGAAACGGCTGACGGCGGATGGCAAGCGATTGACTGTGGGTCCCAAGGTGCGTGTTCAAATAATAAAAAAGGAACTAAATTTTAACTGGAATGCGAATTCTTACACTTTCAGAAATCTGAGTGCAGCTGGGTGGTGTTTTGTGTTCATGATGATACTGAAGCTTTACTTGAGGGTTACGCGGAGCCACGGCAGGCGGCAGGACACTTGCCGGAGTGGGCCGTGTCCTTGCGGGAAACTCTGCACATTTCGCACGCCCTCATTCCCAATTCTCACGAATTCGAGTTTGTGGTAACGCTCAGCAACGAGGTGCTCCGCTTCCACGCCGTTTCATGGTGAGCTAATAGTTTCGCACGCAACGCCAATTACGGTTGCACAAGTCTCGATTACACGCTCGCCGTTTACTTTCGCTCTCGTTTCAGGGAGATTATGCAAGAATGGGTGGAAACATTGCGATCCAAATTGAGGGAAATGAAGATTCTTTCGCCGCGTGAAAATCTCTACACGAAGCTACCTGAAGTACGCGCTCCGTTGCTACCCACACGGGATCCCACATCACCGCTTCCGCCACCACCACCCGTCCCAGCAGCTCTGGTCCCGGGAGTTGAGCGTGTGGTGGCGCCCAGTCAACAACCATTGCCACAGTCCCTACCGGAACAGCCATCCAGCCCCACTCCTGTGGCTAATCCACTTCCCGTACATACAGCTCTGGCTTCCACAGCTCCTACGTCAGCTCCAACTCCAGCTCCCGCTGCCATGTCAAATACTCTTACCCAACACTTGCTGAACATGCTCTCGGATCCCATTAGTACCTACAGCGAACAGATCAGTGAGGAATTGGAGCCTTCTGGGGCAGAACTGGATGCAACAATAGAAGAAGCAGCAGCTTCAGACCCCCTTAACACGAACGATGCTGAATTGAATCTCTCCGATGACGAATTTCTGTCGCCGCTGCTGCGAAAAGCCTGTGTGCTAACCGAGAACGGGGTCCGCGTAGATGTTGTGGCAGCTACAGCTCAGCGAGTATCTGCGGGTGAGAATAGAAACTCCTTGATCGAGTTTACACCCTAAAATATTTATTCAGTTTTTATAAAGGTTCGTAACAAAATATAACTTTTAAATTGCAGATCAAATTCTCAATCTGGAGCACATGCTGCAATGCGAACGTCTGATACCCAGGTGAGTCTGCTACATCATCTCAGCCAATTCGTCGTGACTTCGTTGCAGGAATTTGGACACTTCCTTCTTGATTGTTGCTTTACCGACAAAGGTGTTGTTGAATAATCTGCGCAAGATTGTCAGATAGCGCATGGCACTGAGGGTTAGCTCATGCTCTTGGGCATCTAGTTTCATGGAGATTACTTTCTTGTACCTCTTGCTAACCTTGTCGCGCAGCTTGTCGTATTTGTCACTAGTCTTCTCTATTAGCAGAGCCTGTTGTTTCTTTTGGTAACACCTTGTATGGCCGATTAGAAGGCTTTTGAACTGACTTTCCAACTGATGAACCTCCGCAACATCTGATTCCTTCTCGCAGAGAGACTTGAAAAGGGTGCCGAAGAAGGTTTCCTTCGAGTTTAGTTGGGAGCAACACATCTGCTTCAGGGCAGTAATGGCCGAGATACTAAAGATTCGTTTTAGGCAGCGCGTTTCCTTCTCAAGTATTTTTATCTGCTCCTTTTGAATTTGAAGGGCTTTTTCGTTATCTTCCCGCAACTCCTGCAAGTCTGCATGCTGCTTCTTAAGGTTTTCCAAGTCAGAGGCCAAGTCTACATTGACCTTCATTAGTTTGCGGTTTTCAAGCTCCAAATTCTCGCCAGAACTGAAGCAAATAGACTTATCCTCAAAGGTTTTCATTTCCTCGTCGCCATCCGTGAGCTCTCCCCTGATGTCCAACTGTCGCATCATCTCCTGGAGAGTGCACAAGTCCGTTTGGGCGCAGTCGGGATCCGTAAAGGGATAGCCCAAAGTCTTTCGGGTGTTCAGCTGCTTGTGCAGGAGGACTAGCATGTAGTTCCGACCAAAGCGCTCCCTGTGCGTCGCCAGTTGGAAAATGTTGAGCCAGAGAGTGCAGGTGGGCATGATCTTGTACTTTTCCGGGAGCGTGCCGACCAGTTTAACCACACTGGCCACTTCCTTAACGAACAGATCGTCCAACGCGCCTTCGATTAGCTCACTATTGGACATGACTGACTGGTTTTCTAGAGATACTGAGTTGATTTGCATGTAAGCACACGGCTACTAAGGTCACGATCGATACTGAATGAATAACTAACCAAGCTGTAGATGTGTTTAAGATAATACATTGTTCTAGCATACTAATATTCCACCTAATTTATATTCCAGACCACAGACATCCAGGTCGATGTCCGCAGGAGCTGCTGACAAATCAAAGAGGCCCCCACGCAAGCCCCTGCAAGCCCAACCAACAGCCCAAGCCTCCAAAAGCGAGGAACCTCAGGACAATGTTACAATCATCCAGGTGTCTAACACCAGCACCGTTGGCCAGGATCAGGATCAGCCGCCAGAACTGCCGCCCAAGAATACCACAACAGCCGAGGTCTTTCGCTTCCCAGAAGTCAAGGCGAAAGTGAATGGCAAACAGCATTTACCACAGGCCCATCAGGAGTATAAAAGCAATGTACAAATCATTCCGTCCAATGTCCAGTCCAGCAGCAGTACCAGTACCAGTACCATTCAAGTGGGCAGTAGTAATTCCTACACCACGCCGATCAAGCAAAGTGCTTCCAATAGCTCCAGTTCTAACACGCCGGCCAACTCTTCGGGCACCACCAAGGTGAAGGTCTTGAATGAAGGAGAAGCCACAACTGTGGCCGTGTATGGAACATGTTATCCATCGCCCTCCACTTCCAATTCAGCTTCCAATCCCATCAAGCCGCAGACTCCTAAGCTGAGCAAGAAAATCATACTTAGTGCGAATACGTCGGGCATAACGAACATAAGTATAAACAGTGAGCAGAGCAGTGACGCCATCATCAGTGGCAATGTCCACTACGAAAAGGTGTTCCTGTCGTCCAGCATTCCCATCAGCAGCAACGCCAGCCCCACGAGAAGTGCCCAGCCTGTTGCGAATGGAAGTCCAGTCCTATCACGTCGAAGGCTGGCTTCGCCGCAAACCCAAGTCCAGCCAGTGCCCCAAAATGCTCCTAGAAGGACACCCCAGTTGACCAGAGGTCTAACGGAGCTGGTGATCAGCTCCAGACCTAGTCGCAGGGACTTCCACTACTTGAAACTACTCAACTCGCCTTTGAAAACCAAGACAACTCAGAAATCCAGCAGCGCAACAAACAACAATATCGAACATCAGCCGCCTGCCAGCTCATCCAACTCGTCTCAAGTAACAGCAGTTCAGCGGGTTACGACCAGTGAGAGCCAGGAGCAGCGCCGGCGCAGCTCATCCACTTCAGATGCGCAGGCGCCGCTTCAGCGAGTTCCCCGCGAGCCGGGAAGTCAAAGAAATGCCAACAATAACGAGTTTACCCCGTCACGCAGTAGCGCCTTTAGGATGCAACCTCCGCCACAGGGAGCTCCTCCCAGCAGCAGCACCCCAGCATCGACAAATCCCGGTCAGCAGTCACCCAACAAGCGTTTAACCCTGAGGGAGCAACAAGTCATGCAACTGCGCCGGGAGATCATGCATCCGGGTGGGGTGCGATTAAATTTGCGGCGCAAGGATTGCGTGGGCTCCATCGCCTGGTTAGATGCCTTCGGAGGCGTTTGGTAAGTTTGGGAGCGATTGTATGTAGTCTAACCTCTATCTGATTGGACTTAAAGGCAAGATCAAGGCAATAATTATATTTTATTTTTCAGGATTGGAGGCTGGAAGCAGAAAGAGCACCCTGTGCTCTACAATGCCCTCCACATTGGCGACCAGCTACTGACCATTGCCGGAGTGAACATCAGCAGTGCCGCGGAGGCCAATAAGATTATCAGGAATACGAATACGTTATTTGTAAGATAGATTCTTCTATAAACATGTAGAATATATAACTCCAATGGCTAATTACCAGGTCGAGGTTCTGCTGCGTCGCATTCCATTTGGACGTGCCTACGCCATAAGACGTGACCGCGAAGGGCAATGTCTGGGACTGATTCGCGATGGAAATACGGCAACTATTGTGGACGTGGTGCCGAACAGCTTGGCCGCACGACACGGGCTTCCTCCCAAGGTAAGTAATGGATCAGTTTCAAAGTCAGTTACTAAACTCTAATCTTTCTTGCAGACCCAGTCATGCGATGGAAACTCGCTCACCTTTTGGATGCTCACCGAAATCAATGGGCGTCCTTTGAATCTCTTTTTCAAAGATATGGAGATACGCGATCGCCTCAATTCCGTTGGCCGGGATATATCCATTTTAGTGCAGCCATCTGATCTGATCACCAAGCTGAAGAAGCAGCTAAAGTCGCTGCGCGGCTACAAGGATTATTTGGTGCAGTGAACCACAACCACAATTACAACTACAACCGAATACATATAGTAACTCGCAACTGTAATATGCTGCAATAGCTCCGGGCCAGTAATCATTCCATAATATGCATATAGAACCGCTATATAGTCAACTAGTACTGGTAGAAACACTTCACTATATCACTCATGCTATGATGGAAAATACTTAAAGGACTTAGGTGTTTAGTCGAGGATCATATACAAAAAGCAACCTATAAATATATATATATATATTTTTGCAAATTTTTATATAAACTCATATACATATATATATACAAATCAAACCTATATATTAGATATATATACAACACACATGTATAGCTGACACTTTAAAATGTTACCAAATTTACACCTCGAATTTGTTTGGATGCGAAAACGTTATAAGAAAAAATTTACAACTCAAAAAATTGAAGTATTTTAGGTTTACATTAAAAACCACACTATACCCCACACACCACACACACACAACACAACACACACAGCCTATGCAACTTAGTATCCTTATGCAATATTGGAGTGCCTCTGATTTAGTTCATTGATGTTGTTTATTAATTTCATTTTTTAATTTGTTTTTCGTGCGAAAAGACACAAGGCATCGTTATTTGTAAGATGTGATAAAAACGAGTACTCAAATTTAGGCAATTTTTAATGGTACATTTGTAAATGCTTTTTGATTTATTTTATGTATAAGTTTCAGTGAGTAATTTCGATACACACATTATTATTATTCCCAATGTAACGATCTTGCGAAACCTTCATTAAAGCAATTCCACTCAAGAATCACTCACAGACCGTACCTCTCTTGGCCAATCGGGTGCTCTGCTTCCAGATCCGGAAATTGTACACATTCGTGTCCAGCGTTGAGTATATAAAGATGGGCATGGAGTTGCTCATGACCCAAATGGTACCCTCGTCGTCGATCTGAACAAAGATTCATATGGAAATTAATTATAAGGATATATATAATTGTAAGGATATATCTCACCGACAGATCACTCGGATATATCATGTCCCTGGCATTCGAGTCTACCGTCCCATGGTTATCCACTGTGAAGGGCTGGCTGCTTTTCCAGCAGCCCACTCCGTTCTTTTGGATCTCGGCGAAGAATATCACCCCTGTCTTGGGATCATATTCGTGCATCGTGGACTGGGTAGCTGGGCCTCGGGAGCCCAGTACGCGGAAATCGTTGCCGTGATCGGAGCGAGCTGCATTGGACTCCTGCTGCAGCACCTTGTTGGAGACCACAAACTCGTAGGTGCTGGCCATGGGATGGAAGAAGACGCTCCTGCTGCCATCCGGTAGGTGGGGTCCCAGGGTTGTTGAGAAGATTCCGTCGTCCCAGCGGAATGTCTGACCACCAATGTTCAAGTCCCCGGCCAGCGGATCAAAGTTGAAGTAGTTGTGTTCAAAGGCCCAAATGCGGTCAGTGGCCAGGTGATAAACACCAAGACGTCGGTACACCAAGTCCGGAATATAGGCATAAGCATCGTTACAGTTTCCGGCCTTAACATCGACAGTGATGCTGGCCAGACCACGACCTGTCTCCGCAATGTTCTCCGGAATTTCAAAGCGTTTCAGGACAATATCATTGGCCAAGTCCACCACCCAGATGCTGGGACGACGAATCTGCTGGCGATTATCTGTAATCCATGGGTTGTGGGGGTGTCTTGGTTTTCAGAACTAGCATGATACTCACTTGGATACTCCAGCATTCCTGTATCGATGAACCAAAGACGTTGGCAGGCATCCACGCTGGTGCGGTAGACGGACACCAAGTTCTCGGCACTATTGTTAAACTGATTCATCGCGAAATTGGGATACGCCAGGAGCTTGGGGCTCTGCTCCCGACCATCCCGCGACAGGTCAATGTAGTTCAAGGTGGATGGGATTCCCACACGCCGGCGAGGCATCGTTACGAACAGCCGGCCCCGGAAGTGGGTGACCCCCATGGGGACGTTGTTGTACGGAATGTAGGGGGCATTGCTATCGTCACTGCTGACCCGACTGCCAATGGAGAGTGGAGTGTCGCGGGACGTTAAACTTTCACGTTTGGCACGTGAATATTTGCCAGGGAAAGCAATGGGACCTGGTCATAAATAAAAAAATATATTAATATTTATAAATTTACGAAAATTTAAACATTTATAATACATAAAAAAACATTAAAAAATTAAATAAAGAGGCTAATTTTTTGAAATTGTGGGAAATTGAAGAAAAATATTTAAAATAACAAGGAGTGTATATTCTTATGGAAGATTTTTAATTTTAAATTACACAAATTATATAAAATCAATAAAAATTACATCACAAGAAAAAATTTACATCTCTCTAAATAATTTACATTTTATGAGGCTTTTAAATACTAGGCACAATATAAGCCATTATTTTCTAGCTTTACCTGAGACACTGGGTCTATCGGGCCTGTGACCATGACCATAGCCATGCCCACCGGAGTAGCCATCTCCGCGGTTGTAGAAGTCCATCTGCTTCCATCGAAACACTTCTATGAGGGGATCGCCTTCAACGGACCCCAACACATGTAGCCCAGCGATTAGCCCGAGGATTAGGGCTGGTGATAACATTGTTCTTCTGTGCCTGCTTGGGTAAGCTCCGTGACTAAAGCTCAGCTTGATCGCCTTGCCAGCTTGAGATTTCAATATCAACTGAGAACTGACTACAATTTGCACAATTCCCACGTACTCAGCAGCTGGAAAGTTCAGTTTTAAAATTGATAAGAACGTTGGGTGGCTCTCTCCTTAAACCGGTTCTCGAATCTCGACTTTTTTTTAAGCTAATACTGTTGCTAATATTTGTTCAATCAGTGATTTATTAAAACAATAAATTTAGGTACTTTTTTTATGCAAAATTCAAAATGTAAAAATTTAGGACGATTTAAGCAACTTAAAAAAAATTAAATTTTTAGTCGCACTAGATGTAAAGAAAAAAATATTACAATTAAAAACAACAATTGTTTAAATATTTTTTTGTAAAAACTCAATGAGTTCGTTAGTAGGTCAATTATTGTTTAAAACCCTAAAAAAACAAAGCAACAATTTCAAAATAAGTATAGAATGATCAAGCAGGCAAGTCATTTCTGCTATTTCTAAAATACTTTCAAATTTTATGTTCGGATTTCAATTTTCAAATAAATAAAATTGTGGTTTTTATAAAATTTCCCTTAGGACCCTGGTAAAATTTCCCTGGTTGCGAAACTAGCTTATACAAAAAGTCTCATCCCTAATTTAATGTCATCTCTAGTTGTCAAATGTATAAAAGTTTCTTCTCTAACCAAGTCTCATAACTAACAAGTGCAATCGAGACTTTGTATCCCTGGCGTCTTTTCTGCATGCTATAGCGAAACTGCAGCTAATTAAAACCCGAGATTTGCCAATACAATAGAAATTTTTGTCGGAGGTCGGATGGCAGGACGATAGACGACAACTAACGAAGCTTGACGCGTGCAGTGTTGCGGGATAAATCGCGTTTTGTTGCGTTGCGCTCTTTTCCATTCCAATCCGATTCACACACATACGCACACGAACACGCTAACACAAACACACACACACACAAGAGCGCACACGGAAGCGAGTGAAAGTGCATCTACATCTGTGATTCTGTGTAATAATGCGTCGCGCAATCGCGAATTTCGGTCGCTCCAGCAAGGACTAACAAGTGATCCTATCCGGAGACTGTGATACGAGTGCTAGAGTGAAAAGCCTTCCGATGGCCTCCAAAGAATCGGAGGAGGAGCAACCGGGAGGGTCAACCACCCAACCATCCACCCCCATCGAAGATCCCATTGTAAATGGCGATGAGGTGGAGGTGGAAATTAATTTGGAGGTGACTTGCTGCCATGCGAGCGATGCCCCGGCATGCTCCGCTATCACCACCGATACCATCTCCTACGCCACCTCCTCCTCCTGCTCTGCTGCTGCCATGGAAGCGGCTGCATCGCCACCGCCTGACCAGGCGAAGCCGGCGGGCTGCCAGCTACTGGAGCGGCTCAACTTTCCCGAGGGCAACATCATTAATACGCTGCACACCATCCTGGCGCTGCCGCCATTCGATCCGTATGCGCCGCCGCCAAAATCCGAGACTGTCTACAAGGAGGTGGTCTCGCTGATGCAGTGGAGTCTGCGGGATGACAATGCCATCGAACTGGAGCTCAGCGATAAGCTGCTCCATGCCTGCGATCAAAAGGGCACTGATCCCAACGACAAAACGCGCTCGTATTTGGTAGGTTATCCTTGCAAGGATTCCAATCGGATGGCCATTTACTTTTATTTTCTTAGATGGCCATTGAGAAGATGCGTCTGTTTTCGGAGGACCCAACGAATCCCCTGGATGCTGACGGGCAGCTGCGTGCAATTACGGTGTGTTTTCCTATTTAAACGAATCAGCTTGGAGACATCGACCTAATCCATTGTAGCTCTATTTTCAGAATCTTGCCTTCATATTTGTGAAACACCGGAAGGAGGAGTTCTTCACATTTTGTTCCTGCAAGGAATGTCTCGAATATCGCGAAACCATCATGGCCATCATGATGGATCAATTTAAGGCTGCGCACATGGTGGTTATGCTGTTGGACGTACTGATCAAGGCCTACAGTCCCATGTTGAAGTAAGAAATACTAGCCTTAGTACCTTAATGAGATACTATTTATACATCATCTTCAAATTATAGAAACGATGCTGCCTATAATAAGTTTGAGAAGCTGCTGGAGTGCAACAAGGAGATCTATTGGATCACCAGCGGCTACCTCTACGATAAAAATGCCGAATATCTTGATTTTATTGATGACACAGCGATCTCTGATAATATGATATTAGTGTTATTCAGCGCCATGTAAGTGGAGTCCCTCTGGAGCCTAGTCCCCAGACAGAATCCGAGTATTGTTTATTAAATATTGAATTTCTTTCCCTACCCACCAGCTTAATGGCAAACAATCCGATGTTGCTGCTACAAATACTCGCCTATAACGTGGAATGCATTGTGAAGGCATTCACTGAGGGCATGAAGGAAATCGCTCAGAACATTCAGGAGAACGAGAAGCTAACTGCAGAGAGGATGCTAACATGTAAGAGCATTTTTTGCCATTATGTAAATGTTCAATATCACCTTAATCTATAATCTTTTATTCTCTATTATCCCATTTAGACATCCTGGATGGATACTCTGATCTTAACTGCATCTCGCAGAAGATCTCTCTGAGCCTGTTCGCCTTCGAGAACGATTTTCTGCGCAAGTTTAAGCTCTCCTGGGTGCTGCTCTGCCAGCGTCTGTTCCAACAGCACGTGTTTGCACCTCTGTGCGACACCATGCTGGCCTGCATCCTCTCGCTGAAGGAGGCAACACCGTCGGCACCGACCATTGCGCTGATAAAGCGTTACATGCTCTTCGACGAGCACATGCACTCCATCGAGCGGCGCTGGACGGACATTTGGATTGAGCTGAACAAGTTCAATCTGTCGCCGACAGAGCACGATAGACGGGCGGGCCTGCTGGATGTGTACAACATATTCGATAAGGTCGTCCTGGATGCCACCTCCTTTTCGCTGCCGGACATCAGCGATGATGAGTTCATAGACTTTCAGCGCATTGTCGACCGGCAGCTGGCCTGGAAGAACATAATGGCCTTCACCAAACTGAAGTGGCCCGATGGCTTCTACGATCCGCCCAACAAGCTGGTGCATGAGGATCTCTGCAAGAAGTGCAATTCTCTCCTCGAACACCACAACGAGTAAGATCCTTAATTCGAAAATAATAACATTTGAAACTAATTGGTGACTTGACTTTCAGGAACTGCAAATGCATAACTTGCTCCATAGCTGGCACACCTTTGCGACCGCGACAAGCGGGCCATTGCGCCAAGTGCACAACGCTCGGCATTGTCGAGAAAGACGCCAAGCTGATGAAGTCCAAGATCCTAAGCACATGCACCAGTGACGAGGCGAAGCACAATGCGGCCACGGCTGCCGCCAGTTCTTCTGCCCAGCAGCAGCAGCGACGATCCAGCGACTTGCCAGTTGAGGACGAGGCGCCCTCGGGTAGCGTATCGACGGTGTTCCGTAGGCAGGCGGAAGCCGCTCCCACGGACACCCTGCGCACCACGTACCACATTGCCTGGGCAGTGTTCCAGCATTTGACCACCCGAAAGCGCTATCGCCACGATACAATCGAGGCGCAGTTCTTTTGCGGTGAGAACTGCAGGGTCTCTGCATGCCAACTGGCCAGAAAGATCCTGGCCAACCAGCTCTCTCCACCGCTGACCAAGTATCTGCTGCGGTGCTTCCAACCCTTGTCATTTACCCGCGAGGAGCTTCGCTCGACTTTACCATCGCTGATGTTTTTCAACCGCAAATTGGCGCCGAGCCCCGCGGAGCTGCAGGAGCTCCGCCAGCAGCACTATGTCTACAGGACCTACTGGACCTTTGTCCTGTCCATTTATGCCAATTTCTTTGTCAAGTTCAATGCCAGCAGCACTGACTTCTCCGCCTTGGAGTTGCTCAAGGGCGACTTGCGCCTGCGCATGAACAGTGTAATGGGCGACAAGGAGGACGGTCGCTTCGAGCAGTTTTTGGCGCAGGTTATTGGGTGAGTTTGATGTTTCAAAACCGAGTAATACAGCAATTAAAAGTCAATATTAACTATTTCAGGTATTCTCCATTCAAAATCACGGATGAGTAAGTTTTAAAATTAATTATAAAATACCTTATTTCGGTCTTTGGACCTGCTAGGGTTGCTCTATCCAAAGAAAATCCAAAATCAGAACTTTTAACAGGGTTACCATTTGAAAAATGGCGTGACTTTGAGATTCCAAACATGTTCTGAACATGTTCGATTTTGGCAAGCCAACAATAGTGCTGGTAAAGGCCACAAAGTACAAGTGCTGCCAAACGGAGTAAAGCTTTTTTGTGGCGTCCTGTGACCCTAACCCTATTTTTCACTTTTCCGATATGACTTATCGAAGCCATTTATCGATTGTTGATCGCTCTACATTCGGGTTGCTTTGTGCTTGCAAAATAATCGTTTCTGAAATATTTTTGAAGACAAAATATTATTTGGGATGCACTTCAAGGTATCAAAGTCACATGTTGGTCACACTTCGGGATGGAGTAACTACCTCAAATAATTTTGTAATGTAGTAGGCCACATGAACTTGCCTAATGACATTTGAGCTCTAACTACCATTCCATTTGAGAATTCCGACTTGAAAGGATTGAATTGTAGCATAAGCATTCAATTTTCTTTTCTTTTTTCGCTTGCAGTTTTACACTGGGCGATGCGAACATAGAAAAGATGCAGTTTGGTGTGGACCAGCTAATGATGTTGCACGACTCTCAAATAATGTAAGCTGCCGGACCAAAGAATCCAAGAATCCTCATTAAAATCACATTTTTTTGTTATCTCAGAAAACGCACTAAACCAGATAGCACTACGGGCTCATCGTCGGCCAAATCAAAGGCAGGTGATCCCAATATGGCACAATCTGGTGGCAGAAGTGGCGATGCCAGCGGCACTAAGAAGAGTAAGGAGAAGATGCGCAAATGTAAGTAGCAAGGCACTCATATAGTAAGTCCCATCCACATTGAATGCCATTTATCCCTAAGGCTGTGCTGATTATGCGGACATTGGTGAACCTTGCAAGGAGAACCACTCCAAGAAGCGCGTTAAGAAGGAGTGTAATCATGCTCGTTTCAATGAGACTCGTGACCGCCTTCGCAAGAAGCTCTCACAGATTGTTAACGATCGCAAGACCAAATCGACGGAAGAAAAGTCCACGGCCGAGTCAGCCTCCAACCCACCAAAGCGTCCGCCCAAGGATGAAGGTCAGAGCGGCAATCAGCCGCCGAGCTTGAAGATGTTTGCCTCCAAGCAGCTGAATTCTTCGGCCAACTCCAGAAAGGCTTCTAGTGCAGGGGCTTCCAATGAGACCGACGAGCAGGATCAGGAGCAGGACAATAGTCTGCTTTGCCTGGACAGCTTGTGCAAGAGCATTCAGATGCACACGGATGCCACTGCGGCGGCCAATGCCGCTGCAGCTGCCGCAGCCGTAGCGGCTGTCAAGGGGAATGGAACAGGTTTTCCAGCTGACTACAGCAAGGAGGAAATGATGCAGGACTTTGCCGAGTTCCTTGGCAGCTACACGCGCGAGCAGGACCAGCAACGCTGGATCAACGAAACCCTTAACTTTATCGAGGGCAAATCCCAACAGCCGCAAACCTCCAACCCAAAGAAGGCGGCCAAAAAAGCCAAGCAAAAGATGCGCCGCGAGGAGGAGAAACGCATCAAGGAGCTGGAGGATTTGCGCGGTCAGTTCTTGGACATATATTTTAAGGAGTTCATTGATAAGTACGAGATGAAGACTCTCACGGCTGCTGGCGGCCGGAAGAAGGAGAAGAAACGCATCGGGGAGTTGGAGTCGAACATCAAGAACCTCCAGCGCGCCAAGGCAAAGGTGGAGACAGTGATCCTGGAGCTGATTGCCACCGTGAAGCAAACCAATAGCGAATTTAGGTTCTCCTACCTGCCCACAAAGGAGCAGCAGCTGGCCAAAATGGCGCAGCTGGAGGAAATCTTAAACGGAGGATCATCCACAGCTGCAGTCGAAGCTACCAATCAGTCAGCTCCTGCAGAACCCCCTGGATATCCGGAGTATAGTAACTCCTCCTTTTACCCAGGAGCCTCAGCCGCTCCTGTTGCGCCTGTTAGCTTTGCTCCTCAGCAGCAGCTCTCACGCGATGTGATCGCCGCCATGGCGGCCAACTCCATCACTGCCGATCCCTCCAAGCGCATAGTGACCATTAGGCGTGTGCAGCTTCCCCATCCTGGTGCTGAGCAGCAGGTGACTGTGGTGGCCAAAGGCAGTGCGCCGCACGAGGATAAGCTGCTCTACACTTTTGTGAACGGCCATATGGTCGCCTCGGCAGAGGCTGCGCCGGTGCCCGTGGCTCCCGCTCCGGTGGTTGTAGCTCCTATTCCAGCTCCCAGTGTTCCGGAGAAGAGCGCCAAGGCGAAGAAGAAAGAGGCTAAGCGAGCGGCAGCAGCAGCTGCGGCTGTGGCGGCAGCAGAAGCCGCGGCGGCAGCAGAGGCAGCGGCGGTAGCCGAAGCAGCTGCAGCAGCGGCCAGAGCGGCGGCGCTGGCTGAACAGCAGGTCAAGGCCAAGCTAACCAAAAAGCAGCCCAAGAAGCAGGCTACTGCCGTGGTGACCAACAACAGCGCCACGGCCAGTAACACCTCCTCCAAGTCTCAGACGCCGCAGAGCACCCGCGAGAGCTCGGTGAGCAGTGTGAAGCCAAAGACGGCCCCCAAAAAGGGCCCGGCTGCCAAGATTCCAGCTAAGGAGCCACCCAAAAAGGAGGTCCCCATTCCAGAACCAGAGCCACCAAAGCGTCAAAAGCGTGTTAAGTCTCGTCTGGATCCTGGACAGCTGGACAACAATCCTTTCAAGTCTCTGCACATGCAGGACTCTTCGGAGGGTGAATGGGAAACGGGCAGTGAGGAGGACGAGGTCCCTGCTCCGCCAGTTAAACAACAGACAGCTAAACTGCCAGCAGCTCCGTCGGTGAAGCCGGTGGCCCCACCTCCAGTGATTGGTAAGAAGAATCAGCCACCAGCCGTTGCTCCGGTGGTTGTTACTTCCAAAAAGGCCAACAAACAGACCGAAGCGTCGCACAAACTGCCGTCAAAGGAAGCCCCCAAAGTTCAAACCCAAGCCAGGGGCAAGCCTCATCCCCAGCAGCAGCCAAGTCAGCCGGAGAAGGTGCTCCCACCAAGCAAGACGCAAGTGCCCCAGCGCCCGTCCGACTCCAATAGGAAGCAGAAACCAGCTTCTGGCCCAGTCGAATCGAATCGTAGTGTCCATAATGTCCATCCCCCACAGCAGCAACACCAACAGCAGCAGCAGCAACAGTCGTTGCGTGGAGGTCGAGGAAACAACCCGCGGGTGAAGCCCCCACCCAGTGGCCAACAGCAGCAGCAGCAGCACTCAAGTGCTCAGCCCGAACGATTGGAAGCTAACGCGAATTCGAAGCGATCCCAGCGGGGCAAGCGTGGACACCGCCAGAAGCAGGGTAAGCTGTTATAGGGAGTGGTAGTCGCATCCAAATAATAATATTTCACCCACAGAGGACCTATCCGGCATTCCCCACAACATGGGTTATTTTAATCCAAATGAAGTTGCCATACCACCGCCGCAGCAGCAGCAGCAGCAGACGGGCAGTTACGCCAGCACCTTGTCCCAGCAGATGAACAATCTCCGCATCAGTCAGCCATCTGGCGGCGGCAGTTCTAAGCAGACGGGTCAGTCGCCAAACTGCAGCATCATGGACCAACTGAACCGGGGTGTTCAGGTGGAGCATCTGTCTCTGCCGCCGGGCATTACGCTCACCAAGGTGGATCCGGCCAAGAGCGAGCAGTTACGCCAGAAGAGTGAGTCTATTCGGCTGCTCTCGAAGCCATTGGCCGAGCAACAGCCGACCCAGCCGCAGCACCATTTCCAGCAGCCGTCACAGCAGCTTCTGAGCAACTATTACGGAGCTGCCGGGATGGCTGGCATGGATCCAAACGGGGTGATCATGGTGGAGGCGAATCCGCGCTCCACCCGCAGTCAGGCTGCGCCGAGTGCTCCTCCCAATGTGGCTGCAGCCGCTTCAGCGGCCACTGCCAGTGGTAAGTCCTCCAGACGTCGCCGCCGTAACCGCGGAAAGTCTGGAAGCGGTAGTGGTGCAGTTGGTGCTAATGGCTCTAGTGGTGTGGCAACCAAGCAGCGTTCAGCTGGAGGTGGAGGAAACGTTGCCCCAGCCAGGTCTGGAGGAGCAGGGGATAACCAAAAAGCAACTGCATCGCCGATTGCTGGCGGAGCCACAATTGAGACCAGTGCCGGGGGCAACATCATAACTCTGCGCAATCCCATGTTCCATCAAGGCAATGGGCCAGTTTCCGGTGGTGGAATGTTGCCACCAAATCCAAACCCCATGCCGCCAGGTAATCCTAGGATTTAAAACTTGTAGTCACATCGAGATCATCAACTAATCTGGTTCTAACTCTAAAAAATATATCTTTCAGCCCGGACCTACGGTGGCACTCTGCCCATCGCACCCTCCATGTCGATGGACCAACCGGCGGCGATCATTAAGAACGAGAACGGCATGTTCACCATCCGCAACCCGGCACTGCACCAGGCCGTGACCAACGGTCTGTCGATGGGCGGCTACCGGCAGTTTGGCAGCAACGTCAGCTACTATACTCCGCAGGAGGCTGTGGCCGAGGCAGCTAGAGCCGCGCAGCAGAAGCAGCAACAGGGATTGGGCGGCAGCCAGACCAACAGCAGCCCCGCCAGCTCCTTCTCGTACTTTTCCAGCGGCTCGGCCAGCGGTAACAGTAGCGACAACGGGACGCACAACAATATCAGTATTAGCTGTAGCAACGTTCCACCGAATGCCGAGAATCCTGGCCGGTTGGTCGGCGAGGCGGCGGTGATTGCCCGTCCCAAGCAATCGCAGAAGTGTCTCTCGGCCATTGGCAGTGAGCTGAAGCAGAAGACCAAAGACAGCAAATGGCAAGCGGTCGATTATAATCCGGCAGCTGCAGGTGGAGGAGTAGTTGGACCAGGAGTTGGAGTAGGAGTTCCGCTGCAAGACAAGTACCAGCAGTCGAGCTATTACAATGGCTTCGAGATGTTCTCTGGCGGCGGACAGGCACCTGGCTCGAGCGGCGGCGGATCCAGCGACTGTCACATGCATCACAGTTGCGGCGACGATTCGCCGCCACCTCAGATCACTGGTTTCAATTCCTACCTGGAAGGCATCCCGAACACTGGCGTCATCCGCTACGACGACGCCGCCTTCCTCAAGAATCTGATTCCTGGTCAGCATCTCAACAACGAGGTGCGTCGCTATCAAGAGCAAGCCTATTTAAACTATTTGAACAATCAAGCGTACTACAAGTGTCCCGAGTACAATGTGGAACCATGTCCATTTGTTTCGTTTTTCTCATCCTGAAAAATCCATTGTCTTTCATTTTGTCAACCAAAAAATTATATGTACAAGTAGGATTTCTGTAAGGGATATACAAAAATAAATATGTGGACATTGGGTGTTATTATCTTTATTATTTCAGCTCATTTTTGGTTTCTATTCGGATTTAGTTAAAGCATGATCATAAATCTCAATAATATTTATCAGTCCTGTTTATCGAAACTTATCGAAATATATTGCAGGTCTCGATACACAATATATCGGAGTCGAACTTTACGAGAAACAACGCCTCGCCATCGCCGCATCATGTGGAGATAACCAGTGTGTTCGGTGGACGGGTGCGAGCTCCAAGCGCCTTTGAGCCGCAGCAGCCACCGCCAGGTGCCACGTATTGTGACAGTGGTAGGTACCAGTCTTGATCGATCATTGACCATAATGACCTCATTGATCTTCCCCTGCAGATACCCACCTCTTTGTGCAGAACAGCCTTCTGCAGCGTCCTTCCGATCCCTTTGGCTACGACTTCGATCCCTCGGTGGGCGGCGGAGCCGGAGGTGGCTCGAAGGCGGCCAGTGTGGCCAGCGACATAAACGAATTCCTGCGCCGCAGTCCGCACAGCCAGCGCACCTCGCCGTACAATCCACCGGACGAAAGCGCCGCTGCTCTGGAGACGTTTGTCCAGAACATGAACGCCCTGCAGATCGCGAGCGATGCCGAGCAGTGCTCGCGTCTGAACGGAACTGGATTGGGAGCGGGATCCGCTATCGGAGGTGTACCCAATGAGGCGCCCTTGCCATCGGATGCCACCGCCGGAGGAGCCGCCAATGCTGCCGCTGCATGGTGGTAATGGGCGCGACATGACAAGAGCTGCTGCTGCCGAATCCGAATCCCATTCAAGCATTCATCTCATAAACATTTCATCATCGCTTACGGCGGAGAACGAAACATAAAAATACAAAAAACAGAAAACACATCCAAGAAATCATTTAAAATGGCTTAAAAGTCAATTTCGATGTTTCAGCAAAAAAGAGAAAAATAAAGAAAAAAAAATTTAACTTAAATGTAACTTCAATATCTTCTGATATTCTGGGAGAATCATGGAGGAAAGCTCTTTCGAATTAGGTTTAAATTCACGCGATAATTAATTTTATTTAAAATTTTCAATTTGATGCTAGTACTTTGTAAAAACTTTAAGCTTAAATTCCACAAATTAGATGCCTTTTCAGTAAGGTGGCTAAAATACTTGATTGGGTTCAAATCTCAAAGACAAGGGAGCCAGAGGCGTAGCTGACGCTGGAGTCCTCCATGTCCTGGCACTGGCTACTCTGGGCGTACTTCAGGAACTTGAAGCTCATCTTGTCGTAGCCCTGCTCCTGCAACGCCTTAACCGCGCCCAGCATAACACCGATGGGATGTCGGCCGCATATCGTGTTGCTGTACTTGCGCAAGTACTCGGTAAAGGCCTGGGGGCTGAGCGACTCAATGATGTCCATGCCCTGCTTGTCCAGCTTCTCGATGGACTTGTGAATGGGTCCGCAGGAGCGGTCGTAGTAAGTGTAGCTGAACCGCTGTCCCCAGTGACAAAAGTCCGAGGATATCACAAATAGGTTGGTGGGATCCATGAAGTACGAGGAGAGAAGGCTGCCGTACTGCGCCTCCTGTTCCGGATTCAGAGAGCCCACCAGGATAGGCACAATGGTGAACTGATCCTTGTAGCTGCAAAGTGTACAAGTTATACTTTCGTAACCATAAGAAGTATCTCAGATTAGACTCACTCTTCCATAACTTTGGCGATGTAAGGCAAATGCATCTCGATGGAGTGCTCGTCCTCGTCCGTTTTCATGTCCATCCAGGAGAACTGACCGGTCTTCTCCAGCTCAGCATTGACTAAAACGCATCACCAATGTTATTCTAACAAATCTTTAGACAACCTTTAGCCTCAACAACATACTTTGAGTATCGATTTTGAGATCGTAGAGGGGAGTCCTGTATTTCTTGGCCACGGACAAGGCACAACCACGCAGGCGCACATGGTGAGAGGGTCCCAGAATGAAGATTCGTTTACTGAAAGATGGGTAGAGTTATACAACCTATATAAGACTATATTTTCTGAGTTCTTACACGACCACAGGGCTAACTTGACGGTAGGCAAATGCCCCGCAGGCACCGCAGTAGGTGTATCCAGCATGCCTGTAAGGAATAATTCACTATTGGATTGAATCTTCGGAAGCAATAGGTGTATCTTACGGGGCAATAATGGCTCGAGCTGGTCCATGCGAGAGATCCGCAGCGCCAAGCCAACGATCAAGCTGCCTGGAAAGCTCAGAGCCTAATAGTAATCAAATAAAAGTATTAGAATAGTTAAATAAAAATAAATAAAAGTTTTATTATAACAGTTGGCTTAGCGTTGCCTGGCAACCAATCAACAAACAGTATCACGGGAGTATATTCACTCGAAAACTCCTGAAACAGCAAAAACCTGCCTACGATAAGGTTCACTACACATATTGAGGACAAATTCTAGTTTAACCTTTCGCCATGGAAGATGATAAGGAAAAGAAAACCGATGAGCTACTGAATCGCATCCGAACGGAACTAACTGCGATCTTAGAGGGCGGGTGAGTTACTCCAACAGGTTCCTAAGAACTTGCTAATATTTATTTTAAATCAGAGCCTCTGGCAATCCAGAAAAAAAGGTCTCAGACGAGATGCTTTTGAGTCCCAACCCGCTGCCCATCTTTGGTCCTTTAAAGACGAATAAGACCAAGAAATCGCCATCCAAAACCACGACAGAAAATCCATCGCCTACGTTCGGTGATAAACGCTCCACGGCGGGAAGCTTCAAACGCTCTTCAGCAGGCAGTGAGAAGCGCTCCTCAGCCGGAAGTGAGAAACGCTCCTCAGCAGGGAGTGAGAAGCGCTCCTCAGCAGGCTGCGAGAAACGCTCTTCAGCAGGCAGTGAGAAGCGCTCCTCAGCCGGAGAGGAAGCTTCAACCGATCGTTTAGCTGGGGGCGATAACCAGAAGGATGCAAATGCCCCTTCAAGCTCCTCGACTTCTTCGTTCAATATGGCATCCATGAGCCAATACGAGACTCTTCCAAAAGATCCCAAGTTCCGATCCGATTTTATGGAATCTCAGGCCGCCAAGAGCATAGACGACGATCTGCAAAAAATGCAGCTGGAGCTGAAAAAGAGCTACGAGCTCTTCCAGGGAATTGGCGAGAAATTTGAGTCTGTGAACTTCACGGGATTGAAGAATCGCATCCGGGATTTACATTTGAACGATTCGAACAACGAGATGGGGAAGATGACCACCATGGAGCTGCAGAAGATGTTCGACACGCGTTTCCAACAGAATCGCCTGGACAAATTGACGTCGGACGCCACAGAGGGATTTCGCCGGCACCCGGGAGAGTTTGGCGACATTCCGGAGCTGAGCACCTTCTTCCAGGCTTGCTCACAGCTGGAACGGGGCTTGGATACACTGCGTCAGCAGCGGCAGCGCAACAGCGAACTGGAGAAGCGAATGTGCTGGGCCACGGAGATCGCCTACGATCGCATGGACGAGATCCGGACTGCCGTGGGCTCCGATCCGGAAAAGAACTTCTGATTAGTCTTTATTGTTTACGTATAGTTATTTGTTCTTCCTAGTTCACTTGGGGTCTTTGCACCCACAACAACAACTGCTATCACACCAACACAGATACAGGTGCAATATACAGATACAGCGTTTGAAGTGCATATGCAACGGGTGATGCGATCTCTTTTTTATAGAAATTAGTCACCTGAGTCCGTGTACCAGCTGCCGGCGTGAGTTGCTCTTCTGGCCGACATCGTGTTGGCAGTACCTAACTATTTTATCAGTTTTTAAAAGATAAGCTATATAATTGGCAGTTATTCTTCTAAAAACGTTCGTCTTTGTGTTATTGGTGCCTAGTGAGGCTGTAGTGTTTTAGCGCTATAACGGCACAATTGGTGGTAGTATCGTTGTCCGGTCACACTTTTTTCAGCAAAAATCATATTTATCTTTATAAAGGTGCATTAATAAAAAAGACTGTTTGGCATAATAAAAATATAATTTTCTTTTATTTTTATAGGTGTTTACCATTAAATGTCCTCCAAACTTTAAATAATATCAAAATCAATAAATATCGACTACATGCGATAGGCTGAGGCGGCAACCCTAGGCCAAAAAGCGGGTTGGCAGCACTCTTCCACGCAAGGTACCACACAACCCTGGCTCGTCGGTAGAGAGAATAATTTATGTGTGCAAGTGGTGCCGAATATAATTACAGTATTTCCGCAATATATCGAGTGCAATTCGAATCTGTTCGTGGCAAATTGGACGCCCGCATTTAGCCAGGTGTGTTTACCGCTAGCTGCTCCACCTTGGGCCGCTTCTAAAGTCGTTCACAGCGCGCGGCAAGCCGCTAAACGAGTAGCATCGCGGTAGCGTCATTGCTGTACTAAAACCTAAAAATCGCCGTGCTCGTATTCCGCCATTTTGAAAGCTGCGTTTGGAATTTGGACGCGTTGCTGGTAAAGAAATTGTTGAAAAACTAGCCGAAAAAGTGTCAAGAATTTGTGAAAAATACGCGTGGGCCACGTCTAAACCCTTGCGCCATTTATTGGCACTCGAAAATTGTGTGTGCCCCAGTGTTTTGCACGTGAATTTTATCCCAATTGTAAACTCGCAAAAATATAGAGAGAAGAAAAAAAAAAAAACGAACGGACGCCGCCGCCGCCACAAAGGAAAACCGAATAAACGAGAAATCGGCAAACGGCAAGCGGTGGGAAAAAGAAAATAAATTTGTGCGCCGCAGCAATTTAATATTATTAATTAAAAATATACCCCCGACTACTTATGATTTTCATGGATATCTGTGCATTTTCTATAATATTACGCCCGTATGTTCATGTGTGTGTGTGTGTGTGTGCGAGTGCGAGTGGGGGCGATAAACGTGTACAAGAAAAATTGAAACGTGCAGAATTCTGATGAATTTTAAAGCGGAACTACTTTTCGCAAAACGTTTTATATGTATGTTCCAGAGTGTATGATGAGTGACAGTGTGGGTGGGTGCGGGTGTGTACGCACACTTGGCGAATTATTGTTGCGGTTTTAAATGACTGTGTGTGTGTGTGCGAGTGAGAAACGCCTGCCATATTCTATGCAAAACATAAATAAAATTGTGCAATAATTTCCCCATACACACAGATACAGATACAGATATTTACCATCCGGTATCTGTGTGTGTGTGTCTATTTCGTATTTGATTTTTTTTTTTTTTCGGACCGCCTAGTGACAATATACACGCAAGGTTCACTGCGCAACGCCTCCTTCCAAATTGGCACCCCCCCACACAAACCCCCTTGACCCACGCCACTGCAACATGCTGTCTCATCGTTGTTTTGCCGCCGTCGCTGCCGCCGCCGCCACATTTAGTGCGCAAAAGAGACGGGGTGTCAGGAGGGAGGGAGGGATGGGGATATATAGGAAAGGAAAGCCGAAAGGAGACGGAACGAAACCAACGAGTTTGGAAACTAAAGCCAAAGCTCTCCATGTTGACACATTTCAACCGGCCTTTAGTTCGTTCTGGTTCTCTGGCTGTGGCTGGGCTTGAAATCCTTTAAAGGGTGAAAGTGCGCTGTCGCAGTTGGTTTTTTTTCTTCTTCCTCAAATTTAAAATGGCTTTAAGATTTAAAAGTACCTACACTTGCTTATAAGATGGATAGGATATTTTCGCATTGTTTTGTTTATATGGATTTAAATATACACACATTCACAATTTACAAAGTAGAAAAAAGAAAAACTTTGATAAAGTTTCTATTGTCAATGTCCATAAATATTTTATGCACACATCCCCCTCCCCCTACTTCTCTTTGGGTTTCTGTTTCGTCCAAATTGAAGCTTGTTTCTAGTTTTATTACAATTTTTGCGCTTGTCGTGTTTTTGTCGTTGCTTCGCTCACTCTTAGTAGCTGCGTCTCTTTTCGTTCGCCCTTTTACTGCCCGACGTGCCTGTACCCATCTCGCACACACACACATACACAACCAATACACAGTTGTATACCAGGGCACACACATGGAGAGGCAGACAGACAAGCAACTCTGGGCTCCCGCTTTTTTCTTCCCCATCCCCCCTCCAGACCACCCCCAACCCACTTGAATTTGCAACGGAATTGTTTCCGTTGTTTTGAATTTCTCAAAACTTCTAGAGGGGATTACAAATTGTGTTTTTTTCGTTTAAGGGCTTTCATGTTTTTCCTAAAAATGACAAATTAATATTATTTCTCTTCTTCTTTTTTTTATTTTAAAAGTTTGTAGATGAATATTGCAATAACTGTACATAACTCTCCTCTCTCTCTAACTTTGTTTATTATTTGTTTTTTTTTTCTCGTTCTGCTATCCTTTTTTGGTCAATAATACCGTTTGTGTTTCGAACTCCTCCCACACCCCACACTACTAACGGTAATTTATTGTCAATGTTATCATTTTTTGTTGTTTTCCAATTTAAGTGCCATGTTTGTTGTTGTTTTGTGTTTGTTGCCGACCGACCCAGCTATAGAAGCATTTCGGTTCGGTTTTGAAAAAAATGCACACCTGCCCAAAGAATTTCACACATTTGGGTGCAAGTGTGGAGGTAGCGGCAGGGGGGAGGAAGCGAAATGCCACCAAAATAGAAACAAAACGTTTAAATTTAAATGAGTCTGTTGTGTGGTAGAAACACAATGGAAGCAACGATCTAATCTGTTTGCTTTCCTTTCTAAATAAAAATAAAAATAAAAAGAAAAAAAAAGGAAAACAGACAGCCGCCAAACTAACATTCCCATCCAATATACACACTTTCAGATGGCTCAGCCAAATGGTAGCCAAGAAATAGCATCAGCATCAGCAATTCGTAAGCGTGCGAGGGCAATATATATGTATATACATATATAAGTTGTATTTTCCCACTTCTGGCCACTGGTCACTACTAGCTGGCTGGCTGGCTGGCTATGCTAGCTTGCAGTTTTTCAATTTGCGTCATTCGCAGACCGCGCGCACCACCAATCAATATGAATGCAAAAAAAAAAAAAATAAAGAAAAATCGAGGGAAAACAATGAGAAAGCAATGCAGAGTGACATATAAAAAACAATAAAATATAAAAAAAAACATTGGTCAATGTCAGCCACCCAGTTTAAGTGGTTTCTTGGGGAAGTACTGGGGAAAAGTGCCCGATAAGCTATTTAAAGGGGAATTTAAAAAATATTAACTAGAAAAGCTAAGTAGTTTATCTTTTAAATATCAGTTATCATGAGCTTTAATCCCCAAACAAGTGTCTACCTTGGAGGATCTTTAATTTACGCGGGAAAGTATCCCCAGAGGAAGCCCAACCCAGAGCCGTTAATTCAGTAAAAAAAAAAACAAGTTATCACCAGTGAGCTGGTAACTTTAATAAAAAATAAAACCACGCATGAGCAGTAGAGATGCTGTTTCAGTTGCAGTTGTGCAGCCTGCGGGGGGAGTAGGCAGTAGGCGGCAGGCCGTTACCTCCCCCTCAGCATCAGTATTGCAGCATCAGCATCCAGGGCTTTAAGACTTTTTTGCACAAATGCGCATGACTTTATTTAAACGTGTTTTAAACACACTCACTAACAAACACACTCACTCTCGCACACACACAAACACGTTTCTGTAGAGAAGTTAAGCCAACAAACAATTTAAACGAACATGACTTTTCCTGCCTGAAATTGTGGCAAAAAAAAAAAAGAGAGAAAAAGAAAAAAGAAAGAAATGAAAATAAAATCGAGAATAGCCAGCCATCGAGTGACGACGACTCTCCTTTCCTTTTTCCTCTTATCGGCGAGTGTGTGTTTGATAAACCGGTTTTTTTTTTTTTTGTTGCTTTTGCTTTGGCTTTGGCTTGGTTTGTTGCCGGGCCTGCTGCTGTTCCGCGTCCATAAAAGATATGTTCGCTTCTGGGAGCAGTTCTGGCAGTTCTTACAGTAAAGTTGCACAATTTTCAAGCCACTAGAGCTGCCAGAACTGAGATATTATGGCTTTAACTACCAACTCTATTGGCCATTTTGAAGCCAACTGGTCAGAACTGTTTTGCCAAATCTGAGCTCGTTTGAAATCGGAATGAAAAATAGGAATCATCGGAGTGACCGACCGACCGGCCGCCAGTTCAGGTAGCAACGAATCTGTATCTGTATCTGTGTATCTGTTAGATACGCGACCACGACTTACTTGTACAGTGTACACACTGGCGCTCGCACGGTATGATTTGGATTTTTTTTTATTATTTCGATTCATTGCCGCCAGAAAGGCATCAACAGGTTTTCTGGTCTTGCAAGTGAAAAGTGCCTCTCCCACTGGCGTGGGCGCTGCGAGTGCCACATCCTGTGGCAACTTGATCTGAAACTGGTTTTTTTTGGCGCGCATTAATAGTTAGTCACTCCTCAAGTTAGTCACTTGTATTAAAAAAAACATATTTTATCAAGAAGTGGCACATTTCTGAGCTAAACCCCAACCCTCATAGCATAATCGCTTAATATTCAAGTCGGTTTCAAACAAGTAACCCAAGTGAGTCATCCTGGCTGAGCCGAGTCGTTATAAGAATCATTTCCGAGTAAACAAAATCGGAATCAAAATTATTCGCAATAGAGAAATGGTGGGTCTGCTTGCGCCCACTTGACTTTGGCTATATTCACTTGATATGAAATATATGGCTTTGGAATGGTCTGGTCAGAGGAGGGGGGATTTCGGGGTGATGTGATTGTGCTGCGATGTATTTTTTTTTGTATTTTTTTTCCATTGCTCGATGTCATAATTGCGTTGCTTATTTTTGTATTTCTGTATTTTGGTTTCGAGCCGATTGTTGTATCTGTGCAAGTATTTTTTTTTTTGTATTATTATTATTGTTGTCTCGCTGTTGGGGCATTTAAACGTATTTCATACTTTTGCACAATACGTGACACATGGCTGATGGGAAGTGACTGGCTGACTGACGGTCGGAAGCGGGACGCAATCGGGGCGGGGTAGGGTGGTGGTGTGTGCTTCTAAACATAGCCTATAGCCTATACAGCCAGCCAGTCACAGAGGCAGTCATTGACGGCTTATCACAACTGAGAATATTCTATAGAATATATATAAACTAACCGCCAGATCTCGACTGGCAGGCAGGGAGGGTGCTTTGTTATTGTTGTTCCCGCTTATCAGCCAGCGATGCAATGAATCTCAGCTCGTATTATAGAAAGTATTCATGAGATATATATTTATATAGAGACTAGATATATAGAGACTTTGCTCTCCTAATATGACTCTACTCGTTTATTCACACTTCTCGAGGGCCTATCATACACATATCGGTCACATTGCCATCACGCTTGACTGGATTTCCCGCCCGATCCTCGGACCCACCCCACCTCCACCTCCACGTCAGATAACCAAGAAGTGTCGAGGTGATAAGATACGGCCGGCCGGGCAGCCTAAACGTAATCCATGATGGGTGGTGTACGGTGGGTACAGTAACAGTAACTGTGCGACTGGAACGGCGGGGACTCTGGTAGGATCCCCGAGTCGATAAGGCCCCATTGGTGCGATAAGCTCGATTTGGACAAGAAGTAGTTGAGGTTTCAAACCTGGTGACGAAGCTATTTTAACCAGCTGGCCATTTCGATGAAGAGCGTTAAATTTCTATGTTTCTATATATGTACACCTTTCCCCCCCCACCACCACCCCTAAGCCGGGTCAGGGGGACGTATGTAGCTTTATTGCTGATGTTGACGAAATCCAAACGAAACTTGTCATCGGTACAATTCTGCTGACATTGGCATCTTTTTCTTTTATTTTTTTTTTTTTTTTTCATGTATTTTGGTTGCTCTTGACGGGGCGACTACATCACATTTCATGTTTTTCCATTTAATTTAATGTGTTTTGGTTATTGTTGCTTTCATTGCAGGATTCTCGATTTCAATATGAAGCGCCAAAAATGATTGCAGCGTTTGCATCGTAGTCTTGAAAACGTTTTTTTCATTGATTTAATTAGAGCCACGGCAAGCGGTTGACGGCCTCGCAGTTAGTACCACTTCCATACCAGCTTGCGCCCAGCGCCCCTCCAAACAAACACCAATAACAACAACAACAACAGAAACCCGCAGAGAATCAAAAAGAATTACAGCCGAGATAGTTAAGGGCGAGTAGAGGAGTGGATAACCAAGAAACAGATACAAATTCTGACAAAATGGACAAAAACCTGATGATGCCGAAGCGTTCGCGGATCGATGTCAAGGGCAGTTTCGCCAACGGACCGCTACAGGCTCGTCCGCTGGTGGCTCTACTGGACGGACGCGATTGCTCCATCGAGATGCCCATCCTAAAGGATGTGGCAACGGTGGCCTTTTGCGATGCACAGAGCACCTCCGAAATACACGAGAAGGTAATAATGCCACACCTCCCCTTAAAAAAGAGTCTCTAATCTTTGGATTACTTTCTTAGGTACTCAACGAGGCAGTGGGCGCTCTGATGTGGCACACAATCGTCCTCACAAAGGAGGACTTGGAGAAGTTCAAAGCTTTACGCATCATTGTACGCATCGGCAGCGGCACAGACAACATTGACGTAAAGGCGGCGGGCGAACTGGGCATCGCCGTTTGCAACGTTCCCGGCTACGGAGTCGAGGAGGTGGCGGACACGACGATGTGCTTGATCCTCAACCTCTACCGGCGGACCTACTGGCTCGCGAATATGGTGCGAGAGGGCAAAAAGTTCACTGGACCCGAGCAAGTTAGGGAGGCAGCGCATGTATGTTTTCAGTCTTGAAAATTAATTCTTAAATATTTAAAATTAATTATGAAAATTAATTTATTTTAGGGCTGTGCACGCATTCGGGGTGATACGTTGGGCCTGGTGGGACTGGGCCGGATCGGTAGTGCCGTGGCTTTGAGGGCAAAAGCTTTCGGCTTCAATGTCATCTTTTATGATCCCTACCTGCCCGACGGCATCGACAAGTCCCTGGGTCTCACCCGAGTCTACACGCTGCAGGATCTGCTTTTCCAGTCCGACTGCGTATCACTGCATTGTACGCTTAACGAGCACAACCATCATTTAATTAATGAATTCACAATTAAACAGGTTTGTTTATACAAAAAAAAAAAAAAAAAACTGCAATTATAATCTAATGACCTATTTTTAGATGCGACCTGGTGCATTTCTGGTGAACACCGCCCGAGGCGGTCTGGTTGATGACGAGACTCTGGCGTTGGCGCTGAAGCAGGGACGCATTAGAGCCGCTGCGTTGGATGTCCATGAAAACGAACCTTACAATGTATTTCAAGTAAGAGATTGTTGTAAAAGTCAAGGCATTTTACGCAATCTGAGTTGGCGCCGCACCAACGTTGGCTATTGTTCTTACTAACCTATTGGTATTTTGGATTGCAGGGCGCTTTGAAGGATGCCCCAAATCTGATTTGTACACCACATGCCGCCTTCTTCAGCGACGCGTCCGCCACCGAGTTGCGGGAAATGGCTGCCACCGAGATCCGGCGGGCAATCGTCGGCAATATTCCAGACGTGCTTAGGAACTGCGTCAATAAGGAGTACTTCATGCGCACGCCGCCCACTGCTGCCGCTGGGGGCGTGGCGGCGGCTGTTTATCCCGAAGGTAAACTACAAATGATATCAAATCAAGAAAAGTAGAGAGAGAGAGACAGAGAGACAGGCGAGCAAAAGGGAGAAGCGTTATTACAAGTAAAAAAAATACAAAAAAAAAAAAAAAAAAAAAAAGCTAAACTAAAAACTGAAACAAACAACAACAAAAAAGCATAAACAATACAAATACCAGAAGTCGTTTAAACACATACTTTATATACTTTAAACAAGCCACAAACCATAATCACACACACACACACACCATATACCATACCACACCCACACAAGCACAAGCACACGCACACAGATGTAGCAAGCATCCAAACATAATTCTATTCTTTCTCTGATTCATTCGAAAGTATATATATATATAAATAGAGAGAAAGAGATACAGAGAGAGAAAAAGAGAGAGAGACGACGACGATGGGAGAAAGCGCGCAAGAGAGAGTATAATTTGAAGCAAGATTCAATAACACACACACACGCTATAAGAGTTGATATATAAGTTACAAAGTTTAAGCTAAACAAATATATATAGGTATATATATATAGATATATATATCAAGATCAGAAATGTTTGACGTCGATGAGGAGGATTAGACGCAGCCGCTGTTGGCCAAAAGATGCGTCTTATATGTATGTGTGTATGTATATGCATTGTTTTCGATCTTTAGGAGGCCCCCTTTTCGAAAATACTTTCCAAACAAATAGTCCGTTTTTGAAATATCAACTGAAAATTGTCAAAATTGAGCTTCTTTTCAAAAAAACTTTCAAGTTCTTGCATATATCCATGCATAATATACATATAAAATGCGTTTCAAGATAAAAAAAAAAAGGTGAAAGTAAACAATATGATGAATTATTGTTGTTAATGTCTAGCGACTCGACTTCCTTCACATCTACCCCCCCTATCCTTCATACGAATCCGAACTAACCCTAGAAACAATCAGCGTAAAGAGTTAAATGTTCAGTGTATTTAGTCATATATATATATTCAATGTATCTGAAATTAGTATCATAAATACGAGGAACTCCCCACGTCTCATAACATTTGTAAGCTTAAGATTCTGTCTTCTGATTTTGCGCCATTTATTGCTGACTGGTACAAAATACAAAAAGAACATAAAATTGAAAACTAAACTATAGTTTACTACAATATTCAGTTTATATATTCTGTTGCTCAAGCTCTGCTCTATATTACAAAAATGATCTCATCATCCAAGTTTATTTTCGCCTTACGTACATTCTTGTATTTTTAATTGGCCTATACAACCAACAAACAGCAAAGAAGTAAAGACCCCAATATACGATACGATATGATGCATAGATGACAACACACGGCGCGCGTTAGAATCGACCACATCTATAAATAGAGACAAGATGAAAACTACAATTAAATTAACGCATAGTCTATGTACATTTAAAAATATAACAGAAATTATAACAACCAACCAACAAACCACAAAATGTCGGAAAAAAAAAGAAACACAAAAATCAGATAAAACATGTAATTTTAATGAACTTAGATTTACCTTAACGATAAACAGGCCAGGCAGCTGACGATAATGGCAGGTGACGACACACACAAGGACACACGATCATCATCCAAGCGAGTTGTTAGCGTGTATATTGTAACTTTATTTAACAAGAATATATATACTTACCTTATAAATAGACGCAAAAGTGAGCAAATCTTGTAAGATTATCATTTTGTACAATTTTGCAATTAATTTTTGGAAACTAAAGGCTTCTATCGACCATGTTTGGATGGATTTTTTCCCCTTCTTTGTTATCTAATCATGCTTATAAGAAAAATTGCAAAAAAAAGAGTCCTTAAAACCGGAACTATGCTTCATTGCCAGACCTATATCCCTGTCCAAGTCCTTTTTCGAAATTTTTTCCGATTTTGTAATATTTCCAAAACATTTACAAGCACAAAGCATACACGCATACATATACAGTATACTCACACATCCTGCAGGATGTACACACGCACACACACACCCACGCACACGCGATCCTATATAGCAAGCTGCAACAACAAATGAGCAAAGTAAAACATAAATAAGCATAAGCCTAAAAGTAAAAGTATAAAGTAAACGTAAAAAGTAAAAGTAATGCATAATGAGACAAAAAGAATAAAATACTGTTATTTTGTAATGTATAAAAAAAGGATATTTTTAATAACTGTGAAAGCTAAATAAAATTAAAAGCGTAACAATTGACGACGATGCAACAAAAATAAAACTAAAATGAAAAAAACTGAAAACTGAAACAAATGATATATATGGAGAAAATTTCAATTTGAAAACCAAGAAAACCTTTCCAGAAAAAAAAAACAAAAGAAACCTAAAAGAAAAACAACAAAAAACAAGAAGATAAAAATAAAAACAAAATCTTTAATGAACCCATTATTGTTTTAACTTGCAAGAATGCATTGGAAGCTGTTATTTTGATTGTTTGTTGTCCTCTAATTTTTTTTTTGTGTGAAAGTGTTGCAATATTGTTTGAAATGTTTTCCTTCCTTTCCTTTAAATATTTATTTTTAATTTTTTTTTTTGTAATTTGTTTTAATTTTAATTCGTTTGTTGGGATGATGATGGCATCATTTTTTGAGCAAGCAAGCAGCAGAGCAGAGCGCCAGTCAGCACAAGAAATTATAAATTCTGTATCTACAATATACATATAGATCTAAGGTTTCCAAAAAAAAATACTATTTCACATTGTGGTGGGGAGTCCCTCTTCTGTTGAGCTCACTATTGGGAGATACAAGTCTCCCGACCCCCATGTAAGATCTCTCTCATTCAGTCGCCACTGCCCAGATTGCACCGGCTCTCTGTCCAAAAGGTCCACCACCCACTCAGACCTCAGCACCAAGTCAGACCTCAGAACCCGATAAACAAACAGAGAACAGAGCAAACGAATCAATCCAAATCCCCCCACATAATACCAAAACAAAACAGCAACATTTCATAATCTTTATCCTAACTTTCAACTACCAAAAAACCAAAAAAAATACCAACCAAATACAAAATCGAAATACCAAAATACAGGATTAAATGGCGGCTATTATACAGGCGCACTGCATCATCGGGCACACAGCACCACGCCGCACGAGGGGCCCCACAGTACCACCAACCTGGCTGCTGCTGCTGCTGCCGCCGCTGCTCTGGCGCCGCCGCCTCCTGGCAGCAACTCCTCCTCCTCCTCGGTGGCCGCTGCTGCAGCTGCGGTTGCTGCCGCGGCAGCTGCCGCTGCCCTTTTGCCGGTACCGTCGCCGGTTCCGCAGGTTCCATCGAACTCCGTGCCCTCGGTGCCGCATCTGTCGCCCCAGGTCGCCGGATTGCCGCTGGGAATTGTGAGTAGCCAATCGGTAGGTAGCCAAATACCAAATACCATACCACCTCTGTTGTCTTGTGTTTGTGTGTTTGCTATATAGATTGCCAGTTTTATGAGATTGGAAGCTTTCGGAGCGTCAGATAATGATAACTAATAAGAACTCTGCTCTGTGGTAATCCGTGTGTTATCGATCGTGTGTGGGCCTTCATGTTTGTCGCTAGTTAGTCTGTTAATCTATCTATCTGTAGTTGAGTGTGTTCTCTAGGCTAGGGAATACATATATATTGGAAAGATCTGATCCGGATCCTGTTGCTAATCTCTGACATGCCATTTTGCCTTTTAGCCCCTGAGTGCGCCCGACCCTAATAATCATCTGTCGTCGAGCATAAAAACGGAGGTGAAGACCGAGTCAACGGAGGCGCCGTAGGCAGACCTTCATAAAGCTGGAGGAACTGGATCTGGGAGCTGGAGCTGGAGCTGAGCTAGGAGCTGGTATGGAGTAATGACAACGGACACTGGTGCAGTGGAGTGGTGCAGATAGCCAACATTAAATCTGCAGAGAGATTCCCCTTGCACGCGGGCGCCAGCACTTGATTTGAATTTTTCCACGTTTCTATGTGTTTATTTAAAAAACTAAAAACAACAAAAAACAAAAAATACCATACACATTTGCATTACCAAGCCTCAAAAACGAAACAACAACAACATTAAACAAGCAACGCAGGAAGTCGAGGAGGAGGATTATGATAAGGAGAGGTTCCCACAACACGCCTCAAAATTAACTACATATTTAGAATTTAATTTGTAACTATTTGTAATTTAACAGTTACAATTTAAGTAATTTTTATTTGTATTGCAGCAAATTGTAAGTGAAAAGATATGTTACTACATATAAGCGCAAAAACAAATGCAAAAATGTTGGAAAATTTTAATAACGTGAAACAAGAAAGATTATGGCATAAAAAAAAAGATAAAAACAAAAACACTAGAAACAAAAGCAACACACAAGAGAGACGTTTAGTGCTAAGATACGTTTAAAGTACATAATAATAAAAAAAAAAGGAATACAAAAAACACTTGTAATTAACTTTTAATTGGAATTGACACAGCGTGGGCTTACATATAGTACACTTATTTGAGTCGGTTTTGTTATTTTTCGGGTGGTTGGTTTCTACTCTAAATGCTACATCAAATCTACACTGATACCCACATGGGTTTTGTTTTTTTTTTTTTGATTCTAGAATCGTATTTCTAACACTTTTTACGTTTACAACGTTCAGATATATATATATATAGTATGTATAAGTAAAGTACTTGTAGGTTGGTATGTTTTGTTTTTTATAAAATTCCTCTGTTTTGCATTTATAACACTCGGCCATGAGAAGGGCCATCACGATTTCGGTCTATATTCAACGGTACTAGCTAGACTTTATATATATTTCTTTGATTTTCATCTATTGTATGAACAACTATGAGCGGGAATGGAAGATACTGCAGAGGCGGGTCCTACCAAGACTTTACTTCCGGAATTTACATTATTGAGCTTAAAATAAGCTAGGAAACCTTGTACATACAACATGCAATACGATGCCTTAATTATCCAAAACTTAGTTTCATGTATACATATATCCGACTCTTTTAACAATCAGGTGGACAATAACAACGTGATTAAGCCCATAAGCAGGCCTGTCTGGGGGTTACATTCATACATATATACTTTTTTAATTTAAATCATTTTAGTTTTAAAATTATAACTGGACAAATTCAGTATAAACAATTTTAATTTAGATCCCTCAACAGGCCCGTCTCGGACTGCATTTCGGAACATTTAAAACTAGGATTATGTGTAATGGTCTGTGTCTGTGTGGTACCTGCGTTTGTTGATATCTGCATGTATATATATCATTTGATATATTCCGTATATAAACGAGTCTATCAAAACATCATTGTACAATAAAATATAATACAATTAATTCACTTGATCTGCAGGCGCAGTTCAGCGATTCGTTCGTTACTAAAAAATAAATTCAACAAGGTAGCAAACGCAGGGCTACAGTCGCCATAGCCGTCTCCTTTGTCTTCAGATCTGACTTGGTCCACGGAAATCTAGAAGAAGCGCGTCAACCGCGGCCGGAAGAAGCGGAATAATCCGTAGCATCCCAGTCCGATTAGACCATATTTGAGCGTATATTTACAGACGCGCTGTCCCACGCTGGCTGGGGGGATTTCGAGAATGCCCGGAATCTTTTTTGGGTCAACTGTTCCCCACATTTTTGCAATGCCATTGGCATGTCCAATGCCCACGACTCCTACAACGCGCACTGGGCGGATTTGCTGAGCACCGGGCGCCGCTTGCGGCAAGGAAGCCAGCTGGAGCGAGTGGCACAAAAATAGATCGCGTTCGCGTACAAAGACATCGGAAAAGGCAGGAAATTCGCCAGCCATTTCCTGCATCAGCTTCTCCAACAGATCGCTTTGCTTGCACTCCTCCACTTCCTCAATGCTGATGCTGTCCGTGAAGGTGAGGCGCCACACCAGTTTCATGGTCTGCCACACGGATAGAGCCCGAAGAGCCCTGTACAGTGTGATGCGAATGGGTCGGTCGCCCAAGTGCAGTATGCATCCAGGAAGCTTGTGTATTTCCTCAAAGGCGCGTCGGAACTCCCCGCCAGGAGCCATTCCAAGATCCTTGGCTATCTGGGCGCTCATTTGCAGCAAAAGGATGAAGAAGATACCATTAATATAACCATGAGACTGGAGTATTCCGCGAATCTGTTGGGAACAATGAAAACTTTAGTCAAGATATCATGAGGATCGGTTACTTGTTACCTTTGGAATATTTATGCTTTTAGCTTCTTCCAGCAGAGTCTTTTCATCCAGCTTGAGAATATGTATACGCGATGGACACAGCTCAACCATGACCACATCTGGACGGACATTGCGTATGACCTATTAAGAATATCCACTAAGTTAGGAACAATTATTTAAAATCAGTGGAATTGAAAAATTTACATAGGAGACGTCATCCTGCGACTCTTCACTAAAATGCGCTGTTCCTACAAGATAGACCTTGCTGCCGAAGGGCGTATTTAAAAGCGTCACTGTTGAGGGCAGATTCTGCTCGAACTCTTCAATGGTATCGTAAATTTTGATTTCCCGCTTGGTCTGTGGCTGGTCGATGGCCGGCACCGGCATCAACTCATTCTTTTCTCCATCTCCATCTGCATCCGCTAATGCCGAGGCCTCCGCTATGGAGATGTCCAGCTTCTGCTTGCTCGTCTGCAGGAGTGACTCGGTCTTGCGGCGTCGCTTGTCGTTGGCGGGATCCGGTGACTTGCTTGGCGACTTCTTCAACAGGTTCTTCACACTATCGCCCTCTATCAGCAGCACCTCCGTTTCGAGGTCCTGCTCCTTAATGGAGTTATCGTTAATTTCTATAATTGACAGGTTGGGGTTATCCGTCTTGAATATTGTCTTGTTGGCCAACTGGGACTTTGGATCGACCTCTTCCTGGGAGGTGTTTGTGTCGGTGCTCTCAGATTGGATGAGCAGCATGCTGGCATTAATGGCTGGCGCCTGCGCCGGGGAAGGGCTTCCGAATGCTTTGAAAGCCACCGCTTCGTTGCCCAATTCCGAAGCAATTATTTTGCTTGAAGTATTTGTGGAGGGCAGCGGATTCTGGCTCTGATCGTTGCTAAGGCTCTCTGGAATAGAATTGTAAACAAAAAGTTTATAAAGTTGAAGTATAAAGCTGGGATTACTAGGGGTAGTAAAAAATATATATTTCTAATCTCCGGATTTAAGAATTCGCACCCTTTTCAGATTTAAAACACATCTAATTTAAGTAACTGATATAAGAGTTTAAAATTATTATTTAAGAATGTTAAAAACTCCAACTAAAACAGTAAAAAATATATATATCCAACAAACTCTATAGAACTATAGTTTCGAGATCTCTTTTTCGTAGAGAGCTTTCAGATGCCTGATGAATTCCGGCTTGCAGTCTGGTCCTTGGAAGTTCTCAAGCAAATATTTCTTCAACATTTCAAAGCACCTGTTCTTCATGGCTAGAGCATCAGCTTGTTGATTCTGTGCCTGTTTCTCCAGTTGCTTATCGTACTTGTGTATTAGCTTTTGTTTCAGAGCCCTAACCTTCTCCTTGACAGATTCTTCGGTAGATTTCTTCTGGCTTTCGTAGTTGTCAGCACAGATCTTTTGCACGATGCACTTCAACTGATAGTCTAAGCCCGCAAAGTGCCCTGTAAAGTGGTCATCCCCTGTGAAGGATTCAAAAATTTGCGACAAGAGGCGGTTGGGAAAAGATTCAGGGGTTTGTGACTTCAGACTTTTGTGAGCCGCGGCCAAGACGTTTCCCCGAATACTATTGAACGAGCTGGTCTTTTGATTCACTTCATCGATGAGCTCTGTGATTCGGTTCTCCTGGTGATTGGTTTCTATTTGCAGGGCCGCCACTTTGAGGCGGTAGATGTTCACTTCCCGCCGCAGATACGTGTGCTCTACCTTGAGATCCCGGTTTAGATTTAGAGCACTGGACTCCATTTCGCAGGTACCCTCACTACATTCAACCAACAACTGTTCCAGCTCACAATCCAAGTTCTCGGGATTCGTGAATGGGGGGCCTAGATGGCCATGGCGGGAAAGTTGTTGCTCCATTTCCTGGACTAACCGATACCTAGCGTACTTTTCTGACGAAGTGCAGTGACGCAGTGTGTCCATCCATCGCATGCAGAGATCATAATCGTCAGTCGTGGGAAGATCTTGCGATAGAGTTCGAATCAGTTGCCGTTGCTTTTGGAACATGTTGTCTAGCTGGTGCTCCGACAAATCATTGGATCGTTTTGAATCTACTATGCATGGTGTGTATGATAGTGGGGGGGGGAAAGGCATGAAGGATTGAGACTGCCGGGAGAACTTACCATTGCATGATTTGTAGACTGTGGTGGACAACTGGTGATCCAGGGCACTGTCGTAAAGAGTACTGTCGCCAATATAGGAGAGGCCTTTCTTGTCCGGCGTGCCGTTGTTCGACTCAAACGACGTGGAGGCAGATACATCCATGTTGGATAGAGGGCTTCTTGTGTGTTCAGTTGGAGTGGAAGAATCGGTTGCGAGAAAATTCGGATTCAGTTCACGGACATCTGTTGGTGTATGCTGTTCGCTGCTGCTTTCGTGTGCTGAGGGGCAAAAATTAAAGAGCGATTATCAGAGGCGAAGATAATACAGACTGGATGGCTGGGTTGCGTTACTGTCTCTCTTTAACTGCAAATTTGTGCTGCTTTCTGCTTACGTGTCGTACATTGCCAGACGGAATTCTGTGTCTATTATCCGGCTGACTGTAAACTCTTGGCTTGGATGAAGTCACATGAACATCAGGTGGCAGTTTGAGTATTTGTTTATTTTACATTTTTTCCCACCTACCCAGTTTGTGTTTATGTGGCTCACCTGAAAATTTGGGGGTATTCCTTGTTATGTGTGTGGGTGGTTGCACTTTGGCTCTGGCCTATGCGCTCCAGCAGCTCATTAATTGACAGATTCGTATTTCCTTATTTTCGAAATGGGTATAAAGTGCCACTGAGTAACTTTATTCTTCGGTGAGTGCGCTTAATGTTAATGGAAACCCAAAAAACTAAAGAAATTAAATTGTGAGACTGCAAGCGTCGACCAGTGTTGTCTACTTGTTGAAGTAAGAATAATATACTGCATGTCAGAAAATATCGAATGGAGAGGTACAGTATTGCCAAACTAGCTCTTTCTGGCTGAAAGTATAAGTTTTAATAAAAAATTAAAAAACTCAATGTAAATCCTATATTATTCGTTAAAAAAATATGCAATAACTACAATAATATAAAAAATAAATAAATTTTTAGTTACAGCGAATTAAAAAATTATAAGTTATTAAATATATGTATTTTTGTATGAGACATAATAATTTTAAGAAATGAAAGAATATTCTCATATATTCATCTCAGATATAATTATAAGATATAATAAGACATATAAGATATAATTTATTGCACTTTTAAATAAGAATGATGTCAGACTTTTGTCGTACGACTTGGCGTATATTTATTTCAGAAGAGCAACACTGGTGGCCAACAGCTGTTTGGGTCACCGCTTCCATAGCTTGTTTTGATTTTTCCTTTTGATTAATTAAAATCGGATTTTAATATGACGGACGAATCAGAGGAGCCCGGAAAGGTGGGTTTAATAAAACTTTCTCTAAATCATCTAAAATAACTGAACAATTTTGCATTCCTGTTCTCAGAGCTTTTTTATCTTCGGACGCGATGTTGCTCAGATTCCATGCTTTCGTAACAGTTTCCTATACGGTATCAGTGGGGGAATTGGAATCGGTGTCCTGACCTTTCTTGGTACTTCCCGCACCCACCTCTCCACCCACGTGGGATTCGGCTCCTTCTTTTGCGGCACAATAGCCTACTGGATGGCTTGCAGGTATGGATTAGATGCCTTGGATTAGTCCACGAGATCCGCAACTAATTGAATGGGTTTTCTTCCAGGTATCAATGGTCATTAAGACGGTTTGAACAGCAGCAGTTACGGGAAGCAATGCGGAAACAAGCTTTATACGAGGGCACTGAGGTCGAGAGGGATTTAGATTTAAAGTCGGCGTAGCATAAGTACGAATTGTAATCACACTTGACTGGTATCCTTTGCATCCTTGTACGTAAGACAGTCACTCCATTGTTGTAAAACTATATTTGTTACCGAACAGCTTTATTTGTAGCCAATATATTATCTTGTAAGATGATTCTTACCTTAAAGTTCAATAACCCTTTTTGATTAATTGATGGTGACTTCTTGCATATGTTAACTTTATGGCTGATCTGGGGGCTGTTAGCCACATTTTAATGGGCCATTTATTTTGTTTGGTAGAAGGAGGGAAACTACCTATAAAAGACAAAAAACAGTCGATTTATTAGGGGGATAGCTTATAAGGTAAAAGATGTACGAGCAAACGTAATAAGTAGGCAATAAAATAATTAAAAGTTAAACACTTACAAAATTATAATAAATCGGTTGACAGAGTCTTTTCTAAACTCACAAAAGTTGTAAATTTATATATTTTCTCTAAGTGTAAGATGCATCTCTAAGCCTGATGAATCTTTAAAGTTTTATCTTTAAACCTACTCTTAGGGATTTCATTTTAGAGGAACATTAGGAAATGTATCTTTTATGTTTATCTTTTATAAATTGATCTATGGGCTGGCAGTTTCTACAAACACAAGCTCTCCCAAGTGCTTGACTCGGCTAGAGCGATTTGATTTATTGGATTAACTGCCTCAACATCTACCTGAAGTGCCCAAATAATCGGTCGCTCTCTCTCAGAAGCACGAAATCTGGTGAGCACATGTCGGACGATCCTGCTGTCGTCCGGCGATTCCAAGTCTCCGGCCTTATCTCAGAACGTCAGCGTTCGGATGGATTGCTCGGGTTGTTGGCATGTTCATTACGTTTTCGTTGCCGGCGCGAGGTGGTCGTGTATTGCTCCGCGGGCACTTGAGATACTCGGAAAAAATATTCAAAAACTTGTTTTGTTTCAACTTTGAAAGGCGGGCAGAGATACATATATGTACAGAATCTGTAATTGCTGGCACTTGCATATAAAATTGATTATCAAAAAATAAAAAAAACGACACGACGATGTCTGAAAATCAATCGAGTTCGGTGCTGGTGTTTTTTGTGAATGGAAAAAAGGTACTTTGAGATACTTACAAAGTTGCAGATACATTGCGTGTTTCTATTGCTTATATTTTTCGGTATCAGTACCCCCATATCGATTTTGTGTTATTTTTTATTGAGTTAATTGACATCTTTGGAATTCGTATTCTTGCTCAATTGAAAACATTGATGTTATTCTTGAATTGTTGTTATTTATTGAGCACACAGTGTTGATAACAATTGACCCCCTTGTGGGAGGGTCGTTGTTTGCTGGAGGCTTCTTATCACCTCATCGCACCACTGGCCGATTGCCAATTGCGGCGTGGAGGAGCGGCGTTCTCAGGCAGCTAACTTTTTAATAAAAAGCTTATACTAGTACTAAGCTATATAAGCGAGATATACAATGTTTGCATTGCAGCACATGTTTAACATACTCAGTGTTATCTAGATAAGCCAAGATCATAAGTGCCCTGACGCAACAGGTGTTGGCGGGTTGCAATTAATATTATTTATAAGTTTAATTAGCCCCTAGGCAAGTAAAAGTAATAGAATGCATAACTGGTTCCTTTAGATAGTGGTAGATAAGGCAGCATATAGACTGTGAGGTACGGCGCGTGCTGAAGCGTATTTTCTAATTGTATCTAATTATAATGGATACCAATATCTTTAAGATTGAGTTGGTTTTAATGAGAATTATATAATGACCATAGTTTTTCATATAAAACCATTTCAGATAACCGATCCTAATCCGGATCCAGAATGCACATTGCTCACGTACGTACGGGAGAAGCTGCGGCTCTGCGGCACCAAGTTGGGATGCGCGGAGGGCGGCTGTGGCGCCTGCACGGTGATGGTGTCCCGTCTGGATCGGCGGGCCAACCGCATTCGCCACTTGGCGGTCAACGCCTGCCTCACTCCCGTCTGCGCGATGCATGGTTGTGCTGTGACCACAGTGGAGGGCATTGGAAGCACCAAGACGCGTCTGCATCCGGTGCAGGAGCGTTTGGCCAAGGCGCATGGCTCTCAGTGCGGATTCTGCACTCCGGGAATCGTAATGTCCATGTACGCTCTCCTGCGGAACTCGGAGCAGCCTTCGATGCGGGATCTGGAGGTGGCGTTCCAGGGAAACCTTTGCCGCTGCACTGGCTACCGACCCATCCTGGAAGGCTACAAGACATTCACCAAGGAGTTCGCCTGTGGCATGGGTGAAAAGTGCTGTAAGGTCACGGGGAATGGTTGCGGAACGGATTCAGTGACAGATGACACGCTCTTCGAGCGCAGTGAGTTCCAGCCTCTGGATCCAAGCCAGGAGCCCATCTTTCCACCTGAGCTGCAACTGACCGATGCCTACGACTCGCAGAACTTGGTCTTCAGCTCCGACAGGGTCTCCTGGTACAGACCCACTAGCCTGGATGAGCTGCTCCAGCTAAAGGCTCAGCATCCAAGTGCCAAGTTGGTGGTGGGAAACACTGAGGTGGGCGTGGAGGTCAAGTTCAAGCACTTTCTCTACCCCCACCTGATCAATCCCACCCAGGTGAAGGAGCTGCTTGAGGTCAGGGAGTCGGAAGACGGAATATACTTTGGGGCTGCCGTAAGTCTGATGGAGATCGACGCTCTCCTGCGCCAGCGAATAGAGGAACTCCCGGAGTCGGAAACTCGTTTGTTCCAGTGTACTGTCGATATGCTCCACTACTTTGCCGGTAAGCAGATCCGCAATGTGGCCTGCCTCGGAGGTAACATCATGACAGGAAGCCCAATCTCGGACATGAATCCCGTACTTTCGGCAGCAGGCGCTCGTCTCGAGGTTGCTAGTTTTGTGGATGGGAAAATCCAGAAGAGAACGGTCCACATGGGTACCGGATTCTTCACCGGCTATCGTCGGAACGTCATCGAGCCCCAGGAGGTTCTGGTGGGAATCCATTTTCAGAAGACCACTCCCGACCAGTACATGGTGGCCTTCAAGCAGGCCAGACGAAGGGACGACGACATCGCCATTGTAAATGCGGCTGTGAATGTCCGATTTGAGCCAAAGTCTAACGTGGTGGAGGAAATATTTGTGGCTTTCGGTGGCATGGCTCCCACCACGGTGCTGGCGCCCAAAACCTCTGCTCTGATGGTCGGTCGCGAGTGGAACCACCAGCTGGTGGAGAAAGTGGCAGAAAGCCTGTGTGTGGAGCTTCCTTTGGCTGCCTCGGCGCCAGGAGGCATGATTGCCTACCGGCGTGCCCTGGTAGTGAGTCTGTTCTTCAAGGCCTTTTTGTCCATCACTCAAAAGCTCAGCAATGCCGGAATAGTATCTGCTGATGCACTGCCACCAGAGGAGCGGAGTGGGGCTGATTCCTTCCACACATCAGCACTGAAAAGCAGCCAGCTCTTTGAACGGGTATGCACCGACCAACCCATCTTCGATCCCATTGGAAGGCCGAAGGTCCATGCTGCTGCTTTGAAACAGGCCACTGGAGAGGCCATCTACACGGATGACATACCCCGCATGGACGGAGAAGTTTACTTGGCGTTTGTCCTGAGTACCAAGCCTCGGGCCAAGATCACCAAACTGGATGCCAGCGAAGCCTTGGCCTTGGACGGTGTTCATCAGTTCTTTAGCTACAAAGATTTAACGGAGCACGAAAACGAGGTGGGTCCAGTGTTCCACGACGAGCATGTCTTTGCAGCCGGAGAGGTTCACTGCTACGGCCAGATTGTGGGTGCTATTGCGGCTGATAATAAGGCGCTGGCTCAACGGGCTGCCAGGATGGTGAAAGTGGAGTACGAGGAGTTGAGCCCAGTGATAGTGACCATCGAGCAGGCCATTGAGCACGGCTCCTACTTTCCGGATTACCCGCGATTTGTGACGAAGGGCGATGTGGAGGAGGCTTTTGCCAAGGCGGATCACACTTTTGAAGGATCCTGTCGCATGGGCGGCCAGGAGCACTTCTATTTAGAGACTCATGCTGCTGTGGCGGTACCTAGGGACAGTGACGAGTTGGAGCTCTTCTGCTCCACCCAACACCCCTCAGAGGTTCAAAAATTAGTGGCGCACGTCACTTCACTTCCTGCCCACCGAGTGGTCTGCCGCGCCAAACGCTTGGGAGGAGGTTTCGGTGGCAAAGAGTCGAGGGGCATCTCAGTGGCCCTTCCCGTTGCCTTGGCCGCCTATCGAATGGGGCGTCCTGTTCGATGTATGTTGGATCGGGACGAGGACATGATCATCACGGGAACCCGCCATCCCTTCCTATTCAAATACAAAGTGGGATTCACCAAGGAGGGGCTTATCACAGCCTGCGACATAGAGTGCTACAACAACGCGGGCTGGTCCATGGATCTATCTTTTTCGGTAAGTTTTTCTACTTGAATTTACTCTTATTTACGAACCTAATGATTGAATCTTTAAGGTTCTGGAGCGAGCCATGTACCACTTTGAGAACTGTTACCGGATTCCCAACGTGCGAGTTGGTGGATGGGTTTGCAAGACGAATCTTCCCTCGAACACGGCCTTCCGAGGCTTTGGTGGACCGCAGGGCATGTTCGCCGGAGAGCATATAATACGCGATGTGGCCAGAATTGTGGGCCGAAATGTGGTGGACGTCATGAGACTCAATTTTTACAAGACTGGGGATCGGACGCACTACCACCAAGAGCTGGAACACTTCCCCATCGAACGTTGTCTGGATGATTGCCTGACGCAGTCGCGATACAACGAAAGGCGATCGGAGATAGCCCGTTTCAACAAGGAGAACCGCTGGCGGAAACGTGGAATGGCAGTGATTCCCACCAAGTACGGGATCGCCTTCGGTGTGATGCACTTGAATCAAGCTGGTGCCCTCATCAACATCTACGGAGACGGGTCTGTTTTGCTTTCCCACGGAGGTGTGGAAATCGGGCAGGGCCTCAACACCAAGATGATTCAGTGTGCCGCCAGGGCCTTAGGGATTCCACCAGAGCTGATTCACATTTCAGAGACGGCCACAGATAAAGTCCCCAACACATCGCCCACGGCAGCCAGTGTGGGATCGGATTTGAACGGCATGGCTGTTCTGGATGCCTGCGAGAAGTTAAACAAGCGTCTGGCCCCCGTCAAGGAAGCCCTGCCCGAAGGCACCTGGAAGGAATGGATTAACAAGGCGTACTTCGACAGGGTCAGCCTCTCGGCCACAGGATTCTATGCCATGCCAGGTATCGGCTACCACCCAGAGACGAATCCCAATGCACGCACCTATAGCTACTACACGAATGGTGTGGGTATCAGTGTCGTGGAGATCGACTGTCTCACCGGCGACCATCAGGTGCTCAGCACAGATATCGTGATGGACATTGGATCGAGTATGAATCCAGCCATCGATATTGGTCAGATCGAAGGAGCATTTATGCAGGGCTACGGTCTGTTTACTCTGGAGGAGCTTATGTATTCTCCACAAGGCATGCTCTATTCTAGGGGTCCTGGAATGTACAAGTTGCCAGGATTCGCCGACATTCCCGGCGAGTTTAACGTGAGCCTACTGACAGGTGCTCCCAATCCACGGGCTGTCTACTCCTCCAAGGTGAGTTAACTCTTAAATATTTCTATAAGATGGATCTAACCTATTTATTTCCTTCAGGCCGTTGGTGAACCTCCGCTCTTTATTGGATCATCTGCGTTCTTTGCCATAAAGGAAGCCATTGCAGCAGCTCGCGAGGATCAGGGCTTGAATGGGGACTATCCGTTGGAAGCTCCCGCTACTTCGGCACGAATTCGCATGGCCTGTCAAGATAAATTTACCAATTTGGTAAGTTGTTTTTCAATTTAAGATAAATCTTTTTCAAGATAAGTTAAAATGACCAATAAATATCTATCATTATAGTTGAAAATGCCTGAAGATGGGACATTCACGCCATGGAACATTGTACCCTAATAATTGTTTATTTTCTTATTAAAAGTTAATTAACTTGTTATGTCGTTTTTATTGTAAATTTTTCTATTGCCATTTTTTATACTTATAAGATAAAATAAATGTAAATCAAGAAAAGAAAGTTATCTTTGTGGGGACATTGTCTTCTTGACATCATGGCATGATTAATTGTGTCGAATATATAACTCCGATCTAAAAGGAAAAATTAAAAAAAAAATTTGATATAAAGAGAATACAAAAAGGTTAGAGGAGTAATACAAATTTCACGCCCAAGTAGGTGACGAGCCGCATCCCGCAGAGTCCAATAGAAGTCTACTATACCATAAAGTACATAGAAGAATAGACACTTTTCTAGAATAGAACAGAATAGAACATTGGCCATGGAATATATTGTAAAGATAAAGTTTCATGGGATTATATACACAGGAAGAAGTCCTTTCTAATTTTTGGTCTTTCGAGCCGTTCGAAAATGTTGTTTTTAAAACTAGTCCTGGAACTAGAATTTTTTCGAACGGTTTTGGACAATACTTTTCGCCTTATTTTAGCTTTTCGAATTGGTGTATCCTTTAACATCCACAAGTAAGTATACAATTTTCTGCAGCCTTACCCCAAAAAGTATGCAATAATCATATTTTAGAAAATTTCTTGAAAGGATAGAGATGGAAAGTATGAAAAGGATGTTAAAGAAGGTAATAGAATAATTACCCACAACGAAATTCCCACTTATTTATCTCAAAGAAAGGTCAGTTGCTTTTCATTGCTTTAAAATAATCCTTTATATATTCTGGTGCTATTCCAATAACTATTCCAATAAAAATACACACAAATCTTGAATCTAAGATTTTTAAACTAAGTACTTATCAGCTAGATAAATATCTGATTGCTTTTGATTGCCTTCATCTGTGGATTCAATCCCTTAAAATAAATCGTATAATTATATTAAAATCGTGTTTAATGCTTCAACAATTGTCGTCATAGTATTTAACATTTCTCGATGAATCACCTTTATTAAATATTCCGTGGTGTTATTTAAGTAATAAAATTTAAATGTATAAATTTCATAGTTGTTATTTTTATGGGCCCTTGTTGAAGGGACAATGTAACCGACTATTATAGGCGTATATGGCGTCAAGAAAAGTCTTAAATTTGAATTTAAAAATTGACTTCTAAAGATAACTATATTCGGAGATTACTAATAGTGGCGCTATGTAATACCAGGTGCTAATGCGATGAAAAATGATTAATGAACATCTTGGAATGATAATAAATTGTATGCATTATTGAAAAGTTTTACCTCTATTTCATTAAGCTATACCTAGAATTCACACATCCAAATTGAAAAAAACCTATAAATTTATATTATTACTTAATTTACGATAAATCAATTTTTAGGTCACGATTGCCCAGTAAGTTTTTCCCTAATAATATGTATCATTTTAAATTGCAACTTAAGCTTATGGTTTTTAAAATAATTAACGAAAATTAATTTTTATAGGATGATTCACACTTTTATGATAAAAAAAGTTTGAGCAAGATAATTTCCCGTAGAAATCGAATTCAAATAGAAAATCATGAATGAGATTGCGCAAGGTAGTAAATTTTAAACGTTTAAACGTATTTCACTCTCGGCTATAAGAACCGGAAAGGAGAGCCAACTTCGGGTGGAGCCGAAGTTGATGTACCCTTGCATTTACTAAGAAGATTATATTATAAATGTTTTAATGTAAAATACACAAAGGATCGAATATACATATATTGTAAATATTGGTTTTAGTTGGCTGATTCTTATGAGAATTTTTTTAAAAAATCTTGTTTTTATAATTAAAATTAAAAAAAAAAATAGGGCCAACCTTTTTTTATGTCATTTCCGATCGTTCTTACATTAACATATACTTACATACATATATGTATATTATTTTATAATATTATACATGTCTTATATGCTGAAAAGGAAAGAAGGGTGTAAGAAAGGTTTGACGTCGATAGCTTAAAAACTGACAGCCTAGTTTGCGTAAAAAACAGACAGAATCATATCCACTAAATGAGTCATACTGATCAGGAATATATTTACTGTTTAGGGTCTGAAACGTCACTTTCACTTAATGCCTTCTTATAGTACTCTTTTCTCATAGTTTTTCTTTTACTCTTCTTCTTATAGTTATTATATAGAAAATTATAGTGCTCTTTGTTAGAGTATAAAAAGCGTTTGAGGCTGAAACTCAGGTCAGTTGAGGCGGGATTTTGGCGAGTATTTCATTCGGTAATTGGACGCTCAAGAGCGAAGATCTCGGAAGTAATGCCTTCGTATGGTTTTTGCGTAACTTTGCTTTTCGTAATCGTAGTTATTTTAATATCGTCTGCTTTGGTGTACACCCAATGGAATCCTCCGATGGTTTCCGTTGATAATTATGGAAATTGCCAGGCCTACGATAGACCTCTTGTTGGCAGATGCGTCCGTTACGGGGACTGTATCAGTGCTATTCAATCTGCCCACCAGGTGGTACCTCTGCTATGCCCGTCCGCAAGTCCCGAGAACTTTGTATGCTGTCCTCATGGCGGATACGTAATGCAGCCGCCCAGGATTTCAATGAGCGAGAACGGTGCGTATGATTTATTTTTGTATTTGAATCGCTTGGATTATAATCTTTTTTGGCAGCCTGCAAAAGTGCCTATCCCAGAAGCCGCCACAAGAGGCACAGACGTCACCGGGATGTTAACGCTCATAAAGATCAAGTGGAGGTAACTGAGCCAATTATCCAGAAACGTAATAACAGCATTTTGAATGTTGTGGGCGGTAGAATCACCCTACAAAATGAGTATCCATATATGGTGAGTGTTGTATTAAAAATTAATTTTAAAATATTTTTATATTTTTTTTCGTTTTTACTTTAAATTGGTCCAGAAGTGGTAAAAATGAAAGTTATTTTCATAAACACTACTTGCATACATACAATTCCCTTCTCACTTTTCCAAGAACTATCAATTTTTATTAATAATAATCAAAAATATTTTGAAAGCCCAAATGTTTGGCAACAAAGTTTATTATCAATTTATTTAGCAAACATTTATTATCAATCTATATTTTTACAGTGTGCCCTCGGATGGCCATCCCGCGACGGCCAAAGATGGATACCCGGCCGTGCGGGTGGTTCTGCCGTTCGAAGATATGTTTTCAACTGCGGCTGCGTGTTGATTGCTCCGCAGTTCGCTTTAACGGCCGCCCACTGTGCCAACATTGGAGGGTAAGCGAAAAAAGAGAAAAATATAACGAATATAGAAATATAAATACTGGAAATGCTAATGGGTTTCTAAAAACGAAAAGGGAATCCCCGACAGTGGCGTTGATTGGTGGCGGTGAGTTGAACAATTCCAATGGCCAGCTGAATGAAATCCACTACTTGATCAAGCACCCCAACTTCGATCCGGTGACCATGTCCAATGACTTGGCAATTGTAAGGCTGGCGAGACGCTCCCAAAAGCCCGTGGCATGTTTGTGGAACCAGGAATCCGTCCCAGAGAGACCACTGACTGCTCTGGGGTACGGACAAACTAAGTTTGGTAAGTGAAATGATTTACAACTTACCTTTTATTATTTTTATCATCAAATTTTCATTTCCCACAGCCGGACCTCATTCGAACGAGCTCCTTCAGGTGCTTCTTTATCCTCTGGATAATACCCGGTGTCTGCATTTCATGCAACAGGATGATAAGCTAACCAATGGCCTATCACCTGGGCAACTATGTGCTGGCGATTACTCCGGAAGAATGGATACATGTCAGGTGAGATATATAAATGTCCCGATTTTATAAAAAGTTTATATAAATTTTGATTTTTATAGGGAGATTCGGGTGGCCCTCTGGTACTTTACGAACGTGTGCGCCACCATCACCAGATGATTCCCTACCTGGTGGGTATTACATCCTTTGGAGGAGCTTGCGCCTCGGGCCAACCCGGAATATACGTACGGATAGTGCACTACATTCAATGGATAGAGCAACATGTTTGGTCATAGTCTCTTTCTTTCTTATTTTTTATTCCACTAACAACCCTATTTATTTATAATTATTATTTTTATGAAGAACTTGAAATAATAAAGAACAATTTAAAGTTTAAATAAATATATATATATTTTTGCGACAGAATCTTTGAAGAAGAAGAAATAATATGGTAATAAGTGGTGACTCACAATGTATCTTATTAAAAAAATTATTTATTTCTATACCTGCAGCTCTGGTTAAGTCTTCTTAAAGACAATCTTTTCAATCCAGTCCAAGTAGTTGTATATCCTGGTATACACTCCAGGAGCATTTGGAGCAGCACAAAACTTCCCAAAGGATGTGATGCCCACAACGAAGGCCACGCAGTTGTATTCCGGTAATATGGCATGGATGGGTCCACCGGAATCGCCTTGACAGGTGTCCTTGCCGCCAGGCAAGTGGCCGGCGCAGAACTGGCCATCGATAATACCGCGTGGAAGACGTCGCTCCTTGCGATAGATCTGCTTGCATTGCAGTTGGGGAATAATGTCCAGATCCACCTGCCGCAATGAGTTGGACTTGGAACCCAGGAACTCGGTGCGCCCCCAGCCGGCCGCCACCACAGTGGGAATCTGCAATTCATGTCCCTGCCACAGACAGGCAGGACGCACCGCCTCTGAGAATTGCACCTGACGAGTAAGTTTTAGTAGGGCAATATCATGATAATAAGCCGACGAGCGGTACTTGGGGTGCAGGATAATGATGAGAATTTTAATGTCCTGCTGGGAAGTACTGGTTTCATTTAGTTGCCTTGTACCCAGTCTAACCATATCCGGGGGTTTGCTACGAAATCATTCAAACAAGAAGCCCTATAGTTGTGACTCGCTGGAAAACTTGACTTACCTACCCGAGGTGGCGCAATGGGCGGCAGTCAAGACGTACAGATCACTGACCAGCGTGCCTCCGCAGCCCCACTTAATGTCCACGGGCGGGGCACCCTGAGTACCCTGCGACCAGCCTAAGGCAGCCATGTGGGGAAAGAGGTTACTTCGGGTAGGGGTCCCTCCTACAATCAATGGAATACTAGGGACACATTGCTTTCCAGAGAAGGTCCTCGAAGTGTCGCCCAATTTAAGTCGTCTAGTCGCCGCATTGTACTCCTGGCATTCTGAAAATGATAAAACCTTGTAAGACCTTAAATATTTCAGGGAAATATGGCTACTTACTGGTGGCACTAATTCGCTGGGCCAGGACATGTTTGTCGGCCAAAGGACAACAAATAACTGGCACATTATTTCTGTGAGTACAGATGTCAATATGTGTCCCATGCACCCGGTACTCCCGGATCACATGGAGGCACTGGTAGGCTAGGATACAGTAACCGCTCCTTCCATCAAAACTTCGCCGACAGAAGGCTCCCTCGTTCAATTCCTTGAAGGAAGATGTCGTTTGAACCTGACCTTCGTCATCGAATTTCAAATAGCTCTCCTCCGGTTCAGGCTCTTCCTGTCCATCCGTATTTTCTTTGTCGGTCGCCGAATGCTCTTTCCAATTCTCGGGGATTGTATATTTTGTTGTTTGGTAGTTGATAATTTCAAGGGCATCAAGAGCTATACAAATATATTATTTAGTAGCTTTCATTTTCAGTTGGGGATTGAATCTTACCTTCAAGGTGATGGGATAGCAAGAGCAAATGCAAACTAGTCAGTTGAAGGTGTATAATCAAGGAAAAAATTACTATCATGCTTTTGATAATATATGCAAATCTCTGCTTTGCTTGTCGGAATACATTCCAAGGTTAATTGCTAAAAATATAAAGAAAACATTATTTAAATAAAAATGCAAGAAGTTTAAAAATTATGAGCGAACTAAATCTGCATCTCTGCCGAATTTTTCAGATTTCAGATTTTTTGTCTATAGCGCCCACTGTGATGGATATATCTTCCCCAATTCCGATTCTTAAGCGGAGTACCTTAAACGATTTTTAGATCGATTCTCCACCATCCTGATTCAAAATCCTGAGACAAAATATTTTTCACATTTTTTGTCCATTTTTCTGATGGGTTCCCTTGAAAATGGGGTTTTCCCCTATTGGGCCCACTGTGATGGCTATATCTTCCCCAATTTGATTCCGATTCTTAAGCGGAGTACCTTAAACGATTTGTAGATCGATTCTCCACCATTCTGCATCAAAATCCTGAGACAAAATATTTTTCAGATTTTTTGTCCATTTTTCTGATGGGTTCCCTTGAAAATGGGGTTTTCCCCTATAGGGCCCACTGTGATGGCTATATCTTCCCCAATTCGAATACGATTCTCAAAAGAAGTACCTTAAACGATTTGTAGATCGATTCTCCACCATCCTGCATCAAAATCTTGAGACAAAATATTTTTCAGATTTTTTGTCCATTTTTCTGATGGGTTCCCTTGAAAATGGGGTTTTCCCCTATAGGGCCCACTGTGATGGTTATATCTTCCCCAATTCGAATCCGCTTCTCAAGCGGAGTACCTTAAACGATTTGTAGATCGATTCTCCTCCATCCTGCATCAAAATCCTGAGACAAAATATTTTTCAGATTGTTTGTCCATTTTTCTGATGGGTTCCCTTGAAAATGGGGTTTTCCCCTATAGGGCCCACTGTGATGGATATATCTTCCCCAATTCGGATTCTTAAGCGGAGTACCTTAAACGATTTTTAGATCGATTCTCCACCATCCTGATTCAAAATCCTGAGACAAAATATTTTTCACATTTTTTGTCCATTTTTCTGATGGGTTCCCTTGGAAATGGGGTTTTCCCCTATAGGGCCCACTGTGATGGTTATATCTTCCCCAATTCGAATCCGCTTCTCAAGCGGAGTACCTTAAACGATTTGTAGATCGATTCTCCTCCATTCTGCATCAAAATCCTGAGACAAAATATTTTTCAGATTGTTTGTCCATTTTTCTGATGGGTTCCCTTGAAAATGGGGTTTTCCCCTATAGGGCCCACTGTGATGGTTATATCTTCCCCAATTCGAATCCGATTCTCAAGCGAAGTACCTTAAACGATTTGTAGATCGATTCTCCACCATTCTGCATCAAAATCCTGAGACAAAATATTTTTCAGATTTTTTGTCCATTTTTCTGATGGGTTCCCTTGGAAATGGGGTTTTCCCCTATAGGGCCCACTGTGATGGTTATATCTTCCCCAATTCGAATCCGATTCTCAAGCGGAGTACCTTAAACGATTTGTAGATCGATTCTCCTCCATTCTGCATCAAAATCCTGAGACAAAATATTTTTCAGATTGTTTGTCCATTTTTCTGATGGGTTCCCTTGGAAATGGGGTTTTCCCCTATAGGGCCCACTGTGATGGTTATATCTTCCCCAATTCGAATCCGATTCTCAAGCGGAGTACCTTAAACGATTTGTAGATCGATTCTCCTCCATTCTGCATCAAAATCCTGAGACAAAATATTTTTCAGATTTTTTGTCCATTTTTCTGATGGGTTCCCTTAAAAATGAGGTTTTCCCCTATAGGGCCCACTGTGATGGCTATATCTTCCCCAATTCGAATCCGATTCTCAAGCGGAGTACCTTAAACGATTTGTAGATCGATTCTCCTCCATTCTGCATCAAAATCCTGAGACAAAATATTTTTCATATTTTTTGTCCATTTTTCTAATGGGTTCCCTTGAAAATGGGGTTTTCCCCTATAGGGCCCACTGTGATGGCTATATCTTCCCCAATTCGAATCCGATTCTCAAGCGGAGTACCTTAAACGATTTGTAGATCGATTCTCCTCCATTCTGCATCAAAATCCTGAGACAAAATATTTTTCATATTTTTTGTCCATTTTTCTGATGGGTTCCCTTGAAAATGGGGTTTTACCCTATAGGGCCCACTGTGATGGCTATATCTTCCCCAATTCGAATCCGATTCTCAATCGAAGTAACTTAAACGATTTGTAGATCGATTCTCCACCATTCTGCATCAAAATCCTGAGACAAAATATTTTTTAGATTTTTTGTCCATTTTTCTGATGGGTTCCCTTAAAAATGGGGTTTTCCCCTATAGGGCCCACTGTGATGGCTATATCTTCCCCAATTCGATTCCGATTCTCAAGCGAAGTACCTTAAACGATTTGTAGATCGATTCTCCTCCATTCTGCATCAAAATCCTGAGACAAAATATTTTTCATATTTTTTGTCCATTTTTCTAATGGGTTCCCTTGAAAATGGGGTTTTCCCCTATAGGGCCCACTGTGATGGCTATATCTTCCCCAATCCTGCTCCGATTCTCAAGCGGAGTACCTTAAACGATTTGTAGATCGATTCTCCTCCATTCTGCATCAAAATCCTGAGACAAAATATTTTTCAGATTTTTTGTCCATTTTTCTGATGGGTTCCCTTAAAAATGAGGTTTTCCCCTATAGGGCCCACTGTGATGGCTATATCTTCCCCAATTCGAATCCGATTCTCAAGCGGAGTACCTTAAACGATTTGTAGATCGATTCTCCTCCATTCTGCATCAAAATCCTGAGACAAAATATTTTTCATATTTTTTGTCCATTTTTCTAATGGGTTCCCTTGAAAATGGGGTTTTCCCCTATAGGGCCCACTGTGATGGCTATATCTTCCCCAATTCGAATCCGATTCTCAAGCGGAGTACCTTAAACGATTTGTAGATCGATTCTCCTCCATTCTGCATCAAAATCCTGAGACAAAATATTTTTCATATTTTTTGTCCATTTTTCTGATGGGTTCCCTTGAAAATGGGGTTTTACCCTATAGGGCCCACTGTGATGGCTATATCTTCCCCAATTCGAATCCGATTCTCAATCGAAGTAACTTAAACGATTTGTAGATCGATTCTCCACCATTCTGCATCAAAATCCTGAGACAAAATATTTTTTAGATTTTTTGTCCATTTTTCTGATGGGTTCCCTTAAAAATGGGGTTTTCCCCTATAGGGCCCACTGTGATGGCTATATCTTCCCCAATTCGATTCCGATTCTCAAGCGAAGTACCTTAAACGATTTGTAGATCGATTCTCCTCCATTCTGCATCAAAATCCTGAGACAAAATATTTTTCATATTTTTTGTCCATTTTTCTAATGGGTTCCCTTGAAAATGGGGTTTTCCCCTATAGGGCCCACTGTGATGGCTATATCTTCCCCAATCCTGCTCCGATTCTCAAGCGGAGTACCTTAAACGATTTGTAGATCGATTCTCCTCCATTCTGCATCAAAATCCTGAGACAAAATATTTTTCATATTTTTTGTCCATTTTTCTAATGGGTTCCCTTGAAAATGGGGTTTTCCCCTATAGGGCCCACTGTGATGGCTATATCTTCCCCAATCCTGCTCCGATTCTCAAGCGGAGTACCTTAAACGATTTGTAGATCGATTCTCCTCCATTCTGCATCAAAATCCTGAAACAAAATATTTTTCAGATTTTTTGTCCATTTTTCTGATGGGTTCCCTTGGAAATGGGGTTTTCCCCTATTGGGCCCACTGTGATGGCTATATCTTCCCCAATTCGAATCCGATTCTCAAGCGGAGTACCTTAAACGATTTCCAGATCGATTCTCCACCATCCTGCATCAAAATCCTGAGACAAAATATTTTTCAGATTTTTTGTCCATTTTTCTGATGGGTTCCCTTGAAAATGGGGTTTTCCCCTATAGGGCCCACTGTGATGGCTATATCTTTCCCAATTCGAATCCGATTCTCAAGCGCAGTACCTTAAACGATTTGTAGATCGATTCTCAATAAATATGCATTAAAATCCGACGATAAAATATTTTTCAGTTATTTTGTCAAATTTTCTGGGGCATTTTATCCCTTCAAAATGTGGAAAATGCATGGGAGGAACGGTATAGTCGGTATTTATCTGATTATTGAGCGGAATACCTCTAACGAACTGGAGTTAAAAGCTGTGATAATTTTTATTTATTTTTGTCAAAATTTTTGACCTCCTAGAAAAAAGAGCAATGTTGATTTCTAAACTAAAGTTCTTTACATGTTTCGGACGTAGATAAAATAAACTGCTACCAAATTTATCAGTTCTGTGAGCATACATTTAAATATATTTTAAATACATATACATATGTATAATATTGATTACATTCTATTTACATCTTTTATTAATAAGAAAACTTGTGAAATACCCAGCTAATTAGCTTTCCAGTCTCAATATTCCTACCACCATTGTGACCAAAACAAACCCTTGTCTGTCTGTGTGTATTTTTTGTTTAATGTATTTTTATTAATTAATGCGGGCTCTCAATTATAAATTCGGCTGAATTTCAATAAAACTGTTTGCCTGCGCTGTGTTTCTTTTCGCGTGAAGCAGATTGGATTTTATTGGAAGATCCCAGTCGAGTTAAAACGGTCGAGCGAGTTAGATCAGCGATGGTTAAAGTGAAATGTGTTTGCTTCGCTATTTGTTTACTCATAAACACCATTCCGGTGAAGGGGCAGTACTGGAACAACAACGGTGACCAGGGTCAGTGGTCTGGGTTTCCGTCTGAGGTGCCGCAGCAACAGCAGTGGCAACAGCCACAGCCACAGCCACAGCCGGAGCCAAGCAGGTGGGACTATGGCAACTATAATAGCTTCCAAAACGGCTTCAACAGTCAATGGCCGCCGGGTTACTATAACGCCTACGGATATTATAGGCCCCCTCCACCACCACCGCCACCTCCTTGCGGAAGGCCACCGCCTGGACCTCCGCCGCCGGGTCCACCGCCTCCGGGCCCACCCCCAGGCTGCCCAGGAGGACCACCTCCGCCACGCCCACCACATCACCATCATCAGTGGGCACCACGTCGTCCACCAATGAATCACCACAGAAATTTTCACAATATTTTTCTCAACATGGAACGGAAAGTTGATGGGGATAACTATAACCATACTGCCGAAATGGAGGACTTGCACGACGATTTCAACGGAAGATCACTGGTGGCACCCGGACAATATCCCCACATGGTCAGTAGTAGCCGCAAACACAGAAAAATCACACAAAACCGGTATCCGTATTCCGGAGACTCTGGGAAACGCCAAAGTACCTTCGATCACAACAAATAGACGACTACGACTATGCTAGATTTGCAAATGAGAGACTAACCATTTGATAACAGTTATGGAGCCACAATAATATACTCTCCTTGAAACAAACATTTTATTAAATGAGAGGGTTAGTTACACTGAGAAAAGGGAAGAGTATACTAACCATAAAAGATAATGTAAAAAGGTTAAAACATCAAAAATGCCTAAAATTAATATTTAAATATCTTTCCATCTATGTTAGTAATTCTGTTAATTAGTAACTATGTTACTAATTATTAAGCCCCAAAGTATTGTATAGTCTACTCCTTTCACTATCTATCTTTACAGGCCGCTTTAGGTTTCCGCAATGAGAACCATGAGATCGACTACAAATGCGGTGGCAGCTTGATCAGCGAGAACTTTGTGCTCACGGCAGCTCACTGCTTGACCACTCACGGGTAAGCTTTCACTTTCACTCAGAAATTTCGAGTGGAATATAGCGATTTGAGTGAAATAAGGGTTTGCTAATTGGCAACCTGTTGGACCGGCTAAGTAGCTGTTTAGTAAATTATTTAATCAATAACTAAGTAATATTACTAAAAAAATTACCCTTTTTCCACCCAGCAAACACCCGGATGTTGTGAAAATCGGCGACATCAAGCTCAAGGAGTGGGAGAACGACGTGGCTCCCCAAAGACGTCGCGTCGCCCAGATCTACCTACATCCCCTTTATAATTCCACCCTCAACTACCACGACATTGGACTGATCCAGCTTAATCGGCCGGTGGAATACACTTGGTTTGTGAAACCAGCCCGTCTTTGGCCAAGACACGAGATTCCCTATGGAAAACTACACACCATGGGCTATGGCTCGACAGCATTTGCTCAGCCCCAAACGAATATTCTGACGGAGCTGGATCTATCCGAAGTGCCACTGGAGCAGTGTAATAGTAGTCTACCCGCCGACGAAAGTGCACCGAATGGTATCCTCTCGAGTCAGATTTGTGCTCATGACTACGAAAAGAACGCCGATACGTGTCAGGTGAGTTGTTGTCCTAGATGGTCAAGTAAGCTACTCCCTCACATTATCCTCTTCATTCAGGGAGATTCTGGTGGTCCTTTACAATTGAATTTGGAGCGTCGTCGCCGGCGTCATCGCAGCAGAAGACATTACCGATATTACTTAGTGGGTATCACTTCCTATGGAGCCTACTGTCGCAGTGAATTTCCAGGTAAATACAAGTGTTTAATATTTAATTCAAATAATTTAATGAAACCTTTGTAGGTGTTTATACGCGTGTGTCATCGTACATTGACTGGATAGCTTCTATAGTGTGGCCCAATTATTATAGCGAGTTTACGAATCAGTAATTAAAAAATATGAAATTTAAATTGAATTTAAACATATGGCAATGAACTAGTTATTAAAAAAAAGCTTAAAATATCTTAATAAATGCATGAAAAATATAACTTTTTTGGCTTAAAGTACAGAGCTGTTGTTATTTAGTAATGGTTGCTATGAGCAACCTACGAAATCTATTATTTTATCAATAAAAGGGCTTTAGAAGACAATTTTCATTCAATAAAATGGTTGTAAAGAGCAAAAAGAAGCGAAATAGTAAGGATTCTACGTCGAGCAATGCAGGAAGCGGTGAGGGGGAAGAAAAGAAAAAGAAAGAGGGCGGTGGCAAGAAGAAAGGAGGCGTGGGAAAGTCCATTGGATGCGATATCTTTAATGATGCTGCCATGGAAAATGCCTACTATGTGTGCCACAATGTACAGGTGAGTTTTTTATTTAGAAATTATAAAATTGTATTAATCCATATCTTATTAAAGGATGTCTTGAAGTCACGAGGATTTGCCTGGCCAGATGGACAAAAAAAGAAAAAGAAGGGAAAGCGATAGAGCAGTTTCTTAAAAATTTCTTTAAGTTTTACCTTTTTGATTTGTTTAAGTAGTGTTCCTAATTTGTATTTTCCCAAAAACCATAACAAGTCATCATCAATCGAAAAATAATTAAAAAAGTAGCCTGCTCAATATTAAACGTCATCGACAAACAAACAATTTTAACAATCTCCAAAAAATACGAACATTACAACACACTCATTTCGAAACCAGCGTGTGAAAAAATATATAGAAAATCAGAAATCGGTCGGGCCGATCAGAATTCGAGAAGGCTGCACCATAAAAACCTGGACAACGAACGCGCTGCTTCAGTCTGAGAACAGCGCTGACCGGTGCAGCATCCAAATAAGAAATTATATTAGATACAAAACACCAGCAATAGCACCAGAATGGTTAAGGCACCTGCCATCGGCATCGACCTGGGCACCACCTACTCCTGCGTGGGTGTGTGGCAGAACAGCAAGGTGGAGATCATCGCCAACGATCAGGGCAACCGCACCACGCCCTCCTATGTGGCATTCAACGACACGGAGCGCCTTATCGGCGATGCGGCCAAAAACCAGGTGAGCATGAATCAGGTTCAGTCAGATTTTTTTGCCCAAATATGTGGCCTGTGCACGGATATGGTCATCACCGGCTATATACTGTGTATATTTATATGAGAGTGATTTAATAGGAATGGGAGAAATACTATAAATAAATGAAAAAGCAGCGGAAAGTGTGGGTGGGTGGAGCATTGTAGTCCATTTATATATATTTAATAGCTTGATGGAAAATAATTACCTTTCTTTCCTTAAAGGTCGCCATGAACGCCAAGAACACAGTTTTCGATGCCAAGCGCCTGATCGGACGCAAGTATGACGACAAGAAGATCCAGGAGGACCTCAAGCATTGGCCCTTCAAGGTGGTCAACGATGGCGGCAAGCCCAAAATCGAAGTGGAGTTCAAGGGTCAACGCAAGCGTTTTGCACCGGAGGAGATCAGCTCAATGGTGCTGATCAAGATGCGTGAAACTGCCGAGGTATATCTGGGGGGAAAGGTTAAAGATGCAGTGATCACGGTGCCGGCCTACTTCAACGACAGCCAGCGGCAGGCGACCAAGGATGCGGGCTCCATCGCAGGATTGAACGTCCTTCGGATCATCAATGAGCCAACGGCAGCTGCTCTGGCGTATGGATTGGATAAAAATCTTAAGGGCGAGCGCAATGTGCTCATCTTTGACTTGGGCGGCGGCACCTTCGATGTTTCCATCCTGACCATTGACGAAGGCTCCCTGTTCGAGGTAAAATCCACGGCCGGGGACACGCATTTGGGTGGCGAGGATTTCGACAATCGTCTGGTGAACCACTTTTCTGAGGAGTTCAAGCGGAAGCACAAGGCGGATATCAAGGGCAACGCCAGGGCTTTGAGGCGTCTTAGGACCGCTTGTGAAAGGGCCAAGAGGACCTTATCCTCCAGCACGGAGGCATCTCTGGAAATAGACGCCCTTCACGAGGGCATTGATTTCTACTCGAAAATCTCGCGCGCTCGCTTCGAGGAGCTGAACATGGACTTGTTCCGGTCTACAATGCAACCGGTGGAACGAGCTCTCACTGACGCCAAGATGGACAAAAAGGCCATCCACGATGTGGTCTTAGTGGGAGGATCCACACGAATTCCCAAGATCCAGAAGATGCTGCAGGACTTGTTTGGAGGCAAGCAACTGAATCTTTCCATCAATCCCGATGAGGCTGTGGCATATGGAGCCGCAGTTCAGGCTGCGATTCTTACCGGCGTCGGTAGCTCTAAGATCCAGGATCTACTCCTGGTTGATGTGGCTCCCTTGTCACTGGGCATCGAAACTGCCGGCGGGGTGATGACCAAATTGGTGGAACGCAATGCCAGGATTCCGTGCAAGCAACAGCAGATCTTCACCACCTACAGTGACAACCAGAATGCGGTGACCATTCAGGTTTACGAAGGCGAACGAGCCATGACCAAGGACAACAATCTGCTGGGCACTTTTAATCTCACGGGCATTCCCCCGGCACCAAGAGGAGTGCCACAGATAGAGGTTTCTTTTGATCTAAACGCGGATGGCATTCTGAATGTAGGTGCCAAGGATAGCAGCACTGGGCGGTCCGAGAAGATCACCATCACCAATGACAAGGGGCGTCTGTCCAAGGCTGAGATCGATAAAATGCTCTCGGACGCTGAAAAGTACAAGGTGGAGGACGATCGCCAGCGGGAGCGGGTTCAGTCCAGGAACACTCTCGAGGGGTACATCTATGGATGCCGACAGGCAATCGATGAAGCCCCAGCTGGCATTCTTTCCGAGACCGATCGTTCCAAGGTGCGCACCAAGTGCAACGAAGAGACCACCTGGCTGGACAAGAATTCCCTCGCCGAGAAGGTGGAGTACGAGCACCATTTGAAGGAGTGCCAGCGCATCTGCAGCCCGATCATGTCCAAGATACATGCCGGAGGCTCTGCCAAATGTGGTGGCAAGCAGTCGGCTGGCAGTGCCTCCGGTCCCACTGTTGAAGAGGTGGACTAGACACCCCAAAACAAATCTAATTATTCCGCCGCTCGAAAAACTGTATTCTTGAATGTGTAATTTTCAGAAATAAATTAACCCACTTTGGGCGGCGAGTTGTTTGGTCTTTTTAATTACGCAACTACCCAGTGTTGTTTCTATGGCCGTGCTGAGTAAATCGTTCCAGGAGTGGCTCAGCGGGCGGAGTTGTAACGAGCTCCTCCACCCACACTCCTGCCGTCGGGCAGCCTTCGAGAATCTGTTCCGCTTCGCCTGGTCTAATTCAAAGTATTACTTGCCAGTGGTTCTGCTGCACCTGGGAAAGCACAGTCTGCGATCTGGAGGTGCAAATCAGGAGATTCTCTTGGATACTCTGTGGTATTATGCGCAGTTGGTTTTCGGGGGAGTAGTGGATGCGAGTCTTATTTCCATTTCCATGTGCAGTTTGCGGTAGTTATAGTGTTTTTATTTAATAGATAGAAAAGACTTGTTAACTAACCTCTTCAACAGCAATTTTCTTGGAAAGTTTCATTTGTATACATTGCTTTTTATTCCCGCAACTATCGGAGGAGCCTTCTGTGCCTTATTCCCAAAACGCGTGAAGCATCTTCAACACACGGCTATATTTCAGGCTGTAAGTTTATCCAAACTCGAAAAACTCAAGACTTATTTAAACTCAAACTTCATCAGCTCATCGAAAGTCTTCTACTGCACTTGAATCCTTTAAGCAAGCTCCTTGCTTCCTCCTTGTCCTTGCAAACTGCGATCTTTATGATCTGCAGTGCAGTTATCCTGGAGGGCCAACAGAGAAGATGGTACAATGGCTTTTGGTTTTTAACACCAGATGCTCCTAAAGATCCGGAGAACCCCTCCCCGAGCAAATCCTGCACCCATTTGGAACTGGATTGCGGATTGTACATCGTCAGGGGAATACGCAATTATCTCCTAGTAGGACTTGCTCTGGACGTGTTTAGATACTTGGTCAGTAGCTCTAAGCTGAACCAATGGAACCTAAGTCATCTTAACTTTCAATCCACTGCTTGGTTGGGTTGTTACGTGGGGCTATACAGGGTAAAGTAGTAGAATTTTATTTCAAATGTCTATTAGAAGATTAAATACTAAAATCTATATTATTTTCTAGGCAGTTCACTGTTACCTTCGAAGAATACCAATTATAGACGAGTCCTTGAAGCATCCTTTAGCTGGTTTCCTTGGAGGCCTTAGCTATTTGTTCTATCCGAAGCTCACGATTCTGAGCTATGCCTTGCTGGAAGCAATACGTTCTCTATCCCCGAAAAAACACAAACCTCGAAAGTACTCAAAGATTCGATTTGGATGGAGTGACGTCTTGTTTCCCCTATCGCTGGCCTATCTAATCCACAACTATGTGATGGAGGGGCAAAGAGTAAGTGCACTGAGCGGAGTGATTATCGACAGCACCACGGCCAACTAGTGAGTCCAACTAATTATCTGGTTGTTTAAAATAATTTCTAAACCATTTTCTGCCCATTTCAATAGTGCTCGGAACATTGGCAAGCGAATTGCCCGACTGCAGTGAATCCATTAAGGTGTTATGCTTGCTTTTTTAAATATATACTTATCTAATGTTTTGCACATTAACCTATCGCACCTCTGCTGTTTTTTTTTTGTGGGTTTGGGGCCTGGGTACTCAGCAACAGTCTCTTCCGGGACGTCGTCGCGAAATGGTGTCGTCTAGCAAGCTATTGGAGCCACCGATGAACCGGATGCCCTGCACTTTCCTGCACAGTCGTCCGGGTCAGAGCTGCACCCAGGCTTTTCTGTGGAATGTGTACCGGAACCATGTGTCCAGTGGGAAATACTATCTACCCCTACTGCTGGTCTGGTAGAGATTTGGTTTCAGTTGGATTTAATTTGGTTTCTGCCGAGATCCCAAGTTAAACTTATAATATTTAATTTTCTTTTCAGTTCCCCTTGGCTCTGAAATGGCGACGCCTTTCGGATAGAAAGACCATAATGCCAGTGGTTTGGAACTATCTACAGGCCACTAGTTTCGCTTCCTTCATCAATGCCGTCACTTTTTATCTGATTTGTATGGCCCGGAGATACTATGGTCGTTTTACGTTTATTTTCACTCCCTCTATGTCCTGCTGGCTGGCCTCCCAACTTTGCTGGTGGATGCCACCCCAAGTGCTCCTCTACTTTGTGAGTGGTGTCACCCATGCAGTAAGTCCACATCCGAGTCACCTATATTTTGTGTTAACTTTTATATTTGAAGGCCATGGAAACGCTAATGCGATACTTTAATGTGCCCTTGGTGCACTCTCGTTTGGGCCAGACACTTGTGTTTATGATCTGCTCTGTAATTGTGATTCATTACCAGCAAGAAAAGAAATACTCTGGTTTCTGGTTCATACGTCCTGCTGCTTTGCAAAAGGATTACCAAAAAAGGACGATGATACAACGACTGAGACAAAGCCTTAAGGAAATAAGTAATTATATGGGTGTTGGTCTAATACTAGATCTTGTGAATCCCATTCGAAAAAGGAGCCTCAGAAGTTTACGTCTTAAGTCAACCACCTTTTTGGTCGGCTATATGGGACTGTTTAAGGTTAAGCATTTAACCTTAAAAGCAATTTAATTTTTTTAATTTTAAATATCTCTCTTTAGTTGCTGCAATCTTTGCTTTTAGAAAGATTTAATTTAAAACAAACCAACGCTTTGGCGGCTTTTATTAGCGGTTCTGCCTTTGCCTCTTTAAATCGCCTGACATTCATGTGTTTTGCTGTGGTCACAGCCAGCCAGGCTGCTTGGCTGCAGGTTTGTTCCAAGGATTCCAAAGAAGATCCCCAACTAGCATCTATTCAAAGGATACCCTGGTCCAAGCTTCTTATACCCTGCAGTCTGGCGTATCTGGTGCACATTTTCTTTTACCATTCCCAATACCTGAACGAATTGGCCAGGGACTTTATTGACTCCACATGCGATAAGAAGTAGTTCAGATAATATAATCACCTAATTTTGACTAACAACTTTTCTGATTTCAGTGGCCAACGACTTTTTGATTTATTGAACTTCCAAGATGAAAACATGGTAGTTGCAGCCGTCGTTAAAAGGTCGCCAGAAGCCTCATTTTGGTTTTAATTACAAAAAGGATGTAATTTGTGAAGAAATAATTATGTCACATTGAACTAAATGAATCGATGATAAACAAGTTACTATGTTTAAATATCAATTCGTTAGGCATTGACAAAATATTATCATAAATTATGTGCATAAATTAATTTTTAAACCAAACAAAAGCTTGCTTTGAAGCTACTGGCGATATCGCAAACTTTGGAGACATCGCCAGTACGGTATCACATGGGGATATCCCTTAAGTTGATTAAATAAATTGAAACACATATAAACAAGGCATAATATTTATTGTAATATCAGTTTAAAATTGGTAGATGAGTTCTTCAACAAATCCAGTTTAGGCATCGTTGGCGAGCCATATGTCAGAAGTGCAATCACCACCAGGGTAACGCATTTCATGAGGCAGACCAGGTCCATAGGGTTCATTGCCAAAGTCCACCAGGAAGTCTTCATTGAGAGCAAAGCCACCGTTCACAGTATCCACATCGATCAAGACAATGTGACCTCCCTTAGACACCATTTTGGGATAAAACTGAAAGCAGTGGGAATTTAGTTTCTGTTTAAGATATCCTTTAAATATCCTTCTTTTATAAACCAACCTGCTTATCCCAAGGGGAGTAAAGAGATGATGAAACATACAATCGTTTTCCATCCAAGGAGAGCTGCATCATTTGGGGACCGCCTTCCAAACGGCGCCCCTTGACATAACGTGCTGGTGGTCTTTCCTAAAATATAGTGTTATCAAAACATTATTCCTAAATAATCTTAAAATACAAACCTTAAGTTCCTTATCTTCCTTGACAACCACATTGGGCAAATCACTGGCTATGGCGCCTCCCAAAAACAACTGACCCGTGAGTTTTGGATTCTCAGGATCGGTAATATCGTATTGCCGAACATCTCCATGACGCCAGCAGTTCACATACAGGAATCGATCGTCCAGGGATATGATAATATCCGATATCATTCCACCCATACTTTCCGCCTTTCCACTGCCGGTGTCGACCAATTTCTCGGGAATGTCAATCACCTTCTTGGCCTCGAACTCATCGGAATTGTCCTTTTTCTTGAAATAGAATACTTTGGCATTCAAAGCACAGCCAACAAATCCTTCAGCTCGTTTGGGATTGTGCAGAAACCGGATCTCCAAAGGAGTTATTCCATCCGATCCTAGATCGATGGTCTGGTAAAGGGTCTGTGTGGACCACTTGTAGAAGTTGAGACGACAGCCATACTGGGTCATGTCATCGAGGTCTTTTGTCTGCCATCCCCTGAAAATGACATGTTTTTAAATAATATTTTAAAATGTTTTAAATATTTTGTACCGTCGCCATTTGTTGGGAGCTCCCCACTCGGATGACACCATGACATCGAAATACGGTTGATACCAAAAGTCATAGCCGCACAAAGCCTTCTTCTCGCCCTTAGTCCAGGTGCCAATGCAATTGAACTCGGAGTCGAAAAGGATAAATTCGCCCTTGGCATATCCTTCGGCATCGCCCATCACCGATATCATGATATTTCCGTTGGCCAAACAATGGGTGGTATGAGGGCCCGTAACATTGTGGCTTTTTAGCACATCGCCGTCAATAACTTTAACGATTTCCGGCTTGCGTGGATCCTTCACCACATCGAGGATATAGATAAAGTCGGAATTCAGAGATGGTAGAATTAAACGGTTTCTCTTGGGAATTTTATCAGCTTTCTCGTCCACGATATAGCAACTCGAACAGGCGTTCCAACCAGAGTGATGCAGTTCATCGCCCTTTCGATTTGTAAATGTGCGATGAACAATCTAAAAAAAGTAAAATTAGAAAAGAAAAGTAAAAAATCTATAATCTATTATTTTTTTATACTAAAATTCCATTTAATCTGCAACTGATTTATTATAAAAAACATAAACAACTTGAGTAGAACTAATTCAATTAAGCAAAGTGTTTGTGTTGATTTCTATTTACCTGACAGTAGGTGGGGCTCTCTGGATCCACATCGACTGTGGACAGATAGTCGCCGTGGGGCTCATCCAGATTGGGCTGGACGGTGACAGTGTAGAGGAGCTTCTCCCGGGGGCCACTCCTCATGGCATCCAGGGGGGTTGCGTAACCCGGTCCGTGGCAACAGGCTGGAGAGAAACACAAATAATTATCAAAATTGCTTGGAATTCGTATTCAGATCGGGCAGGGAATGTGTTTGTATACTAAACACGTCGTTCCGTACATTTTGTGGACATTGCTTGGCGAAGAACAGAAACCAAATGAGAATCGAATGATACGGAGCAAGACCTTTATACACAAGCCTATAAATGATTGTGTATGCTCTCTCGAAAACAAAACACAGAAAACCGGTCCGCCCGGCTTTCTTATCAAGAAAAACAGTATAAGTTTGTAAATGGGAGGAAAGATAATTAGATATTTTCCACTTTTCCCTTTATTTTATAGCCCCTTTATTCGATTTTGACATGAAATTAAGTTAAGCTGTAAACAAAAATTGTGAAATAGTTTCTAAATTGTATGTACATATATATATTTTTTGTTTTATAAATAATTCCAAAGCTGATAACAGCGGAAAGAAATCAAAACAAAGTTTTTATAAAACTTATTCAAGTTTATATATTTGCGTTAATAAAAAATCAATTCATTATTTTCAATCTTTATATAAATCTTTCATACACATAAACCGACTTTATTAAAGTTTTTTGTTAGTAAATTATTCTTAAAACAACTTTTTAGTTTTGTTATGGGCAGCACTTTTTGTTTGAATTTTCGCGCGTCAATCAGATGGGCCATCTTCAATAACAGATGTTTTTCTATGTCGCTGATAGTGTGACGCTGTTAAGCACCTGTTATCTAACAGTTTTTTTTAAGTTCCTTTCGGCGAGATTTTAACAAATAAACATGAGTTTTTTGAAGAATTTTAAGATTGTGGCAGCGGCTCCATTGCGCTATTCTTCAACCTCAACACATTCCCACCGCCGACGGGTGGTGATTACCGGCAGTGGAGCTGTCACACCGCTGGCCAACAATGTGGCGGATTCCTGGCGTCGCATCCTAGCCGGCGAATCGGCAATCTCTAAGCTGGGACCAGAATTTAAGGGATTGCCCTGCCAGGTGGCTGCACAAATACCAAAGGACTCTCTTCAACTGGACAAACACCTGAGCAAGTCGGACATCAAGCTGATGAGCCCAGCCACCCAGTTGGCGGTACTGGCGGCCGAGGAGGCGCTGACCACCGGACGCCTTAATCCCAAGGAGTTGAGTGAGGAACAGAAGGAACGCTTCGGCGTCTGTGTGGGCATGGGAATGTTTGATCTTGCGGAAGTTTATAGCACCTGGAACCAGCTGCAAAGGGGTTACAACAGAGTAAGCCCCTTTTTCGTGCCCCGACTCCTGCCCAGCATGGCATGTGGCCACATCAGCATGCGACATGGTCTCAGAGGACCGAACCACTCAGTCTCAACGGCGTGTGCAACAGGTGCTCATGCTTTGGGCGACGCCATGCGATTCATCCGTAATGGAGATGCTGACGTGATGCTGGCCGGAAGCGGTGAAGCCTGCATAGATCCTCTATCCATCGCCGGATTCTGCAGATTAAGGGCTCTGAGCACCGCCTTTAATGACAGCCCCGGTGTAGCCTCCAGGCCCTTTGACAAGTCCCGAGATGGCTTTGTGATGGGGGAAGGAGCGGCAGTGCTGTTGCTCGAGGAACTGGAGCATGCCCGCGCTAGAGGAGCACCCATTTTAGCGGAACTCTTGGGCTACGGGTTGTCGGGCGATGCCTACCACATTACGTCCCCCAGTGAAGATGGGACCGGAGCTACGCTGGCCATGAAGCGGGCCATCCAAGATGCAGGAATCAGTGCTGAGGAAGTCACCTATGTCAATGCCCATGCCACCTCTACACCCACTGGCGATCGGATCGAATCCCATGCTATTTCTCGAGTCTTCGGTGATCATACCTCAAATGTGAGGGTTTCCTCAACGAAGGGAGCCCACGGGCATCTGCTGGGCTCTTCGGGGAATCTGGAAGCACTGTTTGTAGTTCATGCCTGTGCGGAAAACAAGCTGCCGCCCTCCATCAACATAGAGCAGCTGGATGTGGACATCGATGTGGTAACCAAGTCCGTGGAGTGGTCTCCAAACCAGAATCGTCGCATCGCCCTCAAGAATTCGTTTGGCTTTGGGGGCACTAATGCCTCCTTGTGCATTGCCAGCTACTCGGAATAGAAGCTCCTCCGCAACTTGTTAACTAATTTTACACAAAAAAAAAACGTAAATAAAATCCTTAGATGTTTGCATATTTTTAGGAAAAATGTTTAGTTTTAAAACTTTATTTGGAAAACTTTTTTTTCGGTTGCTCGGTCTCGCGTCTCGTTATCATCGTCATCGGTCATCGGTGTCTGCTCTGTAAAAATTGTAATGCGTATTGCTATTATCCAATGCGCACTGTATGTACTGTTATATTGTATATCTGTATATAATATATATATATAGGTATATAATTATGTATATAGCTCTGTTTGATTTGCTTCTGTTGCTTGTCTCTCTGTTTTTTGTTGTTATTGCTGTTTTCGCTGCCAGTCACAAGTAAAAAAAAAAAACTAATATTTTGTTTAAATTAATGGTATGTGAGTTAGTAAGAGTGTGGGAAATAAAAACAATTGATTTTTTTTTTAAGAACAATCGCGCGGCTTTAGCAGGGGTCATGTTGTTGTTGTTTTTGGGGACTGTATTTGACAAATTTTGTTGCAGCTTTCGATCCATTCTTTTCACTTAACTAACTGTTTTTAATTTGAAGTTGTTGTTTTTTTTTATTTTACAAAATTGCTTAATATTTTAAGTTAAAAATATGTTGGCTTACAATCGAATCTTCATCATAATCATTTAATTTTATTGGTTTTCTGTGTATATTGTATGTTCCTCTGCCGGTTCTCCGCCCTAGACACGCTCTGTTATCTATGAAGTTGACACACACCATGTCATGGATACATTTTTAAATGTATCTGCGGCTTAGACTCCTATCAATGTATGTATATGCGTAAATAATATTCTATATGTGGATTTTGGGGTGTGTGTGTGGGTTGTAATTATGTATGCGTGGATAGCTATTTTAAATTACTGAACTTTCACTTTCGATTGTTGTTTACATAAATTATGAAAATACATTTTTATTCGAATTTTAACGCTTTACCCTTTACTGTACACTTTCGTTTTCGTTATAATTTTGCACGTCACATTTATTAACAAATTTTTTTATTAAAATTTTATTTACTTTTCAATTCTAAAGCATTCAAACATGTATGTATGACTTTTAATAATGCATTTTCAAATCTGGGCTGAAAATTATTTAAAACTTACGGAGGCCTTTTCATAATTACGTATCTGGTTCTTAGCTAGGTATACAGGCTTAGGAATTTTTAAGTGGAACTTTAAAACGACAGAAAACATATGTATATCTCGACATGCACACAAATATTAAAAAGAACAAACCAATGCAAAGGCTGTCTAGGCTAAAAAAATATATATATAAGATAAATGAACGTACATTTGAGTTTCATGCTTTGAGGCCTACACTTTAAAAGTAAAAGTGTACTTAGAGTGTGTTTTGGGGTGTGTGTATGTTTTTGCGATCGGTGTGTGTTGAGATTTTAAATTTAAAAAAATATATAAAATATTTATAAATATTTTGTTTTGTTTTGTTTGTTTGTTTCCACATTCTGTTTACTGTTTACTACAGACCTTAACACTCATTATCTTACTATTTGTTTTCCTTTTTAAAAAGACATCTATTTAAGCGCTAATAAAGTGGTTGGTTTTTGTGGCTGCTATCGGTTCTTGCTGTCATACAGTGCGGCTGATCCTAACTACACTGATCCTAAGTTGAATGCCTATTCGGTCTGTTTCTGTTTCTATTTTAGGTTTTGCTTTTGCTCCGGGTTATGATGTATAGTATGTACATGGCAAGCCCGTTAAACCAGAGAATGCTTACTAGTTAAGCAGTGCATCCATGGTGTATGGAAATGGAGGATGTTGCTGCTCGAATCTGTTTGCTGAAGACGAAAACAACTTGGTTGCTGCTACTGCTGCTAACGCAGATTTAACCGATGTGTCTGCCGGCGACGGTCAGTCCAGTATGACGATTTGTGATTCAATGGGCCTGCTACTAGGCTCGGGGGCAGCAGGCTTAATGGGCAGTGTGCGCCATGGTTTCCGCGCCGCCCGGCGCAGATCCACGGCAGAGAGTATTTTTCGCGTTTTTCTGCAAAAATTCAAAGTCATTTTCTAGTGAAATTTTTCACAAATGGATGTGCAATGACTCACTTGTGTGTTTCGTTGGCCCTAAAATAAACATCGTCGGGTGCATCCATCCAACTGATGACCTGTTTTCGCCCGTTTCCTCCCCTTGCCATTTGCGCAATTTTTTGTTTGCCATTAAGCTAAAAATTAAATAAATTATTAAACAACAAAAGGGAAAAATACTATCTCCAAACTTACATGATGTCTGGAGAGCGGTTGTCCGGATGCAGCCATCATGGCTGCGAACTGCTCGGGGCTGGGACAATGCGAGGGCATGGGGTCCTTGTTCGGTCGCTTGGCAGGCGGTCCGCTGGGAACTATAGTAACTGCAACGGTAGGAAACCTTCCATTACCAAACCTCTTCTTATAAGAAAATCCATCTTGAATACAACCTTCTGTGCCATTGAGTTGCTCTTCGTGCGCTCGCTTCCGTATCGTTGACGTGGCTTGCGTTGGAATAATGGTGAGCTCCTTATCAGCCGGCACTGCCACAACGTCGGGGGACTTGTTGGGCACTCGGTCGTAGACTAGACTGCCGTCAGCTGCTTTCGGGGGTTTCGGGAATGAGACGACAGCCGGTTGGGGCATTTTATCCTTCGGTGTCAGCACGAGCCATTCGTGCGGGCCGCTGCCCGGCGCACCTAAACGATTGGCAATCTTTGTGACGCTGCCACGATCCTTGGGCTTGAGCAGGAGCAGTTTCTTTATTTCCGCCTGTGATTTTCCACTAATACGATTCGTAACTACAGAAGATATTAAATTAGTAAGTATTTGTGGATTGAGAGACTGAAAAGTAAACTCACATTCTTGTTTCACCAGTAGCGAGTTGACCGCGTACGCACTTTGCCGCGCCGCCTTCTTCGGCTTGACGATATTGCGGCAGATTACACGTGCCACCCGGGTCATCGGATTGGTGTGCAAGTAAAAGGCTGTGCGCGTCTTCATAATGGGTCGCGGGGATCCAGAGCTGATGGCGATGCCGTGCGCTTGTGCGTAGTGGCGGGCCAGGTGGGTCTTCAGCTTGAACTCCTTACCGCAATTGACAATCGAACATCTATCATGGAAGATAAAAGTTAAGTTAAAGAATCAGGAATCAAATAATGGTGAATATAGTACCTGTGCAACTGACGATTGGTTAGATCACTGATTTTGTCATCGTCGTTAAGGTCAACTACTGTGGTGGGCATTCCTCCACTACCCGCTCCCGCAGAAGTCGGTGTGGTTGCAGTCGTTGATCCTTTCTTTTTGGAGTCAGCATCGCTCCCATCACCCTTGGTCGCCGATTTCATACTGCCGTATCTTCGCCAATACTCCCAACAGCTCTGGCACAGACGACACGTACTGTGTCCACTACTGACCGAGTTCCACTGTAAAAAGAAATGTTTACATTTAATAAAAACTCTCTTTAATTATTGTTTCTACTTACCTGTGATGATTTGGTGGCTCCGCATGATTCGCAGGGTTTGCCATTGTTGGAGAGATCGGTGCCCCCGTTGGTGGTGCCATTGTAGATTCCACTACCTGTCTTTGCGGCGGCTCCGTTGCCCTTTCCATTATTGTTGTATTGCGGGATGTAGACCTGCTTGAGCTTCAGTTCCGCCTCCACGGCCTTGACACGTTTCTGCTGGACATACCGATCGGTGGTCTTCCACATGTAGTAGTACTCAATAATCTGTTTCAGCGTTTTCCAAGGCAGCTGTTTGAAACAGAGGGAATGTTAGCAGCAATTCAATCATATAATTTGAAGCCTAAGTGGGGTACTTACGAAATCTTGTCGAATGTCGTTAAAGTCTTTGCCGTATTTGTCCAGCGCCTCCTCAAAGAGATTTGCCTCCGAAGCACTCCAATCCTCGATTTCATCGCGACAGAGCACCGGGCCAGTGGAAGGAACTAACGAGGACATGGCCTCCTCAATCGAATACTCATGCTTATGAAGAATATTCATTGCATGAAACTAAAATAAAAGAAAAATAATTAAGATATTTAAGAAGATTACTGTCGAAGATGGTTACTCACCAGTGTGATGTCCCTGCTGGCCGCTGCGGCAGACATATGGAGCGAAGGTTGCTTTACCGAACTGCTGCAGTCGAGGGCGCGGGCAAAAGTACCAATGGAGCGGGAGACCACAAGGAACTGGTCGATCTTGCGATCGGTCAGGCTGTGCTCCGGCGTCCACACCAGCGATTCGAGTTCCTCCAGCTTCCGTTCGTCCGTGGTGGTATCCTTGAGCTTGGCGGGTATATCACACTGGTAGCGGCTGCCTACTCTGATTTCGCCCTTGTCCGCCAGCAGCGTCTTTTGATTCGGATCGAATACCAGACAATAGAAGAATGTATCCTGCAATTAATTAATGGAGAAGATAGGGTTTTAATAAATACAGAAATTTCAATTATTAACTAATTCCCTTGCACTTTTAGAAGGCTACTACCAACTCACGTCTTTATTGAGATAGCTCTGCAGGGACTCCGTTTCGTTGAGCAACGTGACGGAGCACTTGCCTCGTATTTGTGTGGCGGGTATCGACTCTACTTGGCGTGACAGGAACAGCTCGCGGTGCTTGATCTGATAGCGCTGCTTGCTAGTCAGCGCCTCACCCTTTTCGGCATCGCTTCCGCCACCACCAGCTCCACCGCCACTGGCAGTGGAACTGTTGGTGTTGTTGGTGGTGCCGCCGCTGTTGGTACTATTGCCGGAATTTCCAGTCGCTGAACCCGCGCCGCCTCCAGAAGATTGCGTCGGGCTGGTGCGCTCCTCATCCAGGGCAGCTGTAACAAGATAGATGGGATTAGTTTTTATCCATAATTTATCTACCAAAAGAACTACTAATTATAAATCTATTAATTACTACTTAAAGTTAAACAAAAAGTTGAAATGAAAATATGAATGAGAACAACGGGTAGAATCTATCTACTTGAAAGAGAGTGGCATTCCGGATAGAGTTCAGACTACGTGACTACGATTGAAAAACGAGCCGGAGCTGGGTGTACCTATTGAAGGGTCGAGGACAGCTTGGGCAGCCTGCTCCTCGCCCACGGGTGTGCGGAGCCAGGTCTTCTTCAGCTTGGTCGCCAGCGGTGAGTCCTCGGCGGTGGCCACTGATGCGTTATATGAATATTGATTTAATGTTTAATGTTAAATGCATTTGATTAAAATATATGTTTTATTTACAATGTATTTTTAATTTACAAACATAAAACTTAAATAATAAAAAACAGCTGAAAGTGAGGTCTGTTTGCTAAGAGGGGCGGTGACGTTGACAGAGCTCAAGTCATAAATTAAAAAACTAAAAATAGCTAACTATTTAGAAACAAAGTTTTAGTTATACCCCTTGTAGTTATAAATATTTATACCCCTTCTAAAAAAAAATAATCATATTTATTTGATGACTTCTCTAAAAAATGTGTAATCTTTTTTGGAATTTGTGGAACAGAGCAGTTTCCCTCATGATTTCTCTGAAAGTTTACAGAAGCTGATTAAAAAATGTACGCTTCCCGGAGAAGATGAAATTGGGGCGTGGGTGCATCCCAGAGTCACAGGAAAAGAGGCAACGCCAAAAGCCGAGCCAGAACCGTAGGTGTTTTTCTGTATTTGTGTTTGTTTCGGACGCCGAAGGATGAAAAAGGAAGCGGCAGCAGCTGAATGGCAGGGGTAATGGGATGGCCGGGTGGATGACTGTTCGGCGACTATAGATAGGACACACACACACAAACACACTATCACCCAAAGTGGGTGGGGCGGTTGCAGAGGGATTTGTTTGCTTTTGGCCGGTTTCGGAGCATTGTGGTTTATCGAATGCCCTGCTGCCCTGCCCGCTCACCTGAGAAGTTCAAGGCCTGCTATTGACTTGCCGATTAGCACCTGGGCATTAGCGGGGCTATAAAATATTATTTTTAAAACAAACAAAGCGACAATGAATGGGGAATTTTAAACTAAAAATACTTTAGTATATATAATAAATTAATAAAGATACTTCCAAACAATATAGAACTTGAAAATATCCTTATATTATATAGCATACTCGGCATACTTGTCCTCCAAAGAGTATCTTTAGTTCGGCATACTTTCAGATACTTTTCGGCGACCGTGGCTGTACAGTTGAAAATTTCGGGGTTGGAATATCGGCACACTTGTGCCACAAATCTAGACTTTTTGCGCTAATTTTGAATGCCTGATTAGCAAGTGGCCTGCCAAAAGGTGGCACACGCATTCAAAACTCGCTCGTAGCCCAAACAAAAAAAAAATATAAATAAATAAATAATAATATTTAAAAAAAAAAAAGGAAACCAAGATGACAGCGGACTGGTGATGTTAAGGCCAAAAAGACCAAAAAGGGGTTGCGTTAATGGGCATTGTTGGCGCATGTCGAGGGGTGCTTGGGGGTGGTGGTGAAGGTGGGGTTGGGGGTGTTAGGTCAGACCCACGGAAAACGCATTTTCGTTAGGTCACGTATCGAATTCGAGTGGGTGGCGGCCAAAGCCAAAAACTCAACCGAGTGGAGAGCGTGTTCTTTTTTTTTGATATTTATTTTTATTTTATTTTTCTGTGGAAGGGGTGGGGGGTACTGGTTGGATGGGAGGGGCGGGGGGTGAAGGTGCTGTATGTGTATGTATACACAAATGCAAAGCGCGCCTCTCTGCGTGTGCCACATTGCTGTAGCTCGAGTTTGCTCCACACTCTGCTCCATACCATCATACCCCAGCCCCCCCCCCAAAAAATGTTGGCTTGAAAATTTTGGTGCACACACAGCAGTACAGTAAAGCGTAGCTATGTGTGTGTGTGTGTGTGTGAGCCAGCTTTTCAGAGGTAGACAGCAAGTCTACCTACAGCCGAGACCGAGAGTATCACATTCACATTGACGCCGGCGCCGCCTAGCAGCAACCCAAAAACATTCCACCAACAACACCAAGAGGGGGTACAGTGCAGCTCACCTCATAAAAGGGGCACTTCATTAAACAAATATATCTTATTTTTAATAAAAACAAGTTCTAATTTAAAACAACCCTCAAGTACTTAAACCCGAATATTTAATTATAATTTAATCTAAAATCTCGAGTTCATTTTATGGAGGCTCCACTGCCTATTTATGTGGATGCGACGGATACTGGACGAAATCCGTTTTCTCTCCGCCTTTACAGTTGTTGTCATTGCGGTTCTTGTTGCTCTGGATGTTTGACTGCGGTGGGTGGTGGGTGGTTGCTCAGATAAATGGGCTGGATGGGCTGAATGGGTGGATGGACTGGAAGCTTGGGTGTACTAATGGTTTGGGCGACTTTTTCACATTGCACCTTTTGGATTTTCGGTGTTCTGGAGTGTCAGTATGCCTAGCAGATCTTCTCATCGGGTTTCAACTTGTAACTTGTTTGAAGGCCGCAACAACACCAACAACAACGACTCTTAGAAACCTAACCTCACTTTGTTACCAAAAAAAAAAAAACCATTAAACAGGTACAGGAGGAATGGAAGGAGGAGGGGGACTTGGAGCTAGGATCGGAAGGGGTATACTCACGTTGATGTTTGTCGGCCAGCTGGACGAGCGGATTGGGCAGATCGCGACGCCGGTAGAAGCACATGACCTTCGCTTCCACATTGCCGGTTTGGTTTTTATTTAGCTCTTCGATGCGTCGTATTAAGTAGGGACTATTCGGCGTTGTCTCAACGTAGACGTAGTCTGAAAAAAAATAAATTTGAAACTACTGGTTTAGCATAAAAGAATACATAAATTAATTTTCTCAAAACAAGCCACGGCTTTTAGAATGGGAGGGGGAGGTCAGAAGAACGAATGGGGGGATGAACAGAAAAACTCCATTCATTAGTAAGCCTACGTCACAGGTAAACGCACACACACACACACACACACCTAGGCGTTTAAACGTGGCTTAATTACAGTTACCAATACAGTCTAAAGCTATGCGCGTTGCTCAATTAAATACAAATGTGGGCATCCATCCGTCCAACCAACCGAACTATAGGAGTAACAACGGCAATCCAAAAGATTTGCAGCGGAACCTGTAGTTGACCATTACACAGAGAAAAAAAATGGTATTCTTATGGCCATTTGGATCAATTGATGACTATAACCATTATCCAATGAGAAATAAATAAATAAAAGTCCTTTTTTTTTGTTTTTCGGGATGCAGGGAGGGGGCATGGGGGGACAAATAGATGGAGAGAGATGAAAAAGAAAGTGGGGACGCAGCGAGAAAGCATGGTTACGGTTGTACGTGTGTGCGTGGCCATTAAAAATGGCAAACAAAAAGCGCTGATGGCGACATTATATTATATACAATTCTGAGAGCATTAAAAACTCTTAAAAAAAGGGAATACAAATCTTGAAGATATACTTTTATTTTTATTTTGATTCTGTTAATTAGCCGTTTACGTTTTAAAGTTCATTTGCATTTTCAACAAGCACTAACACACACACACACACACACAAACACACACACTGAGACACAGACTTGAGAAAAGCAGGTGAAGACACCGTACAATAACGTCATCGCAATGAGAGCAAGAGGGATGGAAGACGAAAAGTGCGTAAGAAGGGGGTCTAGATGGGGGTAGAGCTGCTCAAAATGCTCATTAGCATAAGAAAACACAACAGAGCGGTCGGCTCACCCAAAAAAGAGAGATACACTTTATCCACAAACACACACAAACACACAACGCTTGGGGCATCCCAATTCGGCAAATGCAATGCTACTTCGTTCTCATTACGCTTGCACCAGGTTCTGGGTCCGGGTCTTGTGGGAGACCCTTCCGAAAAAATGCTGCCTAACGCCACTGCCTGGAGAACAACCACACATACACACAGGCTTATCGGAAGGAACATGTCAAAAACACTTGCTGCAGCTGCTACACTTTTGAGCATTTCAATTTTCAGAAAAAGTAAAGCTCCGCTACTAAAGATGTCCCTTAAATGGATCAAGTAGGGGTCCATGTGAGTGATAAGGATTTTTCGGCAATTAAAATGCACTTTCATTATTTCGTAGAGGGACTTCTCAGACACAACACACTCACACACACAAAACACACACAAAACACACACACACACTGTGAGACGGCGGCGCCGATAACGAAAGATGATAGAAAAGCGAGTACGGGAAAATTTTTCTCACCTCCGACTCGATACATATTTGTGGCCATTTTCACTATGCTGCCGTTGTGTTTCAGTCCGCACCAAAACTTTCACATGTAAAGCACTCGGCACTCGCTTAGCACTGCTTTTTCAATGTTTCTGTTTCAAATTAGCGCACATTTATTTGCATAAAACGGGAGTTGTTATGATTGCATTTTTCACATAAGACGCGTTTTTTTCGTCGCCATCTTACTCTAAAAAATACACACACACACACAACGCCGAGTAAACAGCTGCACCAGGGATGTATTTATGCAACCGATAACTACGTATCGATATATCGATCAGATTTTTTATTGAAATTAAAGTTTAAATTAAAAAATTAAGTTAAATTTTTATAACAAATAGATTTAAAAAACAAAAGCCAAAAAAAATATATAACATATAAAATACATTACATTTAAAACAAAGTGATTAAGCTGATATTTTTATGTTTGTGATAAAAACTTTTTATTTTTAAAAAAATCTAACTGAAAATTTAATTTTTTACTATTTAAATACTAATAAAAATAGGAAATTTATCATTGATGTTATCCCTACGTATAATAAAATTGTTAATTTGATATAAATTGATTTAAATATAGGTCCAACACCTGACTCGATAGTATCGCTTTCAAATACCTTCTCTGACTTGCTACGTTTACAATCAAAATTCACTTTTACATTGGGCTTAAGATTTAAACATTCGTAGGTTTTGATAAATTATATCTTAGCTGTAGTGTTATCATAGTTAATTTGAATTAGACAAAACATAGTGCAGATTTGTTTTTATTTTTGCGTGAGTGCCAACGAAATCACGACCCTTAGTCACGACTAACTGTCAAATCCGTGACGTGGCCTGCCGACCGATTTTCCAATAAGCAGCTACTCAGCTGGGTTTTTCTTACTATTTACCTAGGATAATCGAGTGCTCGCGAGATGACCACCTACGAGGAGTTCATCCAACAGAACGAGGATCGCGACGGCGTGCGTTTGACGTGGAACGTATGGCCATCAAGTCGCATTGACGCTAGTCGTTTGGTAGTTCCCTTGGCCTGTTTGTATCAGCCGCTGAAGGAACGCCCCGACCTACCGCCCATCCAGTATGAGCCCGTTCTGTGCACCAGGAGCAACTGCCGAGCCATTCTGAATCCTTTGTGCCAGGTTGACTACCGTGCCAAGTTGTGGGTGTGCAACTTTTGCTTCCAGCGGAATCCCGTAAGTGATAATCGTCAGATTCAGATCCTCACTATTTCAGTTCCTGGAATTAATCTAAATATTAACCGATTTTACAGTTCCCCCCTCAATATGCCGCCATATCGGAGCAGCACCAGCCTGCGGAGCTTATCCCAGGATTTAGCACCATAGAGTACACCATCACCAGGGCGCCCACAATGCCGCCAGTCTTTATTTTCCTGGTGGATACCTGCATGGATGAGGAGGAGTTAGATGCTCTCAAGGACTCTCTGCAGATGTCGCTAAGTCTTCTGCCCCCGAATGCTTTGGTCGGCCTGATTACCTTCGGAAAGATGATCCAAGTGCATGAGTTGGGTGCCGAGGGCTGTTCTAAGAGCTACGTGTTCCGGGGAACTAAGGACTTGACCGCCAAGCAGGTGCAGGATATGCTGGGAATCGGGCGCGGAGCAGCTCCGGGGCCGCAGCAACAGCAGCAGCTGCCCGGTCAGCCGGCTGGAGCGGCGGCCCCTGTGCCGCCAGCTCATCGCTTCCTGCAGCCGATCGGCCAGTGCGATACAGCATTGGGCGATCTGCTCAGCGAACTGCAGCGCGATCCCTGGCCGGTGCCGCAGGGCAAACGCTACCTGCGCTCCACGGGCGCTGCTCTTTCGATAGCAGTAGGTCTGCTGGAGTGCACCTACCCGAACACGGGCGGACGCATAATGACCTTTGTAGGTGGACCTTGCTCCCAGGGCCCCGGCCAGGTGGTCGACGACGAGCTGAAGCACCCGATCCGTTCGCATCACGACATCCACAAGGACAACGTGCGCTTCATGAAGAAGGCCATCAAGCACTACGACGCTCTGGCATTGAGAGCCGCCACCAATGGCCATAGTGTGGACATATACTCATGTGCTTTGGATCAAACCGGACTGCTGGAGATGAAGCAACTGTGCAACTCCACCGGAGGCCATATGGTTATGGGCGATTCGTTTAACTCGTCGCTATTTAAGCAGACATTCCAGCGCGTGTTCGCGCGAGACGGTAGGAACGATCTGAAAATGGCATTTAATGCTACGCTGGAAGTGAAGTGCTCGCGCGAGCTAAAGATCTCCGGCGGGATTGGCTCGTGTGTGTCGCTGAATGTGAAGAGCCCGTCGGTGTCGGATGTGGAGATCGGCATGGGCAATACGGTGCAATGGAAGCTGTGCACTTTGAACCCAAGCTCCACGGTGGCCTACTTCTTTGAGGTGGTCAACCAGCATGCGGCCCCAATACCACAAGGCGGACGCGGTTGCATACAGTTCATAACTCAGTATCAGCATCCAAGCGGCCAAAGGCGAATTCGGGTCACTACTTTAGCAAGAAAGTGAGTGAAGTTGTGAAGTGTTTTTGGGTTATCTTTAATCTTTTTATTTTTGATACATAGTTGGGCAGATGCCACGTCAAACATACACCACATCAGCGCCGGATTCGATCAGGAGGCAGCCGCCGTGCTCATGGCCCGCATGGTCGTCTACCGCGCCGAGACAGACGAAGGTCCTGATATTTTGCGTTGGGTGGATCGTCAGCTCATTCGCCTGGTAAGTAGCTTTATAAAATATTTAATTTTCATTATTTAAAATATGAATTTCTCTTCACAGTGCCAAAAATTCGGCGAGTACTCGAAAGACGACCCGAACAGCTTCCGCCTGTCACAGAACTTTAGCCTTTTCCCGCAGTTCATGTACCATTTGCGCCGCTCGCAGTTCCTGCAGGTCTTCAACAACTCGCCCGACGAGACCACATTCTACCGACACATGCTTATGCGCGAGGACCTCACCCAGTCGCTAATCATGATTCAGCCGATCCTCTACAGCTACTCATTCAACGGCCCCCCGGAGCCAGTTCTGCTGGACACGGCTTCGATCCAAGCGGATCGGATCTTGCTGATGGACACGTTCTTCCAGATCTTGATCTATCACGGCGAGACCATCGCCCAATGGCGCGCTTTGAAATACCAGGACATGCCGGAGTATGAGAACTTCAAGCAGCTGCTTCAAGCTCCGGTGGACGATGCCCAAGAGATCCTGCAGACTCGTTTCCCCATGCCCCGATACATTGATACAGAGCATGGAGGCTCGCAGGCGCGCTTCCTGCTCTCCAAGGTTAATCCCTCGCAGACGCACAACAACATGTACGCCTACGGGCAGGTGAGTTCCATGGTCAAAGCCCAGAGCTTGCCATCTTTTTGTTTATCGATCTTTGCAGCGCGTCCTCAGGTGACATTGAATCGCAATTTTAATATCGTTTTGTGTTCGTTTTGTTTCTCTCATGGTATTATCCGTATCCGTTTTTCGACCTGTTTCCGTAACCGATCCTCTGTCATGCGCAGCCGTCCATTGGTCAGACCACGGTAGTACCTTTGTTCAACATTTTGCTTGTACTGTGATGGGTAGACTATGTACTATGTTTTCCTAAAAGCTTTTGGTTTTGGTTACATTCCGGTGCTGGTTCCACTCGCTCATTTCCTCCAGCCTATCCTAGACATGTCCCGCTCCCGCTCATCATCTTACTAATTCTTCTGAATCTCTTCCCGACAGGATGGAGGCGCCCCAGTGCTAACCGATGATGTGTCGCTTCAGCTGTTCATGGAGCATCTCAAGAAGTTGGCCGTCTCCACCACCACATGAATTGTTAGGATGCCAAGTCTGCGGTCTATTTTGTCGAAAATAAAGATAGAAACTATAACGCTGATCCACCAATTCGGGAATTGGATGCAATTACAGATATACACCCATTTATTCCACATGATCGTCTGAAAAAAACACAATAAAATATTCAAATTATGTTCAACAATTAAGGTGTCACTCATCTTGGCTTTTATTTCAAAAGTAGCTAAACACAAAATGCCATTAGGATTTATAGCGGAATGACTTTTCTATTGGAACAAAACAAGTAGATAACAAAAATTGTGGACGTTTCTCCATAAAAACAAATAATACAACTTGTGCCGGCACTTGCGTGAAATTTCTGTTCGGATTTCAAAACAATATATTGCATTTAACTTTTAAAAGATTATAAAACAATAATGGCCAGGAACTATGTTCTTAGAGGTTTCCATTTTTTTATTTCAAGATTTTTTCAAAAAATATTACTTCATTTAGAAAATTATATTTTAAATATTAAGTGGTTCAATCAACATGTCCACAAAATAATATTTAGTTAAATTATTACATAAAAATCCATTTAATTTCCAAAAGCAAAGACCTTTTTCGCATCTTATGTCTGGAAATCCACAGAGACTTCACTCAAACACCGCCACTACCCTCGACTGACCTCATCCTAATCTATTTGGTAAACACTGACTAAAAAGCTCGCTCCTTTGCTAGTTCCCTGGTCTCCAAAACCAATTCAGTTAAGAAACCTGATGGACATCTTCTGGTCGACATCGGTTCGGTCCAGCGCCTTGCAGAAATCCTCGAACGAGATCTTGCCCTGGCAACACAAGTCCGCCTCCAAAATCGTCCTCTCGGCAATGCTGACCAGCTGGTCCTGACTGATATTGGCTCCCACCATCATATGCAGAATGGAGAGCAGCTCGTCCCGACTGATCACGCCATCGTCATCCAAATCGTACATCTTGAAGGCGAACTTTAGCTTCTCCTCGCGGCTGTTCAGCTTGCTCTGCTTGTTGTCCCGCAGCGGCCGGAAATGGGCCAGAACGTTCATGAACTGGCGGAAGTTGACACGATCGTCATTGCTTTCCGCGAAGAAGGAGTGCACTATCCTCTCGCATAATGGATTGATCGCCAACTCAGGAATGCGCATGAGGTCCTCTCGTGACAAAGTGCCGCAGTCATTACGGTCCAGCGATGTGAAACGCGAGTAAAGACGCTCGATTTGATTGGGAGTAACTAAAATAGAACAAGTATTTTTATTAAATTACATAAAGAAAAACAAGTTCCTGCCTTAAAGAACGCCCCACACATGCCAAATTAGTTGCTATAAAGACTGCCTGATAAGAGCGGGCTTATCAATTTAGCTGATACTAGGCTGGTCGAACATTGGATACAAGTTCCAAAGCAGTGGCTATTTCAATTGCCACCTTATCGCGGCCGAAATATTGAAATTACACGGTCGCGGACACAATATAATTGCCAGCCAATATATTTATCGTTGATAGCAGTCGACTTTTGCCCCCGCCCCCTGGGCGATATGTGTACATTTGTTAATGACGTCATGCGGGAAGTGCAGGTGCATTTAAAATGAAATTGCTTTTAGCTGGAAAATGTCTGTGCATATCCAGTTTATATAATGAAGATGCAGTTCTGAATAAACTGTTATTATTCTTTTGAAGAACACGTATGTGGAAGGTTTTATATTATTGGAGGCTATGGAATATTTTTGGCAATAAATTGAAAAGATTTTAATGGAGAAATTATTTTAGCACTTGGGTGCTATGTTGATATTTGCCCATGGCCATATTTACTTTAAAAGATGTTTATTTATATCCAAGTGCGCGTTTGTTTTGAGCGGGTGAACTATGTCGTAGGGAGTCTCAAGGTTACTGTCACCCAATTACGGTACTCACAGCCAGTTTCCTCCTGTATTTGGGCGATTTCCTCGTTACGCAGGAACAGCGATGATTTATTGCCCATGATGACGTTGTGTTTGTGCGCTAATCAACGGGTTTAAAGTTTAAAATCTTTCAGAATCGCAGACGAGCATCGAATGGCATTGGTTATTGGTTGTTGATATCAGTGTGACCGTCACTGGAATATTTATACTGGATGTTTATACTTTTCGGTATTTTTCGAAGCCGATAGTAAAATACTGCAAATAGGGCTGGACTTTTCCCTATGTCGCTTAATACAAAACCATCTCTATTGGTATTGGCAAAAACGTAAACATTTTTTTGCCGAAGATAAATAAATAGATTAGAGCCATGGACAAGCTAAATTCTACCCTAACTGCTGTGAAGAATCTGCGTTCCAATGTTAAACAGTGCTTTGAGCATTTGGCTGATGGAACAGATGGTGAGGGCGGCGAGGAGAGCCGTAATAAGTTCGTGCATGAGTTTCAGGAACGATTTGGAGCTATTAATTTGCAATTGCGGTGGGTATTTACACTTTAAGCCTACAAGAATTCCTTTAAATGTCTTATTCTTAATTTCAGTGAAGTGGAACAGCTAATAAATGGACTGCAAGTACCTCCTACACCTTATTCCTTGGGAAACACGGCGTATCTAGCACAGGAGACTTCCCAGGACCGGCAGGCCCTATATCCGCAGCTAGTGAACAGCTACAAGTGGATTGACAAGGTGCACGACCACAGTTTCCTGGCCTTCAATAATCTCAACCAGAACACCCTTAGACGATCATACAACTATTGCTCTCAGAAAAGACAACGATTGCCTTTCTCCTCATTTAACAATGATCCAGAGTAAGTTCTTAAGACTTTTACCAGGACATATCTCATATCCCTTATTCTTTAGCCACATAGAGAAATTACTCAGCGAGATCAACACTCCGGCGCATACTTCGTATAGGATTATCCGACCATTCGGTACGAATGTGGTAGCCATTGTGACCATTAGCAACGTTATGAAGGCGGCCATTGTGTTCAAGGGTGTGCTTATCGAGTGGGTGACGGTGAAAGGCTTCGACGAGCCGTTGGACCACGACGATCTTTGGGCGGAATCCCGGTACGAGGTATTCAGAAAAGTGCAGGAGCACGCCCACTCCGCCATGTTGCACTTCTTTTCACCCACTCTGCCCGATTTGGCTGTCAAGAGCTATGTAACGTGGCTCAACAGTCACATCAAATTGTTCCTGGAACCCTGTAAACGGTGCGGGAAGTTCGTAGCGCACGGACTGCCTCCCACTTGGCGGGATTTGCGCACTCTGGAACCTTTTCACGAGGAGTGCCGAAATTGCTAGTTGTATTAAATAGAATTACCTTTAAGTTGTAACTTGTATACTTCATTTATTTCAAAAACAAAAAATTATATGTACTTTGAATGCATGCGGGCGTATTTTTATAAAAATCGCCACGCTCGACTGAATAACTACAACGGTTTAATGCGTTTAAAGGCCAGCCGTGGCGGGGGCAGCCAGCTTAGAAGCCGGGACTCCGCGTTGCAGGCACATGCGCTCGAAGTTGGCGCGAAGGGTGGCGCGGAGCTGCTCCCGCTGGCGCTGCACCTGTTCGCGGTGGCACTTAAAGGCTAGGACCACCTCCTGGGGAATGTAATAGCTCTCATCCTCTTTGTCGTCGTAGTCATTGAAGTCGTCCTGGAAGAGTAATCAGAAATTATTAGATGAGCATAGAGACAAAATTCTAAAGAAGTTGCCTGTTTCCCCTTCAAGTACTCACCCACATCTGCAACAATGAAAAATTGTGTTCCAACTGCGACTGGTCTCCGTAAAGCAGCAACTCGGAATCATAGCTGTCGGAAACAGCTTCCGAACCGTGTGGCTGTTCCTCGTCGTCGTGGTTACAGAACCCGTCAGAGCACGAGACCTCTGATCCCTCGGGCGACGAAACAGCGCTGGAGGTGCGCGAGTTGATGTGCGAGGTAGGATCGCTACCGTACCCCGAGTCGCGAACATCCTGCTCGCACGGGCAGTTGGGCAAGGGGGCCAGGCACGCATCGCAGTTGTCACCAGCTTCATTTGCCTTGGCGACGCTCGACGAGATGCAACTGGCCACGTCCAGGTGATCGTGATCGTCGTTCAGGTTTCGTCCCAGTTTCAAGTTTTTGTTTCCAGGCTTCTTTGTAGCTTTCGACTTCTTTTTCTTCGCTTGCTTCTTCGGTTTCGATTTCGTTGGCTTGGCCGTGGGAGGAGCCTCCTCTATGACAATACCATCATCGACGTGCTGCTCAGCTCCCTCAGAATGCTCTTCCACGTGCTCTTCTTCCTCCTCATCCTGATCCTGATCTAGCTTCTCTACCTGTAGCTCCGTCTCCTCATCAGATTCGTTCGCTTCGTCCTCCTCCTCCTCGTTGACATCCTCGCACTGACGGTGCAGAGCATTCTTCTTTTCGTCCTTCTTCTTCTTCTTCTTGAGCTTCTTCTGCTCGCGCTTGAGCTGCTTTGCCCGCTCAGCCCGGCTAATTTCTTGGTAGAGTAGCTCCAGGTTGCTGATGCCCTGTTTCTGCTCCACAAACGTGTCGAAGCTGCGACAGAGGGCGTGGACGCCTACGGCGGCCAGCACCTGACAGGCGCGCTCCTCCTCCCGCAGGCTAACATAGATGCGTCGCAGCCGTTCGTACATGATCATACCCACACAGGTAAGTACCTCCTCTTGCGCGATCTCCAGAGTCTTGGCATGCCTTTCGCGCAGTTTCGAGTAGCTTCCGTTCACCTCCGGCTCGGCTCTCTTTATTAACGCGTCCAGGAACTCGATTTTGCTAGTGCTAACATGGATATGCTGGTCAGGCACGCATTTGCGGATATGGGCGTACAGCTGCGCCGCATATCCCTTCTCCTTGGCCGAGATTTCGCCAATGAGTATTTTGTAGGCGCGTTCAATCTTCAAGAAAAAAAATTTATTACCGTGTAGGAATGGGTTAAGTTTGATGCTTACCTTTGTTCGGCATCCTGAGCAGAACTTGTGCTTCTTGAGGTAGTTCTCTAGCACGTCGTGAAGCTCCTTGGTCTCGATGATGGTTAGCTCGTTGCGGCAGTTACTCTTCATGGCGGACCACACCTCGCGCCACGTCTCCGAAAAGGGCTTGGCCCGAAAGGCATCCAGAGAGTGAAGGACACAGCGCGTTTTATTCCGTAGTTTGTTGTCCAGCAGGTTATTCAGGACTTCGTGATGCCGATAGAGCAGCGTTCCCAGTGCCTGCGGAGTCTTTAGTTTCTCCTCTACTATGCTCAACGTGGCGGTAGGTCGCAGCTCCAGCGGATCCAGTGTGCGATGCCCCGACTCCGTCAACTGATGGAAAAGCCTTTCCACTCGCCGCCGACAGCCGACACACTGCACGCACTGATTCAGGACAGCCATGAAGCTGGGGCAGTCGATCTCTAGCGATTGACGCCGCTCGGCTTCTGTCAGCAGTTTGAACTTGCGCGAGAACTCCTCCAGATCTCTGCCTCGGATGGCGGGGCTGTCGATCACCAGGCCTTTGCTGTTCAGGTCCATAAGCATCTGCAAGAATCAATCAAGGTCCGATTTCATTAATTTGTTTACACTACTCGAATTCAATTAATGGTAAAGTAACACGATCAGACTGTATGGTAAGTGCATTTTTTTTCCATAGAATAGGTGAGGTTTAATTTCAAACATAATACTTTTATTTGTTTATGGAAGATCAGCTGATAATATAAGCATAGATGGGGATATTAGTTATTAAGAAAAGGATATTAAAAATATGGGCGAAGAGAGATCAGATCTCAAAACGGTGAGAGTGCATCCAAACAGGTTCCTACAACTCCCCCCTCCACCACCCCATTCCATGTTCATCATTGTTGTTTTTGTGCACTTTCCAACAAAACATGGCGGCTGCAGCAAACGAGCGAGATAGTGGGAGCGGAGAGCGAGAGGGGAGTTGTGGGTGGCAGGTGCGGCAGTTGCAATTTCAGCTGATGCAGAATCGTGGATCAAGTTCAATTACGATACGCATTATTGCCCAGACGAAAGCTCACACAAAGGCAACGAGAGACAGCAGTCAATTTATTACATATATGCGTGTTATGAAAGTTTTTGGACCAAGTGCACACACGCACAGAGCGACATTTATGTGGACGAGTGTGTGTGCTGGTTCTGCTGGCAGTCATCTTGGCCTTACATATATGTCTGCGTCGGAAATCGGTGGAAATCTTTTTAATTCAATTCGATTCTCACCATTAATTTATCGCCTGCCACAAGCGGCAAATTCCTACGGCCAACGTCCACGGATTCATCATCATCCGTGTTGAAGACTTTAGTAAGTCTCGCCATGATTCTTTCACGACGAATTCAATCCAAATTTCAGGCACTTTACGACACACTTTTCTCCAAAGGTCCGGGGGCGGGGAAAACGGGGGATCAACGGGAACACAGCGCTACACGGTTCAACAAATAATATAGACAAATATATCCTGGCTAGAGTGTCGAAAAATCAACTATAATCAATTTTCTATGACACAAAACACGTCAAACACGGTCGGTCTAGAGTTGTCAAAACATCAATGGCTGTTATCGATAGTAGTGATGGGCCTGACCGGCACTATCGGCACACTTTTATATGATATTTTTATATTTACATAAAATATAAAAAAAAACTATTTTGTTTATAATGGTTAAATATTTTCTTAAAAATGCCTAAATCTGCATGTATAAAATAATGAAATAAGTATACAGACTTATCGATAGTTAATGCATCTGCGATGACTCTGCCTCGTTGTGTTGCCAGATACCAGGAAAATGTAAAGTAACGCCGAGTGCGAAAGTCAGGGAATTTTTACCGCGTTGGAAGATAAAAGTGAAAATTCAGTAGTATTACGCTTACAAGCGGATTAATTTATTATTTAGTGGCTACTTGAACTAGCGGGGCAAGTGGAAGCGAGCAACCATGTCGCATCACTACGTGGTTACAGCGCAAAAGCCGACAGCAGTCGTTGCATGTTTGACCGGTGAGGGAGCCGCGGGGAAAATGTGGTGCCCTCCACAAACTTCCTCGACGAATGTTACAAACGAGCATGTGCTACAATTATAATTCTTAATTTCAGGCAATTTTACCTCGCCCACGGACCTCAATCTGGTCATTGCCCGCAACAACCAGGTCGAAATCGACTTGGTCACTCCGGAGGGACTACGTCCCCTCAAGGAGATAAACATAAATGGCACTATAGCCGTTATGCGCCACTTCCGGCCGCCCGATAGTAACAAGGACCTGCTCTTCATCCTGACGCGCCGGTACAATGTTATGATCCTGGAGGCCCGTATGGTTAATGATGTAATTACCGTTGTGACGAAAGCGAATGGAAACGTCTCCGATTCTGTGGGAATTCCATCTGAAGGAGGTGTTATTGCTGCCATAGACCCGAAGGCCAGGGTAATCGGAATGTGCCTATATCAGGGCCTGTTCACCATTATACCGATGGACAAAGAGGCTAGCGAGCTAAAGGCCACCAACTTGCGGTAGGTTACTCATTCCTATAACGGAGATTATAAGATTTATGAAATCACATTATTTTCTATTAGAATGGACGAACTGAACGTTTATGATGTGGAGTTTCTTCACGGCTGTTTGAATCCTACGGTCATTGTGATTCACAAGGACAACGACGGCCGGCATGTGAAGTCGCACGAGATCAACTTACGGGAGAAGGAATTCATGAAGATTGCCTGGAAACAGGACAACGTGGAGACGGAGGCAACCATGCTCATCACAGTACCGTCACCCATCGGTGGAGTTATTGTCATTGGGAGGGAATCAATTGTTTACCACGATGGTAGCAACTACCACGCTGTTGCGCCACTGACCTTCCGACAGAGCACCATCAACTGCTATGCTAGGGTAGACAGCAAGGGATTGCGGTACCTTTTGGGAAACATGGATGGCCAACTTTACATGCTCTTCTTAGGAACTTCTGAAACGTCCAAGGGCATTACTGTCAAGGATATAAAAGTGGAGCAACTGGGCGAGATCTCCATACCGGAGTGCATTACTTATCTGGATAATGGATTTTTGTATATTGGTGCTCGTCATGGCGATTCGCAGCTGGTGCGTCTGAGTTCCGATGCTATCGATGGCTCCTATGTCATACCGGTGGAAAACTTCACCAATCTGGCGCCGATTCTGGATATTGCAGTGGTGGATCTGGATCGTCAGGGTCAAGGCCAGATCATAACATGCTCAGGAAGCTTTAAAGACGGTTCCCTCCGAATCATCCGTATTGGCATTGGCATCCAGGAGCACGCTTGCATCGATTTGCCAGGAATTAAAGGCATGTGGTCTTTGAAAGTGGGCATCGATGACAGTCCTTACGAAAACACGCTGGTGTTGGCCTTTGTCGGACATACAAGAATTCTCACACTGTCCGGGGAGGAGGTGGAGGAAACCGAAATACCCGGATTTGCCAGTGATTTGCAAACGTTCCTTTGCGCCAACGTGGAACACGATCAGGTAGGTTCTTCATTGATATACTTAAAAACTTATATTTCTAAATAAATCTTACTTTTTAGATAATTCAAGTCACTTCAGATAGTGTGCGTTTGGTGAGGAGTGCCACGAAAGATCTGGCGGCCGAGTGGCGCCCTGAGGGAGATCGATCCATCGGAGTCGTTTCGTGCAACAGCACCCAGATAGTGGTGGCTTCAGCCAGAGATATATTCTACATTGTCATTGAGGATGGAAAGCTGGTGGAAAAGTCGCGCAAGACTCTGGCCTATGAGGTTGCCTGCTTGGACATCACACCGTTGGATGAGTCGCAAAACAAGTCTGATTTAGTGGCCGTGGGTTTGTGGACAGATATTTCGGCAGTGATTTTGTCTCTACCCGATCTGGAAACCATTTATACCGAAAAGCTAAGCGGAGGTAAAGGATATTTTTATTTAGACATCAACAAATAGCTTATTAACTAATTAATTGCAGAGATCATTCCCCGTTCCATTTTGATGACCACCTTTGAAGGCATCCACTATTTGCTGTGCGCCTTGGGTGACGGCTCCATGTATTATTTCATAATGGACCAGACCACCGGCCAGCTGACGGACAAAAAGAAAGTGACGCTGGGCACGCAGCCGACCACGTTGCGCACTTTCCGCTCCTTTGCGACCACAAATGTATTTGCGTGCTCAGATCGTCCGACGGTGATCTACTCATCGAACCACAAGCTGGTCTTTTCAAATGTCAACCTGAAGGAGGTGAACCACATGTGCTCCCTGAATGCTCAAGCTTATCCGGATAGTTTGGCGCTGGCCACCAAAAACTCTGTTATTTTGGGCACCATTGATGAGATCCAAAAATTACACATTCGAACGGTCCCGTTGGGGGAGGGACCGCGGAGAATCGCATACCAGGAGGCGTCCCAAACTTTTGCAGTGTCCACATTACGTATCGACGTCCATGGAAGGGGTGGCACGAAGCCATTGAGAAACAGTGCCTCCACGCAGGCACAAAATATTACCTACAGCTCGAATATCTTACCAAAGCCTGGTACTGGAAATTCAACAGCAACCAATGCCGAAGTGGGTCAGGAAATCGATGTCCACAATCTCTTGGTGATCGATCAAAATACGTTTGAGGTTCTGCATGCCCACCAATTCGTAGCTCCAGAAACCATTTCGTCCTTAATGTCGGCTAAGCTGGGTGATGATCCGAATACTTACTATGTCGTGGCCACGTCGCTGGTGATTCCCGATGAACCGGAACCGAAGGTGGGCAGGATTATTATTTTCCACTACCACGACAACAAGCTTACCCAGGTGGCTGAAACAAAAGTGGATGGCACCTGCTACGCCTTGGTTGAGTTTAATGGCAAAGTACTGGCGGGTATTGGCAGTTTTGTGCGCTTATACGAGTGGACCAACGAAAAGGAGCTGCGCATGGAGTGCAACATCCAGAACATGATCGCTGCTCTATTTTTAAAGGCCAAGGGAGATTTCATTTTGGTTGGAGACCTAATGCGGTCCATTACTCTGCTGCAACACAAGCAGATGGAGGGCATTTTCGTAGAAATCGCCCGAGACTGTGAACCCAAATGGATGCGAGCCGTAGAGATTCTGGACGATGACACGTTCCTGGGATCTGAGACGAATGGTAATCTATTCGTTTGCCAAAAGGACAGGTATGATTATTAGGTGACTTTTTATGATAAATATTTCATGAGGATTTAAATCTCTTAGTGCGGCCACAACTGACGAGGAGCGCCAATTGTTGCCGGAGCTTGCTCGCTTCCATCTGGGAGATACGGTCAACGTTTTCCGCCACGGCTCTTTGGTGATGCAGAATGTGGGAGAACGCACCACGCCGATCAATGGATGTGTACTTTATGGAACCTGCAATGGAGCTATCGGTATTGTAACTCAGATACCTCAGGACTTCTACGACTTTCTGCACGGCCTGGAAGAGCGGCTGAAGAAAATAATTAAGTCGGTGGGAAAGATCGAGCACACATATTATCGTAATTTCCAAATTAACACCAAAGTTGAACCAAGCGAGGGATTCATCGATGGGGATTTAATTGAGAGCTTCTTAGACTTGGGTCGGGATAAGATGCGCGACGCAGTGCAGGGACTGGAGGTATGTTTTTTACGGCTCCTATGGCACTTTGTTATAATCCAATTAATATAATATTTATTTTCAGCTAACATTAAACGGGGAACGAAAGAGTGCTGATGTGGAGGACGTCATCAAGATTGTTGAGGACCTTACGCGAATGCATTGAAGTGGTATACCATATGTATATATGAATATGAAGAGCAAATGTCATCAACCGAATTTCTCTATTGTACATGAAACTTTGATACCATGTATCCCGCTTAATCCCAAAAGGACTGTCTCGGAGTCTGATTCGTCTCTGGTTTCCCGTCTATTTCGAGATTCTCGGTGTGGTTTTCTCGCGAAAAATATTGACAATGTAGAAAATAAAAGAATAAATTGTTTTAGGCGGGCGTCGGCGCTCTTTAAAAGTTGCGCTTTAGTTACGCATGTAATAAAAATCTTAAACATTTTTAATTCATCGCATTTGTTGGTGGCATTTGTCTGGTAACCTATTGATGTGTGCTTACTTAAATGCCGTTTAAATTTTAGTTTTCAATATGAATTAAATTTATTTAATACAATTTATTTAATAAAATACAAAAATATTTTCACAATCAAAATTGTTGTTAAATATAAGATGTATTTAAAAGGGGTTGTATGATTATTCTGGTACAAGATTAGGGTTTATAAGGTCGCTGTTGACAAAATAGTTAAATTCTTTAAAGTAAATCTTTTTACATCACTTAATAATTCAAATTTATTTAGAGAGGATTTAAAGGATCTAAAGATACAGGTTTCTATTTCAAAGATACAATATATCTATTGTTTTATATCTGGTATATACCTGGCATGTTATAAGTTCCCTCTAAAGGTGTTCTTTTTGAATCACGCCTAAAATATAGATCCCTCTGGCTAATACCTTTCCAAACACCACGCACATGCGCAGCACGTCTATCTCCGCCAGATCCGTTCTGGCTCACGTGTGCAAGTCGGAAACGTGAGTGGATGATTAGGTGGGCGGGGGAGGGTGCTCGAACGCAGAAGGCGGGGTGGGCCGGTGGCATTGGCGTTTCATTCATAACACACGCACACAGGCTAGCCGATGGGAAGGCGACTGGAATGTTGCATGTTCAGCCACCACCAACAAGGCAGCCACTTCCAGTCAAGGGGTTCCCTGTATCTGTATCTGAGCGCTCGTATCTGTGTCTGTGGTCGTGTTGGTCGTGTATCTGTGTCTGTGTGTGCGTGCGCACTCGTCGCGCCTCCACAGCACTTGGCAGGCAGGCTGCTGCTTCTGCTGCTGCTGTTGTTGTTGCTGGTCTGGCTCCGGCTGCTTCTGCCCCCAGTTACTGCAGGCAGGCTGAGCTCGGTCCATTTGAGTAGTCACTCATTCGCTCGCCGCCCGCTCGCTGGTTCAGCTGCGCGTCCACGACGACTGCCTATAAAAGTATCCCATCCTGGATATATCGTGCCTGAAAGTGTTTAAAAATTAAAATTAACAAATAAATACAACCAATAACAAATAACTATTTAAAAAACATCAAAACCCATTGCTCGAGTGTAGTTATATTCCACTAAACGGGCCCGTTAAAACCCAGCCCCATTCCGTTAAAAAATATAAAAATCGCTCGGCCGTAGAACATTTAGTTAATTTTTTCCGAAATCTATAAGAAAAATGTGCTAGCAATTAACAATCTTCGGTTTAAGCGTTTTATTTTGTTTGTTGCCCGCCTAACCGGAGCTTTTCCAATTAGGATATATCCAAGGTGCAACAATACCAGCGGCAAAACGGATAGCTGCCAGAGGTGAGTGACACGATGAAAAGGATCCCCCAATCCTGACCCCAGATGACTCATAACTCTTCAAGGAATCTTATGTCGTGGTAAAATAAAAAAAAAAATTGTGAACAAGTGAAATTCAATGCGAATTGTTGTAGGCGTCGATCGGGGGAAAAAAAGCATTTGAAATATAAATGGGAAATACAAATCAAAGAAAAAACATATGTATGAAAGGCAAACAAAGAACCCATGGAGCATGGAATCGTCATAGCCTTCGAGGGCATGTCACACAGTCTGTAACTCGACTCCCACAACCCGTCGATGCCGTCGGCGGAGGTTACTTTTTGCTCTGGCCCCGGACCCAAGAATCAGAAATTATTGTTTAGCAACAATAACAATAAAACGAAATAATATAGCCCCGAAAAAAAAACCCAGAAACACATAAACCCGTAACGCCCCACTGCCAAATGCAAATATCAAGGGCCCCAACGAAAATAACTGAAAGACTTTTTATAATTATGAAAAGGGAAAAGCAGCAAATCGAATTGCACTAAAAAATACTCCCTCTTCAGGTCCCAAGTTCCCGGTTCTTGATCCCAATCCCAATCCCAATCCCAGACGCTGTGGTCATCAGCCAAAGTTTTCTACAGAATCCGTTGCAGTTCTCATAAAATAAAAGTCAACGATGTATTTTTGTCCCCAATGGCCCATTTTAGGAATGGAGTTTTAAAAGAGAATTTTTCATGAATTCAAGGTGGATTATTACAGAAACTTTTTAAAATTTAAAAATAATTTTTCAAGTTTTTAAAATGATTTTCTTTCGTTGAAACTTTGAGAATTTCATTTATATTTCATAAAGAAACTATATTTTCCTATAGAACCTTTTTAATCTTCGAAAAGTAAGGCTTATATTAAAAAGAAAAGCTATATATCTTTTATTTGAGAAATATTAACTTAATTTTAAGAAAAAAATGATCACATGAACCCCAAAATATATCCCATGTAGGACAAAAGTCAGGGATCCAACATCCGGGCATCAACACTACTGACCAGTCTCCAGACGAGGTCTTCACAATAACCAACAAGAGTTGGTGCCGAGACAGTACGCATTTTAGGTTTAATGTAGAATATGCAAATTGCGCATAGCTAATTTGCATTTATGACAAAAATAATAACTAATAATCTGGGATGGGAGAGGGGGCGACAAAGGGTAGAAGCCTGAACGGAAACCGAAACGCAGATGGATATGGAAATGGAGTTGGAGATGGATATGGATGCGGAGATGGATACGCTGACCAGGCGACAATGACACACGAGAGATATGCGAGAAATTTACTATAATACTTCCAGGAAGGCAGAAAGAGAGTGCCGACTGAAGGGCGTAAAGCACGGCAAGTAAACAAACGAGAATTCGGTCCGGTTTTGGACATTGAACATTGGTTGCTGGCCAAAAGAAGTGACCATGACGGGTCTCCCGTTTCCCGGTCCCTCAGCTCTCCAGCTCCAGGCTTAGCTCCAATCCATCCTTAAGGTGTCGCGCGCCAAGCAAATTAGCGGGTGTGTCCAATTCGAAAACGAGCCTTGGGTCTCGAGAGGATGTCAGAGTTTTCTCAAAGTCATAAGAGTATGGTTTTCAAGGCACTTTGGAAAAAAAATATATAGTTTATAAAAATATTGTAATACACATATTTGAAGAACAATTGGAACGAAATCAGAACTATGTAGTATTTGCTTTAAAATTTATGGAAAACCTTTTTAAGAAATGCAAAGTTTAAAAATCAAAAACGTACTTTTCTTTCGTGATTAAGTACCTAAAGAAACTACCTTTTGATTCGTTTTAATATACATTTTTCGTAATAGGTTTTAGGTATTAGAATATTAGATTATTTTCCCCTCAGTGCATCCCTTAGGCCATGTGTTCTGTTGGCTGTCTAGTCCATGTCCCTTTGTCACGTGAAATCAAATCATGCATTACAATTTCACGCTCAATCGCCAATGTAATTGAGCCGCACAGCCGTCCCTGTTCCGATTCCTTTAAGTGCTTAGGTGTCCCAACTGCCGCCACTATGTCTGCCACAAATCCAATCGGTTGACTCTCTGAATCCGGGATTGGATCGGGGGTTTTCCGGTCGCCCTGCTTCCGTAAATGCGGAGGAGGCGCTCTACGGAGTGGCACTCAAGCGTAGCCGGCAGCTGGAGCAACAGTTGAACAATTTTCACACCCAAAATTATAAATATATTTGAAATAATTTTCAATTTTTATAACTATTTGTTTATGGCTTAATTTATGCACCAACACGACCTCTTCGCACTTACACATATGTATCCCCTCGGTTTAGTGAGAGTTTTAAGAGTGACAGTCTTCGGTTTTTGGGATAGTCCTTGTCTCATGTCCTGTGCCCATTGTTTGGATCACGTCTCGGTGCCGATATCGAATCTGTTCGATCTCAGATGCAACTTTGTTTCCAACGGTGGTCGGTGCTGGGTAATAGTAAAGACCCACGATCCTTTGTCATCGTCCTTCGTCCTGATATTCTGCTATCGGATAACACAGCCCGCATACAAGGTTCGTTTTCGTCCTCCTTGGCGCTTCAAACTTGTAAGTTTTTTTGTTCCTTCGATTGCTGGTGTTTGCGGGAAAGGGGTTAGAGATTTTTGTGCCCAAAATATGGGAATCTCTGTGTGTCCAATGTGCACAATCATGTGTGCATATTATGACGCGATCGGCGAACGTCTTGAGATATTCATCTAGATCTGAGGGCCTGACTGACATGTAAGCATGTAAAGTTGAGGGATGATTCTTTTCGGCCCCTAGACTGGTATCCTAGAAATCATTTTTTTATCCCACATTACAGTCTTTACATGGGAATGTTTATTATGATTAGGTCAGGCTAAGTATAAGGTATGTAGGTATTAAATTTCTTTTATGATCTTAAAGAAATGTAGACTACCAATATTTCTATAAACTCTTCAAATTCTATGTCAAGATCATTTAAATTTCCCAATTTTGCTGAGTTTGTTGAGGCGCCAACTTTCGTGAATCACTTCTTGTAACTATCTTCAGTGGGAGGGATTTTAAATAAAAAAGAATATTTTAAATTTTTGCACGTTGTGCGAAGATAGTGGAATATGTTGCTGCTGCGGCTGCCGCTGAAGTGCAACAGCAACAGACGTAGAAACAACAACATTAAAGCGTTGCAGCTGAGGGCAAAATTCTGCTGCGCGTGCAAGAAATTGTGAACGTCACTTGCGCGATTAGCTCATCGACACCACGAAAAAAAACACAAAAAAAAAAAAAACAAACAGAAAACAAATCGCACCCGAGCCAAAGAAAGAAGCCAAAATATTATGAGAGACAAACATTGGGCAGCTGAAAAAGGCATTATCGGCAACACGTGCCACAGAGCCGGCTGACAAGCGCCAAAAGATACTCCCTACTCGTACTATTCGTGATCGATCAATGAATGAAACGCTTAAAGTCCAAAAGTACTACGATACGATGACAACACTAATTGGCAAATCATAACTTATGTGCTGATCAAAGCTTTGTTTACATATCCGATACATGAGATCCAGAGGTCAAACATGAATAATAATATATCATATTTATGATAAGAACCAAAAAAATGAAAACACCTTTCCAAGGAAACATTGAATCAGATAGTGTTTCTAGATTATAATATTACAAGTGGTTTTTCTGTATTACTTTTACTTTAAAAGGTTGATCGTGCGTATACGTAATATTTTATACAACATTTTAAAATCTTTCAAATT